GTTTATATCTATTGACGTGAGCTCCCTTTTGTTTCTTATAAATTTTAGATTTTACGTTTCCCAGTTATGGGGTTTTATTCATTAAAAAAAGGGGGATTTTCCAGTTTTCGGACAATAACTCAAGAATGCTTTCATCAACTTGCAAGAAATTGTGGTGAATTGTTTATATCTATTAACATGAGCTCCCTTTCGATTTTTATATATTTTAGATTTTACGTTTCTGAGTTACAGGGTTTTATTCATAAAAAAGGGGGGATTTTCCAGTTTTCAGACAGAAAATCAAAAATGCTTTCAGCAGTTCTTATGAAACTTTGGTGAATTGTTTATATCTATTGATGTAAGCTCCGTTTAGAATTTTATAAATTTCTAATATGACATTGAGAATTAATTGAACTTTATTTATTTATAGTCTGACAACAGATTTACTAAGTATTGCGCAACAGCACAGTGTATTGCACAACAGCAAGAAATCTTTAATTTCAAGTTCTTTGACTACATTTATTCAGAAACCTATAATATGTCAAATATTGAATTACAATCCAAATTCAGACCTGTATCAAGCTTGAATATTGTGTCCATTTTTGCACCAAATGTTCATGGTTGGACCTCTGCGGGCATATCCAGCTGCGCTCAGGGAAGCAGTTTATTTCTAATAGATTGGATTTGAGTAGGCATTCATATTTTCCCGCTTTTGTTGCAAAAAGTTCTCGAAATATTCTTCCACATGTGTTAACACAAATATTCGGTATTCATGATTTGTTATTGATATATATATTTCTCACGACAAAACATTTTCATATCATTTATCTATGTTCTTAAAAATTATTTTCATGAATATTTATTGATGAAATTAATATTTAATAAGTGATAAGAATTGTTATTTTGCACTCGATAATATCCGCGTAATTATACCAAATACGTTCGGTTATCAGTCAAAAGCGCAAGGAAATTTCTGAGGCAACATCACACCGGAAGGACCTCGTAAGGTCACATCCAATGAAAAAATGGATAGTAAGCATGGACTATTGTCAAATTGTTCTAAATATTTAGAGAAAGAAAACATCAGCTATTTAATTTTGACAGATCTTAATTTAATAGGATGTCAAAAGATCTGAAATTTAATATTCAAGTACTCGGTCATGATACTCGTGAGTACTCTTGTACTCAGATATACCGTTCTTGAGTTATGCCCCTTTATAAATGGAAAAATTGCTAAATCTGTTGTTTCTGTTCTCTTACTTTAGTTTGCCTCAACCAAATGTTATGAAACTTATACACAATGCTTTAATCACAAAACGGTCTTAACTACGTGAATCCTGCATCTGTATGTGGAAGTTGACTCATATTTACAAGTTGGGGCATCTGGCCCATAGACACATTCTCCATTTATTTTGTTTTTGTTTCAGGGCACATTTGCAAGATATTATGGAAAAGTTGACACCATACTTTGCAATGGACTACCTTTTACCAAGGACACTGATGTCTTGTATAGCACTCGAACAACTACCTCTAGCTGCCAAATCTAAATGGATTTCACCAGACGTTGTACTGGCTTCATTATGCTTTTATGTTAGAGATGAAAAACATATCACAAAAAATGACATGAAGGAAAAAGTGAGTATCAAATGAAACAAATATAAAAACATATACAAAATAAGTTTTTACCAATTTATTAGCATAACAGCAACATAAAGACTAATTAAAGAAAACTTCAGAAGCTGGATTCTTATTGATAAATTAAACAAAGATCATTATCTATCAAAAAAGTTTTATTCAAAGGATCCATTAGCATAGGGGATCATTATAATTGTAGAATTTATACCAAACCAAATGCATTCTCCCATAAAGCTTACCCAGTTGCAGTCAAATATTGATGCCAACTGTACATGTGCACCATTTCTCTCAGCAGCTTGAAATGTATGTAATTGTATAAAAGTTTAATAGCTGTCGTTGTGGATATTGCCATCCGTGAACACTTGAATTGGCTTCCACATAAAAATGTTCAGGCTTGGCTAATAGTTCACCATACATTTTAACACAAAGTTTTTGGCACTGATAAGTAATCCTGTAATCAAAATGGTAATAGTACAATAATTAACATTGAAAATCAATTGGTCAAATGCCATGTTATAACCATATAATTTGAAATTAGAGATTTGAAATGCCTGAAATGACTCTTTATTATCAAATTATTATTGTTTTTTTAATTCACTACATGTCATCAGTTGATAATGAATTAATCAAAACCATAAGGTATTAGGACCACAGATATCAATTACAGGTATCTTTTCATTATAAGATAAATGAATTTCTCTAATTCTTTCCAGATTTATCCTTTTCCTGATCTGTTGGTTATTTTCTTTTATCAAAGTGTGGTTTGTTTGATCTCAGTTCTTCATTGGTCAAAATTTGATTATGAGGTCAAATTTTCTTGCTTTTCTCTGAATTTCCTATTGTGACGTCATGAAAAAAGGCGCTATGCCTGATGACATCACATAGAAAGAACACATCTATTTGCAGATCATTCAAAAAGAAGGATTGTGTTTGTCTGCATATCATTTAAAAATCATTAGAGTAACAGATTCCACCACCAAAGCTTGTGCAATATGATATTTATCCACTCTCGACAGTTAAATTTTTAGCTCACCTGGCCCAAGTGAGCTTTTCTCATCACTTGGCGTCCGTCGTCGTTTACTTTTACAAAAATCTTCTCCTCTGAAACTACTGGGCCAATGCTTGGCCACAATCATCATTGGGGTATCTATTTTAAAAATGTGTCTGATGACCCGGCCCGCCGACCAAGATGGCAGACATGGCTAAAAATAGAACATAGGGGTAAAATGCAGATTTTGGCTGATATCTCTGAAACTAAAGCATTTAGAGCAAATCTGACAGGGTAAAAATGTTTACCAGATTAAGATCTATCTGCCCTGTTATTTTCAGACAAATCAGACAACCAGTAGTTGGGTTGCTGCCCCTAAATTTGTAATTTTAAGGAAATTTTGCAGTTTTTGGTTATTATCTTGAATATTATTATAGATAGAGATAAACTGTAAAAAGCAATAATGTTCAGCAAAGTAAGATTTACAAATAAGTCAACATGACCAAAATGGTCAATTGACCCCTTAAGGAGTTATTGCCCTTTATAATCAATTTTTAACAATTTTTTGTAAATTTTTGTAATCTTTTACAAAAATCTTCAAACTTAACCAAACTTGGCCACAATCATCATTAGGGTATGTAGTTTTAAAAATGTGTCCGATGGCAAGATGGCAGGCATGGCTAAAAATAGGACATAGGGGTAATATGCAAGTTTTGTCTATTATTTTTTGAACAGTTATAAATAGAGAAAATCTGATAGTGGCAAAAATGTTCAGAATTATGAGCTGTACCAATTGTCCATATACGTCAAAACTGTTAGACAAATTCTTATAGGAGTTATTGCCCATAAATGACAAATTTTACCATTTTTTTTCATTTTTGCCTATTATCATGTGAACTATGATATTTAGAGAGAAACATATTTTTTCTGTAATGCCTTATATGATTTAAATTATAATAGATAAATTAACACTTTAATTCACAAAAATGATCAGCAAGGAAAGATCCATTAAAAAGTCAATTTTGCCAATATAGTTAGTAGACTCTCACTCTTCATAGGAGTGATTGCCCTTAAACGAGGATTTCTTTTACCCTCTTTTGTGTTATGAGCAAATTCTAAAGAAGATAGAGAGAAAATTAGCAGACTAAAAGATCGTTAATACAAGATCAGCAAAATAGAGATTTTCGTCATGAAGTCTATTCTCGTCTACAATGTTGGAGAGTGTCCTTTGTTTGATATATATATGCACATAGACCAAGGTGAGCGACACAGGTTCTTTAGAGCCTATAGTTAATATTTAAAACACTCGGCAAGCCTCACATTTTAAATTAAAAAATTTAACTGTCTCTAGTGGATAAATATCGTATCACACTCGATACAGTGGTAGAATCTATATATATGTAGTTTTGAGATTTTTATAAGAGAAAAATTAACATTTGACATTTATTTTATAGGCAACTATTGACTGTCTGAATGCTGTCCTCCGAAAGTTAAATGAAGAAATTCTTGAAAAGTAAGATTTCAGTAGAAAGAACTGTTAAGGGGTTAAAAAAGGGTTGTGAAAATTTGGAAATGAATGTGAATAGTTGTAAAATTAATTGAAATGTTAAAATTTAAATTGATAAATACAATTTAGACCGATCTTATATTGAATAAAATGTAAAAAAAAATAACAGGTACTACCAAAAATTTGGGCATTACAACATACCACATAAATGACCAACATGTGACTCCTCTGAAAAAATGGATGTAAAAGGCAACAAAAACCAACAATACATGATTTAGAATGCCGGTTTGGTATATTATAGACAAAATGTGGTTGGTTTTAACCTGTTTTACATGTGCAATAAAACCCGTCCCTTATCTATACAGGCCATATGCTGTAAAACTATAACACACAATAAAAAACCTGCAAAACACAGCTGCCAACAGGATGATCACTAACTTAAATCAGGAAATATATACATTGTACAAGATAGCTCATACTAAGTGCATGATTAGAAATGCAAATATAAGGTTTTTTTTAGAGAATGCAATCTTATGTGAAGTATGCTAGATATAACAAAGATGTGATTTGAATGAAATATCTTTTGGTGTTTCTCATATAATTTGACCTGATATAAGTATTTTAGCTATTTCAAATTAAGAAAAGATCCAAAAAGGCTCAGGTTGTGTTGAGCCGCTGAGATCTTACTATATAAATAGCAGAAAACCCCAAAATCTGTGTATTAAACTTATTTTGCCTCCCCGAAACAGTATAACATCATACCAGAAATAGATTTAATAAGTTCTGCTCTCACATTGCAAAGTTATCGACAGTGATTACACAGGAAGTTAACAGAGAGATACAGACGCAGGAATGAATCCTTAATGGTTATTCGTTTTGTTGTAGATCTCCTGAGATGTTGTCATGTGCATTCAGATCATTGATGATTGCAGCAGATGTGTTGAAGTCTATGCATCAGAGACATGGTAACAAACTGAGAGACACTGTTATGTGTTTAGCCCTTGATGATTTTCTTACCAGTCTGCATGTGTATTATACAACTAATGCTGAATTGTCTGAGAAGAGTGGAAATGCTGCTGAAAGTGAGAGTTTTGAGAAAACCTTAGATGATGTACAGTCTGATGTTAGACTGTGGTTAAAAACAAAAATGGCATACTGTAAAAGTAATGAGCTGTTGCCATGTTTAAAGGTAATGATAAAACAAAATAACATTGGACTTGCATGGAATTAAAGACTCCCAATAATTTGAGTTTTTTTTTCAGTCCCATGGAAATTGCCCTTTAATCAATACATTTTCTCATTTGACGAGTTGAACGTTATATAAGAATTAGTGAACATAACACACTGTTTGATTTGAAATAAATTCCTGTTTGTCAGAGTCATGTATGGGAATTTGGTCATCAGATAAATAAAAGGCATTTTTTAAACATCATGCACTAGTCCTAGTATGCTGGGATCAAATTACTGCAAACTTGACACTTAAAATTGGTGAATATAGACTCACTTTTGATTTTGGAAATTGTTTTGGTTTTTCATCCAGAGTTATAGGACTTTCAATAGACATATTTCACTCAATATTGATATGCCTAAGGGTATCCTCATGCAGGTTTTTCTACATAGCCATTTTATTAGCTTTGATTAAATGCCTTCTAATTATCCCATTTTATTCTTGCAATAATTTCAATATGCTTAATAAGGGTGTATCATGTGCTCTTTGCAAAGTTGTTTATTTATATTGCTTTCATGTAGAATTTGTTTTTCCTTATATGATTTCCATAAAACCCCAAAATGGCAAAAAAAAAAGTTTACAGCTCTTTTCATAATGCTAGCAAGGCAAAGGTTTGTTTGGCTTGCTTGCTTTGTTTGTATCAATGTTTGCTCAAGCATTGTAATTAAGATTGACATCTGAAAAACAACATAAAAAGGAGGATTTAAACTTGTATACATTATATTTGATTGGACATTATCAAATAATCAAATTTACCTTTACACAGATTTAACTACGCCTACTTTTATTGTTTGCAGATGTCAATCTTAATTACAATGCTTGAGCAAATATTGATACAAACAAAGCATGCAAGCCAAACAAACCTTTGTCTTGCTAGCATTATGAAAAGAGCTGTAACATGTTTCTGATTGATGAATAGATTAGAATATAAATCTACATCAGCATGCTTTAAATTACTGTTAGAATATATTCAAATAATTCTTATATATGATTTGCATATCTACAAATACTTAAATAGGATTAGTCTGAAAGATTTTTTTCCCTTGGTTTACACTTGGATAGACCATGTTGCTGAAACTACTTTCGTAACCTAAGTAAAAATTCTAGAAAAATGTGTTTAATCCTATAATCAAATAGATATTTGGGGAAAATAAAGTTAAAAAAGGAGTATAAGTCTTAGTCTTAAGTTTTAGTTCAGTTGTTCTGCTTTTTTAAAAATTGAAAATAAGAAGTTTCAGAGAATTGAAACTGGTAAAAACTTGATAAAAGAAATGAAGTTATTAATTATTAGACAGTTTTTAAAAGCATTTGCTTTTTCTGTCATCGTGTATGGCCATTTTGTTTATCGTCAAAGTAGAGTGCACACATTTTTCATTCTACAGTTCTTTCAAGATCGAGTAAAAGTATGTGTCGTATTGATAAACCTTACTGTGTTTGCGGATCTGCAACAAGTCGTGTTTATTTCCACGTGGTAATTTGTGGTATTAAGATATATTGTTACTGGTCTAGTTTACGATGACCGGTTTTTAGTATGGAAACAGTTTAAACGAAACGAGAAGTATTTTGACATTTTCTTAAGATATACGGCAAATGCTTTTTCTAGCTCTATAACGCTTTGATTTTTTTACTTTTCAGGCTTGGAACAGGGTACTGAATGTTGTTGTACCTCAAGGCTTTATCAAAGATGAATTTGTCAAATTTATATCTGAATGTCTCCATGAGGCATTGCAATTTAAGGTAAGAAAATGAAATTTCATAATTGGATATGCCATGCACTGAAAGTATTTACCTTCTTTAAGAAAAACAGCTAATGAGTACTTTACATATATATTAAATAGTATTGTTTTACCTTGTTGATAAGAAGATTTAGTATGGTTTTTAATTATTAACTATTCAACAGAGGCCAAAGGATGAGGACGTAAGCAAATATAGGTCACTATATGACCTTCAACAATTGAGCACAACCCATACAGTATTGAAAGGTATTAGAAGCTCTGAAAAAAATATTAAAAAAAAATCAAACGAAAAAAACCAACTGCCTTATGTTTGATATACCATGTTTTCAGGTACATTAAAAATAGACATATAGTATTTGAAACACATGTAGAGATATTTTGGCTCTAGGTGTCTTGTGAGTTTCATGCATATTGTTGGGTTTCTGTCTCATGGTAGTATATTTATATCCTACCTCTAAAATTTTATTAAATAAAATAAGATGTCATGTTTTACATTGCAGAGGCAGTATGAGGAAGAACTTGTCAGAGTTTACTGTCAAAATCAAGACTTGTTTTGTAGTGCAATGCTTGATGTACTCAGCAAATATGTTTTCGAGGTAAGAATTAAAATATTGAAAAGAAATTACATTCACTGAAAGTCAGATATTGTTATTCTGAAGTCCCTCAATTGATCTCAGAATTTTTATTATACCCCCGCTTTAAAAAAGGGGGGGGGGTATACTGTTTTACCTCTGTCTGTCCTTCCGTCAGTCCATCTGTCCGTCCCATGAATATTTTCGTCGCATTTTTCTCAGGAACTACTTGACAAGGATTTCTGAAATTTGGTTTCAGGGTTTATATAAGTAAGTTACACCATGTGATGCGTTTTCAGATTCATCACTCAACAACTTCCTGTTTACCGAACACTTGTATTATTTTACACATGATAGCCAAGTTGAAAATTTTCGTCACATTTTTCTCAGGAACTACTTGACAAGGATTTCTGAAATTTGGTTTCAGGGTTTATATAAGTAAGTTACACCGTGTGATGCGTTTTCAGATTCATCACTCAACAAATTCCTGTTTACCGAACACTTGTATTATTTTACACATGATAGCCCAGTTGAAAATTTTCGTCACATTTTTCTCAGGAACTACTTGACAAGGATTTCTGAAATTTGGTTTCAGGGTTTATATAAGTAAGTTACACCGTGTGATGCGTTTTCAGATTCATCACTCAACAACTTCCTGTTTACCGAAATATTTCGGCGGGGATATCATCAGTGAGCAGTAGCTCACAGTTTTACTTGTTTTTTACTTGTTTCAAAGTTTTGGAAATTCTACATATGCATTTTTTGTACTGATGTAATGTCATCAAGTTTTATCTAAATCCAACATAATGACTTGATATTCCACTGATGAACAATCTTTTTCAGGCTGTAGTTAGATTGAATGATGATATAAAATATGAAAAATGGAAGGAAGACCAGCTAAGAAACTTTGGACAACTTTTGTCATTAGTGTTTGAAAAAAGTGCAGCCAGTGATTGTTTAAAAAACCCTTCATTCAGCCTTCAGTTTATATTGAATTGGAGACCTTTTCCAATATATGTAAAAATGTGCAGTAAGTTGTTACTTCTATAAGTTATGCCACTTTTGCCATTGCTAAGTAACCTCTTTGATAAAAAGGAAGATATTTTTCATCCACTGTAAAACAATTTTTAAGTTTGTTTTGACTGATTTTCTGTTTTGCTGACATGAGGATTAATATGAAAGGAACAGCTCATTTTTTGTGATGTTTGCATAGCAAATTCAACATATAAGGCTCGATATTTACTGTTTTTAATAACTTTTTTGTATTAATCAACTCTTATGAAGGTACAGTCAAAACCTGTATTAAGCAGTCACTCCTGGGAAGTATCAAAAGTGACCACTCAAGAGAGGTGACTTTTGAAACGAGGTTTAAAAAGATTCCGATACTGACATCCCCTGTGGCCGGGATCGGGTCAAATTGCAGGCAATGAAATCAAAAATGGTGCTGTAAATTTGAAGAAAATGTCTAAATATTCATGGAGAAATAAGTCTCTGATACAGTTTTCAACGGAAACTTAAAGAGTGGAACAAGGCAAATTCAATATTCCCCTTCTATTGCGAGATCTGGGTTTCAAACAGTTTTTGATTTTGATTTTGACTTTGATATTTTCAACATATATTTTTCATCATGAAGATTTCTGGTACTTAAAAACATTAAAATGACTGTGTTAACATTTTAAATGACGATATTATTAGAAAATAAGGTGACTGCTGACCGCGTTAGACAGGTGACCGCTGAGAGAAAACGTTTGGCCGGGTCTGAAAGTGACTGTTAGAGGCAGGTGACTGATGAAACCAGGTGGCCGTAAAGGCAGGTTTGACTACTCAACTGACAAAACTTTGATAACAGCCTTAAAAATAATTTGTAATACTGTAATCTACTAAAATGTGAATTTAAACTATGCAGAATTTTGCATAATTTAATTGAAAATTATTAACAAAATAATGAAGATAAGATTCTTAACTATTATTTTTTTTCTGCAGAAAACAACATACACTCTTCTTTCCTTAGTGCAACAAGTGTTTCAATGATGAAAAGTTTGAGGGATTGCATAGAAAATCTTGTTAAGGAAATTTTTGACCAATCAGTATCTATTGCAAATCTATGCATAATTCAAGAAAAACAGGAAAGGTTTACCAGCATTGTGAAGGATATTCCCGAATTAGAAGACAAAGGTTTAAAAAGAGAGATTGAGCTAAGAATTGCAGAATTGAATGCATACAATGAATGTTTAAAGAACTTGAAGCAGTTCATAGATATCTGTTATAGATGTGATGGTAAGTATTATCAAAAATAAAATATTGGTCCATCCTGTGACATCCAAATGAAGTCATTTTCTTCATGACGTGATTCACTTGATTATTTTCAATCCTTCAACATGTTGTTGAGGAAGCAGGTCATAGTGATCCTATTTTGGCTCCATCAACTTTAAGGTTCACTCAGTAATTACAGATTTTTATTATATATCAATTACTTTTTCTAACCTTCATGGAATTAAATTAAGAAATAATTCATGGATGCCATAGATTTGTTGGAAAAGAAGCACGTCATATTAGCATGAAACTTTAATTTGAGAAACGCTTTTTTATGATTAAAAGAATTTTCCTTAGCAAAATGCTGAAAATATTTTCTTTCGATTTTCCTGTATTTTACTGATTAAATGACTACTTTAAATTCAGAAATTATTGCAATATTTGAAAAAAGTACAAAAATGCGATGATTTGTCATTGCGATTTCAGGAAAATCTGTATACACTTATTTTAATCAGATATCAGAATGCAAGTTATTATTACTGCAATCACCCATTTAAATGATTTGAAAAAAATTCTGAATTTACAGTAAGTTTTTATACGACCGCAAAAAGTTGTATCACTTAGTCGTCGTCGTTGATTTTGGGGGTTATGGTCCCAACAGTCTTAGAATTAGGGGGCAAAAAGGGGCCCAAATAAGCATTTTTCTAGTTTCCAGACAATAAATTGTGGAATGGTGTATGGATCTCTCTGAAATGATACCACAAAGTTCCATACCACAACGGGATTGTAAGAATTGGCTTTGGGGGGGGGGGGGGGGGGGGGGGGTTATGGCTCAAACCGTTTAGGAATTAGGGGCAAAAAAGGGAAAAAAACAAGGGTGTCCTGGTTAATGGACAATTACTTAAGTACAAAACATAATTTAAAAGCAGTGTAAGGGAGGTAATTCAAACACAACATGGTTTGAATTACCTCCCTTACACTGCTTTTGAATTATGTATAAAGAAATGTTGTATTGTCTTGAGGTGATTAGCTGTCAAATTATTTTTAGAAGTTACTATTTTAAAAATGCTGATGAAGGAAATTTAATTTTAGCCATGATTATGTATGTCATTTTGTATTTTAAGACTTTTATGATGTATTTAAATGGGTTATTATGGTTGCAAACTCCATTGGAAATTTGAATTGAGATTATGACCATATCTTGAGGGAAATAATTTTTTTTGGAAAAGGGGGGGCAGGTTGAAAAAAATTGGGGGGGGGACAACTTTTTCCTCAAAGATTTCAAGAATTTTTGCAACATCAAAAAAAGGGGGGAAGATTTTTTTTTTTGGATGGGGGAAAAGGGGGGGGGGGGGGGTCAATTAGCAACAGCATAGTGTATTGCAGAAAAGCAAAAAAAAATGAATATAAATTCACAAATCACATAACCAATTCAAGTTATTTGACTACAGTTATTCTGTGTCAAATATTAAATTATAATCCAAATTCAGACCTGTATCAAGTGCGATATTGTGTCCATTTTTGTCCCAACTGGTCAGGGTTGGACCTCTGCGGTCGTATCCAGCTACGCGTGGCGAAGCAATTTATTTTAACAGTATTAAGACCAAGGTTAAACATTTTCAAACATCAGTGATGTTGGTTTTACTAAAGTGGGGTTAGCCACTGCCTTTATACACATACATACAGCTGGTATGAGTCACTGTTTTGGAATGTCAAAATATATAGATAGGGTGCTATTTCAGGGAGTTACTATACCAATTGGTAGACATTTATATGTCAATGGGTCATAAATGTTCACATTCTGTTTACATATAGTCTGTCAAAACTGTTCTGATCTATTTATCTAAAAATATGAATGATTCAATGTGGTTGTTGTATAAATAAGATGTCATGATAGCTTGGAAATACTCATAATTTGGTTGTCCTTTTCATATGATATAATTATATGAATGTCAAATCTTTAAAATATCAAAATAAAAAGAAATGAGTAAGACCCCATTTTGGCCCTAAAATATAACTTTTTTTACAAAGTTGTTGGAATTGTAAACTTTTAGCTATTTATTGGAAAGTCGGATATTTTTATTACATATTAATGTGCAAATTTGGACAATAAAATGGAAATGCATCAGGTACTTGCATCATTATTTCATGCAAAAGTACTAAAATCGTCAAATGAAAGTGGCTGCACTTGTGTTCAGTCTTAATATTTAAATATAAGTTGTATTTAATAATAATACATAACATATATTAATGTTGAGACAAAAACCATCTGAAAAGTGACGTTTTATGACATATTTATAGATTTTTCATATTAGAGCTTGAATTAGAGCTTGAATTAGAGCGTTTTTCACTACTGAATCGTTTAAAAATTTTATCTACTGTGGATTCATTATTATTCGTTGGATAACAATTTCCATGGATTTTGTGGGAACAGACGAATTACAAATTTTCTAAAGGAGAGTATGCAGACTTGGTAAAAACCATGAAATTAGATATCCACGAATATGCAATCTTTCCTCAAATCACGAAATTTGCATAGTTGCCAAGTGACATGATATTCGTGTGTAATACACACTTTTTCAACGGTTTACACGCGAGGATTTTGCCACATGGCGTGTACACACTTTTCAGAATCAGATCAGAACTTTACAAATGTGCCTTGTTATCAAGTAAATGTAACCAAACTAGCAGTTGTTTTGAATATATATGTGCCTAGTGGTGTTGCTTCAAAAGCAGCAAAACAGACCACTGTTGAATACAATAAAAGTTTACAGTAGAACATTGTTTATTATATTTACAAATTTGTATAATGATTACTGTGAAATTATGAACATTGTTCATATTAAAAAGTCCGCATCTACGTCACACGTTTTCACACGCTTTTTGACATGTCATGTCATGTCATGACATGATTTCTCATTGTCAGAGGTTGGCAAGTATGGTATCCATGAAAAAAATGGAATCAACAGTAATTGAATAGCTAAAGTAGACACTTAATGTTTAAAAGATGTCAGAAATCTTTAATAAGATGTACTTCAAATTTTATGCTGAAATTAGCCCTTACTGGAAATTCTCTTCTGACAAATTCATGCCAAAAAATTAAAATTATACCAAAATATTTAATTTGCTGATTACCCCATCCTTCCCCCTGAATTAATCACTACTATTTGTTTAATCGTATTGCTTTATTTACATTTTCCATGCAGATATCTTATATTTGTAAATTATTTTATATTGCAGGAAACATTACAGTATTAGAAGAACAAACTAGGAAGTTTCAAGAATTAGATAAAGTGTCTCTGAAAGATATATCTGACAAAGGAGAGGTACCAAAAGACATGAAGAAATATAAACCTAAGGTAATAGCATTTGAAATTGAAAGTGATGTTTTAGAAGTACTACCTGAAGTCATTAGATGTTCCAGTGGGAATTTGTTCATAAGAATATGGGATAAACTTGCTACAGATTTTCGAAGGACTGTGAAACGTGCCTTGGAGATTGGTGAAATAATGGATCATGTTTGGCATCCAGCTTATAGAGAATGGAAAGGTTTACACCAACGACTGAAATCTGGTGAAATTTACTTTAAGGAATTTGATACTATTTGTGGAGGAATGGACCCAGAGACTTTGAAAAAAGAATTTCTCATTCTTGAAGAAGGTAAAAAACAATCTTGGATAAAGGAAAGAACTGAGCAAATGACCAGATACAAAAATTTACAGAATTGTTTGGATGGAGCTTCTATTATAATGGAGGTTGTGGAAGAATTCGAACTTGAAGGAGACTTTCAGCCAATTAGACAAATTATGCAAATGGTGAGTAACAATCTAGAAAAATATATTCAACTATTTTAATCTAGAAAGTGGACAAAAAGAAAAATGCATTCTCTGTTTTCATTTGAGTAAATATCAGATAATTTGCAGAATATTTCACCATTAACATTTAAGTTCACATAAACATCACAGCTGCTTAAAATATCTCTCCCACAATTAATAAGATAATATTTGGAAAATGATGATAAAGTACTGTAAAAGGAAAACCACTACAGAATTTTAGGGGAATGATACATTTATGATATCAAAACTATGTTTTACATGTTTGACTCCAACCACCATTTAACACAGCTGCCACTTCTTGAAAATTTGATTAGACAAAAAATGTCAATGTAAAAGCTAACAAATCCTGGATCTATGCAATATTTTTATTTTCCTCTAAGGAATTGGATATTTAAGAAATTTTAATGCCCATCCTAAGATGGAAGATGGGCTTTATTTGAATTTATTATTTTATACATCCACTTCATTTGAACTTTGGTGGATAGTTGTCTAATTGGCAATCATACCACATCTCCTTATTTTTATATTTATGTTTTCCAGTATATATGCATCTGTTTGTCTGTCCTTTAGTTTAGTAGTCCCTCTTGCATCAGGTTAACATATTAAGGTTAAGGTAGTTTACAATGAAATAGCAGTCTGGTCAACTTGAACTTAATTCAGATATACTGCAAGCCAACTATCAAGTTTTAGATTACACCACAATGTTCCAGTTTTATACATCATCTGGTAATTATATCTAACTTTGTAACCTGCCTGAAGATCATTGTAATGTATAAATTTCTGGTATTCATTTAGGCATAAATTCCAGGTAAGAATAATAAGCTTCTTAGAACCTTAAGTGACAAAAATTTTAAGATTTAAATGAACTCTAAATATATCTTCCAGACAAAGGGAAAAGATACCAAGATGAACAAGCTGAAGCAGTCATACCTGAAAACTTGCTCAGTGCTAAGTGATATAAGTGAAAGAAAAGTCAACTGTCTACAGAAGTTCATGGAAAGTAAAAAACTGGTGAATTGGTTAAGGGAAAAAATGTGTAAGTTAATGCCAAAAAAAACCAACTTAAGAATAAGTAAAGGGTATGTTTTTGTCTCAAGTGCAATGCGTTGCAGAGGACTTAGAAATATTTGGCATTTGTCTGTTCATCTGCCTGTCTGTATTTCTGTCCAATCATATCTTGTAAGCACTCTCACTTGTATAATTCTTGTCAGATATTTATGAAATTTATATCAACAATGTTATGGACAAGTTTGAAAATGAGTGCCGATCAATTATTAATCCCCTACCGATGAAGTCGAAGGGGACTTTAGGTTTGCACTGTCTGTCTGTCCGTCCGTCAGTCCGGCAAATCAGTTTTCCACACTTTTTTCTTCCTGCTTCAAGATATTGATTTGATATTTAGGATATAGATTTATCATGACAAGTTACAGATCAAGTTTGAATTTTGTTCCGGTCTGATGATTTTGTCCAGAGTTATGGTCCTTGAACTTACAAAATTCACTCAAATAACCAGTTTTCCAACTTTTTTTTTGTCATGCTTGAAGATATTGATTTGATAATTGGTATATAGTTTTATTATGACAAGTTACGGATCAAGTTCAAATTGTTTGCCGGTCTAATGATTTTGTGCAGAGTTATTGTCCTTGGACTTAAAAAATTCACTCAAATAATCAGTTTTCCACACTTTTTTTTGTCATGCTTGAAGATATTGATTTGATAATAGTTATAGTTTTTAACATGACAAGTTACAGATCAAGTTTGAATTTTGTTCCGGTCTGATGATTTTGTGCAGAGTTATTGTCCTTGGACTTGGAAAATTCACTCAAATAATTAGTTTTCCACACTTTTTTTTTTGTCATGCTTGAAGATATTGACCTAATATTTGTAATATAGTTTACACCATGTTAAGATATAGATCATATTAGCATTTTGTTCCAGTACAATAAATTTTTAACAGGTAGGGGACTATGTATTGCCATGCAATACTCTCAGAATGCTTGTTTTTAAAGGAGTTATGTCTCTTGGAAATATAAATTCTATAGTAAATTGCATTGTTAACCCTATCAAGGGTACAATTCTTGCCAGGGAATTTGAAATTTATACACACAAAAGGTTTATATCAGCAATGTCTTGGACATGTTAAAAATCAGTGCCGATCAACTATTTTTAAAAGAGTTATATATATGCCCCTTGGAAATATTAATTTAATAGAAAATTTCATTGTAAGCGCTTTCTTGGAGGATTGTTATGAAATTTACATCGTAGGTTTATATCAGCAATATATGTCTGGGGTAGTTCGAAAATCAGTGCTGATCTGTCATTTTTATAGATTATCTGTTATTTTTTATGTCTCTGTGAAATGTAATTTATATTTAACATTGCATTGTAAGCATTCTCACACCTCCATTTCTTGTCAAATTTTTAAAGTTTATACAGAAAGTCTGAGAAGAGTGAGTGCTGACCATCTTTTTACTGAAGTTACTCCCCTTGGTAATAGAAATATATGGAGCATAACTTTGTTAGTGATCTTGTGCCTACATTTCTTGTAAAATACTTATTAAAAAGTTTAGTATTACTTAAATTTGACATAAATTCATAATCACAAGAAGAAATATCAGCAGTTGTTATTCCCTACTTGCATATTCAACAGCTGGTTTACAAGAATTGAAAACCTTTGTGGACTTAGCCTATATATCCACTGGTGATCAAGGATTAGAAATAGCAAAAGTCAGATGTTTGCAGTCAGCAGCCATTGGATATGCCCCTCTGATTTTCAACTTAAAGACGTACTGCAGTTATAAAGATTTCTTGGAAAGATGTGAAGAAGTTTGGAAAGCTTTAGATTCTAATCAGAATCTTCCCAGTGAACTTGTGAGTAACATTATTCTTCAGAAATATAAATTGTTTTCTGCTTTAATTTAAACTGGAAGCATATTCATAAATGGTGTCTTTATTTTAAGGTAACACGATACCGAATGGCATATCTCCCAATTTCCAAACTTTTTGACACACGTGTTCTTTGAATCGAATTACATCGGAATATGTAATAAAAAATGGGGGTCACCATTTTTGTTTTCTTGGTATTTTGATAGGAATACGTCAATTTTGGCGACAAATTTACATAGGTATATAGGAGAAATGGCTTTTTTTCGGCTTTCCTTTTTAGATTTTCCAATAGATGGATATGTTCTTATATACAGAGAAAAACAAAAAACTAACATATTATCCAGGATTGCATACTGAATCCATACACGTAAAAAAACTCATATGTCACCATCCTTGTTTTTGAGATAAATGGCTTCAAAGTTGATCGATATGCCTAGAATTTGACCGAAAACGTATGACGTTATTGAATGCAGAATATAACGTTATTCCTACTCAGAGATATGGAAAACAAAATATGTGTCAGGATCTGAATGTTGTTTATTTATTTTCATTTCCCTTGTCGGGTTTCGTAAATTTCCTAGTTATGCAATATGAAATTCTACTGATATAAATTTATTTCGTCCTGCACATGGAAATTTCACTCACATGAATTAACATTAATCTCGTCTGAATTTCACACCAAACGAGCATATACTTGAAACTTGCTTGAACTGGTTGGTTCCACGTGAATCTTATGATAATAGTTCATGCATAAATCAACGGAATTTGGTAAACGTTGAATTTATATAAATTTTTATAATAAGATTATTCAAATAATATCTTTATTCTAAATTTAATTAAAATCATGAAAAATACCTCCAAATTTTTGTAAAGTTCACGTGAAACTAACATGAAAAATTTCACGTGTGGTTCATTTGAATTACTGAGTTTTTAACTCCATCATTTAAGACAATGGTGGTGTCATCGCTGCATCCATGCAGAAATAGAGTACTTTAAAAATTTGATTCAGTTAACAGTTTTATAATTGCTTGGTTTTTGATGGTTGTTTAACGTTCAGTGGCAAATAGTTCATGCATGTTCGGGACGATACAATACAATTTGGAAAACAGTTGTTTATAAAAGACAAATTTGATGCACCAGTCAAAAAAGGTTAAACATTCTGTTAGTTGTGAAAATTATGAGGGAAAATAATGATCCTGATAAAATACACATTCTAAAAAATAAAATAACAAAACTCAAAGAAAAATTCAAAACTTAAAAGTCCCTTATCAAATGACGAAATCATAAGCTCAAATACATCGAAAGAATGATAAACAGCCGTCATATTCTTGACTTGGTACATACATTAGTATAGTGTACTCTACGTGGTGTAAATGTGTGAGTTGGTTGGTTGAGCAAGTCGGACAAACCTTGCAAACTGTATGCAAAATTTCACAAAGTTCAACAGTCTGTCATTTGTGGAAAATTATTTACAAAACAAATCTTGAGATCATATATTCATTCTTTATAAGTAAAGCAAACCGCGAAATATAAAAGTTCCAGCTTGAAATTCCACATGTAGGAGATGTAAGCCGGAGTCTGTACACTGCGTTCCTTTTATATGTTATTAAAATGCCTAATCCAGCAACCTGTCATGAACAAAAAATAAAGAAAATCCAGACGACATGCGTACCTTTAATATGAGTAGTAACACCAGGTAAATAATTTAAACCTGAAGCAAAAAGACTGTAGTCCTAAATAATTAGCCGTATGTATAAACCCTATGTATATATGTCAAGTGCGGGATTGACGGTAGAACGGACACGGGTGAAACAATATGATGATATGTTCTCTATTGGAATTTTGGTGACAAAACATATTTTTGAATATGCAGTTCATATAATGGAATGGTAATTTGGAGATCTAAAATGAAGTAGCAATGTAAGCAAGCTACCATTTCCGTCATTTTGTCTTTGGTGGAAAGTTGATTAATTGGCAATCTTACCGCATCTCCTTATTTCATTATGGTTTGAATTTTCTCAAGAAGAACAAAAGTTTTAAGACTTAACAAATATGTACTAAGAGACTGAAATGTTACTGTGATAATTATACTACACATACTTTCCAATTTAGGGGACCAACGTTTACTAAAACTACAAATTAGAAATAAAAAGATACTCGTCCAATTAGCATTAGTCACAATTTTCTTGAGGTCTTTGGTTTTGATGTCGTTAAATGTCCAGATGTTGCTATCTTATAAATTGCATATCCCATATCTCCATTTATCATTATAACAGCCAACTTTTGTACAAAAAACATGTACCATGTATTTTTTTGTTTTATTTGTACTTGTCCTTTTACAAATAAAGTCTCATGTTACCCCACTTCCATAATGAGCAAGCGGTCGATTGCTTTGAAAAAATTAGAGGCAATGATTTAAATTTTAACAATTAAAGTTATAAGTGACGGGTGTAAATTGTAGGATTGATTGTTGGTTGCTTAACGTCCAGTGGCAAATAGTTCATGCATGTTCAGGACGAGAACAAGTTAACAATAAATACAATAGCTAGGTTTTGTAATAGAGGCCATCTGGGATGATGGTCGAGAAAATTTGGACTGACACTGGAAAATGAGGGTATATTGGATAGGGACAGACATTTTGTTTCGCAACAGGCCACCTACGGACCTCTCAAAGAGTTGTTTCAAGGGTTCTTAATGTTCAAAGAGCGTAGAACTCTCTTTACACGAGGCATCGGATTTAACGTCCCCATTCTGACCGGACGTGGCTGCAAACTTGATACATCCCGCACAGCCAAATGGACGCCCCACTTTGGAAGCATTTTCTGACTGCAGGTCGGAAGAAGACCAAGTGACCATATTTCTATTTCCTAGTCATCCTTGGGGTGTAAATTGTAGAATAAAAACAAAATATAAAAATTATGTACATTGTCAGAAATATAAAATTCAATGTATTTGTACTCACTACGAAACAAGTGGAAAGGTCGGCGAGTCTCGCTTTTCATCGTGTTTCTAAAGCTCGTACACATACATTTTATATAACAATGTACATATATTTATCCACACAAAGAAATAAAAACACTTCTTTTTTACATGTATATAGATATACTTTTATACTTGTTCTAAAAACTCCTTTTAAGACTGAAACTCCTCGGGCTTTTCCTGACTCGAACTTGTAAATGTAAATTATTTCCAACTCAAATCACACCAAAAAAACCACACTACCACCGAATACCCATGCAAGCGTAAATTACTACAAATATAAAATCTAAATGATTTCAAGATCAAGCTATTTCAGTCTCTTTCTGTCGTTTGAAAAATAATTAGTCAGTCGTTTGCTTGTAAATTTCGAGAGAAAAAAATTGTAACTGAACCAGTCTGACTAGAGCCAGCCCGAACTATCAACTTGCGTTTATAGACGCAAGTGGATACTTGGAGCTGGCTTTAATCAGACTGTAACGGGACCTGATTTTTTTTAATTTTATTTTTGCCGAATCAAGTTCCCATGTATTTCTCAGCCTACGTTAACTTTCTCAGGCCTCATTCCGATGTTGCTGTCTGCCCTGTGTTGACTTGGTCTATAGGGTTACAAAGCTAGATCTTTATTTTTAAAATGTTTCCGAAACTATATCGGATTTACTCTGTACAAACCAATGATTTTCAGAGACTGTTTACACTTGGAACATAGGGAAAGTTATTCGGCAAAAATAACCAAGTTAAACCACGTTTTTTACATTCCATACTAACAAACTATTTTCTGTATGAGTATCAAAGTCTGCTTATATTGTGCTTTTTTGCCTAATTCTATCCGTATTCTCATTCCGATAAATTTCCTTGTTCCATTTTGCCCGAGCGGTGTTTTTGACGACCATTTTAACATGAATTAATAGTTGTTTTTTCACACATCATCCCAAGTGTCTATAGATTAGATTTCGACTTTCAAAACAAAATTTCATGCTGATACGGCGCGCATCATGAATAAGTATTTATTGCAAAAATAAACCAAGAATAAAATAAAGTGTTAAAACTCAGTCTGTTATGCATAAAAACATATATAAGATAAATCGTGCAGATGCTTAAATATTAAAGAAACACAATATTTAAAAGTAAAGTAATACATTTTTAAAGGTTAACAATGAGCAGAAGAATTGCCGGAAAACGATAAAGCAATCTATGTCAAATAAGTTAACCGTTACGTATTGCATCAAAACTCTCAGCACTCTACATCTAGGGAAAGTTACCGTTAAAAATGTCACATAATGAATTACCAAAAATATTTTTTTTATTATTTAATCACTTTGTGATTGCAGAACCTGCTGCATTGGCTTGTATGTGTGAACGTTATTCGATAACGTCAGGAACGATAACTCGTGGCGTAACGTCATTCGGTATTGTGTTACCTTAAACCCCAACTAGCCTGAGAGACTATATTATATTCCCCTATAGCTAGCTTGCCAGTAATATATGCATTCAGCAAATATGACGTTCACACTTTTTTCAGGCACACTTCATATTTTGTCAGCATTTTGACAGTGCTGAGTTCTAATGAGTCAGAATTTTCTGATCAGACACCTACTGCCTGTATTTGATAATGTAGTTATCATATTTATTCATTTTCTTATAGCTTGATACATGTCATGAATTAGAATGGTTGAAAATTGTGGACGAATCCCAAGGATCTGTGGAAGTTACCTCCCTTGTGCAAGCTGAATCTATCAACTTAAATGGCACATATCATATTGGATTTGACAAGACAGGAGATGCAATTCAAAGAAAAGGACAGAATCAGCTGGTGCATCATTATTTTCTTAGGTCAATCAACAATATGTTGATGTCTTTTTTTAATACACAACTTCCAATAATTTTATATAAATGAATGGTATTATGATACAACAACTCTTGAAGTGTGGCTATATTGCAATCACCTTGTCCATCTTATAGTCAGTCCCTTTGTCAAACTAATACTATCATCACCTATTTTCTCAGAAATTATGAAACAGAATGACTTCACATTTGGTCAGCAGTTTGAAAGTGAAGAGTATGAGTATTTTAAGGATCTGTCAGATACATAATTCCTATAGCCACTACAGTGAAACCTGTCTAAATCAAACTCTGCCTGGACTGTCAAATTTGTTTGGTTATGTCAGGTTTGATATTTGACCTGAAACCAAAGAATCATATTTTGATATGTAGAAATGGGTATCAGTCAGGGGACTTACTTAAATGAGTGATTTTCTAAATCACTGATTCAAGTAACATTATGTCCATAAAGGTTGGAAGTAAGAGTTGTCTTTCTTTAATATTCACCTATTTAAGTAGTACAAATTAATCACTAGACTAAGTGATTTAATTTTATTGTAGCTTTAAATATAGAATACTAATGATCCAGGGACTAATTATGTTGCTAAAATTATCAGAACCAACATCTGTGTTGATAGGATGACCGGGTGTTGTCAGGTGATGACCTTGTACTAAATCTAGGATAATGACATAAAAATCACTTGTTTAAGTATCATATATATCTCAATTTCCTTCAAAAAATCACTTCTTTAAGTATCATTATTTTAATAACCCCCACTAATTTCAACACCCCCGAACAGTGAAATTTGATCGCGAACAGTAGAATTTTATTACATAATCTATAAGATGAAACCTTGAATTTTACAGGAAAAATACTCCCACTGGTGGGAAAAATCTGTTAAGAAAGTATCAGTTCATTATGTAAAGCCATTTTTATAGCATTTTTTCAACTAAAATAGAATTTGCAGATAAATGATTGCATCAAAGGCATAAACCTTGCTGCTTAAAAGAAGCAAAAAGATCATTTTTTTCAATTTTACTAATGAAAAGATATTATCTAAACCTATGTGTTTAAAATTTTGGTAAAACTACAAAATCACAATTCGTGACAAAACTTCGAATTTGCTACTTCGATAAGTGATTTAAAAATCACTTATTTCAATAAGTCCCCTGACTGGGTATGCCCTGCATTGCTACATTGTAAATAAAAAGATATGAATAGTTCAATAAAAATGTTTAGAGAACAAAAATTGTATTTATTGACAACAAGGGTATATTTCCTGACGTTCAATAGCACTTGAAGAAAGCTCTCCTTATTCAAGTCCAATTTCCAATCCTGGAAATTTGGTTTATTTCATTGATACAGTTGCCTTCAGCTTCAAGATAATGTTGCTAGATTGTTATCGACAATGTCCACATCGTAATCTTTTAGCTGATTTTCAAGTTCACTTGTCGTAACTAAATCATCTGGATTTCCGCATAGCTGTTCCTCTAATGGGGTCCATACAAGGAAGTCTTCATAATGAAACAAGATGTTTCACTAATTTAGCTGGGTCTATAAACTTTTTATTTTGTTCCAAAGACAATTCTTTACAAGCTGTTAGAATAGAAATTGTGATGGTGTGGCATTTTAGTGTTTCTTTTTTAGTACAGCATGCACTGTTTTTTCTGTTCTGAATTATCATGATTTCCCTCAGCTAAATCGAAAGTTAGAAGGGGAAAACAATAATTTTATTGACCATTTTACATTATAGCAATTATCTGATGTACTAGAATTAAGAGTGACAGAGAAAAAGGAAGGAAAGACACTTAAACGAGAGTACAACTATGAAAAGTTACATGATCTACAGTCAAGACTGATGTTAGTAGCTGGTAAAGCTGAGATGGGAAAAGATGATGTGGACAGATTTATTTTGGTAATGGTTTGATGATCATTGATGAGAAGGAATTTACTGTAATCTGGTAATGGTGAAAATCAATATTGCAAGACATGCAGTTTTATTAAATGGTCATATATGCCTGCCCTGACCATTGTTTTAAATGAGAGTCAACCAAAAATATCATTGACATGAATTTAAATATAAATTTTCTTAAATGATGAAAATATTGTTTTAGATTTTCATTTTGAAATGACCAGGAGGTTGTCTTTTTATAGTTTAGATTCATGAGGTTTTAAGTCAGCCGCAGCATACGTTAGTATCCACCAGACTACTCTACTAGCCTGTACCAGTAGAAGATGTTGGTTCACATGACTTATTTAAAGTCTTCATTATAAAGTTAATCATGTTAAAATAAAACTTTGTGGTAAATTACCCTAGTTAAGAACAAGGTTTTATTGTGTATCCAACTAGAAAATAGTTATCCTCGTGTGATGTGTTTTCGTACTAATAACAATTTTCACTGCTGACGGTTTTGACTGTTGAGTTTTTATTCAGGTGTTTACTCAAATTTTAAAAGCATGTTCTGTCGAATGTTTTTAGATATCTAGATTTTTTGTCAAGGCTTACTACGATTTGTTACTGTTTCCGATTACTTTGTGATTTTTCATATGTCATATGTTTTCGTATGAATTAAAAATTGGATCAGTACACGAACAGGAAATTACTATAATTTCCAGAAATGAGTATTTTCTGAAGTCTTGGTTCTGGTGATCGCTTGAATCATAAAAAAAGTTATTTAATACTTTTCAGTTCTAAAAAAAACTAGTAAATAGTTTTAGGTTGGTATTTCATATGCTGAAATTGAAACATTGTGATTTATTTCAGATTGGCACTGGGTTTCTACAAAGGACATTATTTTTTATGCCCCCGCCGTAGAGGAGGGGGCATTAAGTTTTACCCTTGTCCGTCTGTACATACGTACGTACATAGGTTTCCGGTTCTCTAACTTCAGTTTGCCTCAACAAAATGTTATGAAACTTATACACAATGTTTATTACCACAAATACAGATCAAGTTTGAATTTTGGTGGGGTCTATTTAACCATTCTGGAGTTATGCCCCTTTATAAATGGAAAAAAATGCAAAATTTTTAGTTTCCGTTCTCTTACTTAAGTTGCCTCAACCAAATGTTATGAAACTTATACACAATGCTTTTTACCACAAAACACATATCAAGTTGAATTTTGGTGGCGTCACATTAATCATTATCGAGTTATGCCCCTTTATAAATCGAAAAATTGCAGAATTTTTAGTTTCCGTTCTGTAACTTCAGTTTGCCCGAACCAAACATTATGAAACCTTGACACAATACTTATTACCACAAAACTGAGATCAAGTACAAATTTGGGTACCGTCACTTTTATTGTTTTTGAGTTATGTCCCTTTATAATGTTGTATGCAAGCCGGGGCATCATCTGTGTCCATGGGGACACATTCTCCATTTATTTGAAAATGAAATGCACGTTTTCAAAATATGGGATTAAATGTAAAAAGTTAAGACTGTTTTCATCTTTGTGTATCAAGGATTTATAAAAAGAATTGTCAATAGAATATTGAATAAATGGATTTTGAACAACCATTTTATTTAAGAACTATGATAATTCTAACTCGCTGGTTTGTAATAAAAATGACAATAAAAACACATGACAGTCACATGTCTTGAAGATCTTGTGTCTGACAGGCAGAAAATATAGCTATACTCATGTAACCCCTCAGAATTTTTCTCAACAACTATTCTAGTGAAGCATATTTTTTACATTAAATAAAAATGGCTGAACAGATAAGTTTAATTTAATAAGTCCTTACGTCTTTAAAAGCGACTTTGAATATGTCATACATTTGTCACGTTGTAGTGTTGTTGTTGTTCCAAATAAAGAGACCAAAAAACACGCCACAATGTATGCATGCGGAGTCGAAACCGACAAAATGTGGTTGATACGAAAACATATGACACGATGATACCTCCAAAAGTTAAAAAAAAAATGTCTGCCACTATACTAATATAATGATGTTTTCCCTCTTTACTGGAGTTTAACATATTTTTTTTTAATTCTCCAGATTTTGGATTCAGTGGTCAGATTATGTAATGTATACATCAAGCTGTTGTCCTCAGGCTGTGTACTGTTTTCAAAGTTCAAAGTCAAATTTAGATGTGACCCAGGAAGTGTTGCATGTGCTTTTGTCAGTTTTGGTGAAGGGGATGTCAAACGCACCATTAGAGGAAAAACAGATGCAGTGAACAAAGATGTCAGCTTTTTCATACCAAAAATTGCTAAGTTTTTAGAGCAGTGCCATGAAAGATGGTTGGAATTTATTGACCTGAAAAGGGAAGACTATTATATTTTAAATTACTTTAGTATAGAACAAATGGTGATTCTTCAACAGGAACTTGTGAAAATAGGCTTTGAAGGTGAACCATCAAATCTGATTTATCCTTTGCTGTCTAATATAAAACATGAATGTACAAGAGATGACCTTATTGAGGCAATGAAGGAGGCACAAGATGAATTGGAAGACATGGATATAGATGAAGCTGAGGAGTTTGAGGAAGAGGTTTCTATGGAGGAGGAGGACAATGAGGCAGTTACAGGGAGGTTTATACTACAGCTGATGGAAGCTGGATATTCTGAAGGTCTTGCAAGGGAGGCACTGAAAACTGTTGCTCCAGATCAGATTGATGAAGGTATGTAAATGAACAAATCACCCTTTGTCCATCTGTCTGTCTGTCTTTCCTTCTGTCCATCAGTCAGTCTGACAAATCAGTTTTTCAGTTTTTTCCTTCATTCTTGAAGATATTGATTTGCTATTTGGTATATAGTTTTATCATATCAAGTTTGAAGTTTGTTCTGGTCTGATGATTTTGTGCCGAGTAATGGTTTGCGGACTTCACCATGTTCAGGCAAGTAATCAGTTTTCTGCACTATTTTTGTCATGCTTGAAGATATTGATTAAAAAATTTTATATAGTTTTATATGACAAATTATAGATCAAGTTAGAAATTTTGTTCAGTATGGAGGATTTTTTTTTCCAGAGTTATGGTTCTTGGAAATATAAAATTCAGTCAAATAATCAGTTTTCTGCACTTTTTGTTGTTTTTATACTTGAAGATATTGATTAGATATTTGGTTTATACTTTTACCATGAAAAGTTATAGATCAAGTTAGCCTTTTGTTCCAGCACAATGCATCTTTAACCAGTAGGGGATTATGTGTTGCTATCAATACTCTCAGAATACTTGTTGTGGTAAAAAAAAACACTTATAAATAAGTTTGCTGACATTTTGACAACCTTTTGTTATGTACTTAATTATAGGTATAGCATGGTGTATAGAGCATGATGAAGAAGCCATTGAATTTGAGACATCAGCAACAGATGGAAAATCAGAACAAAACGAGGATAAAACATTCAGTGGCTGGAGCACTGGAAATGATTCATTGGCTACAGTTAGAACAAGGCTATTGGAAACTATTGGTGTTGGTGCTACTCAAGGGTAATAGTTTTAGAATTAAGCAATTTAAGTTTGATATGTATTTTATCTCTCTTTCAATATTTCTAGCTCAAAAGATATTTTTTAAATATTTTTTTTCTTTTATACACCTGTTTTATTTAAGGGCATACGATACAGTTTTGATCCCATGATGAAATTTTGATGAAAATTTGCAAATAGGGTATTTTTCACCTGATTAAATCAAATGTGTAATAAAAAATTTACCTTCATTTGCTACTTGTTGAGTAACATGAGGTCTAAATTTCAGATATTTGCTCAAAATTCAGATTTGCATGATTTGTGGACATATTTTTTCTTCCGACAGAAATGCATAGCGTTTTTGTTTTAAAATATAAACACAAGCTGTTTTTTGTTATATTATTTGTAATTTCTGTATATATCCAATAAATTTATGAATTTTTTCCCAGAAATTACTAGAATTTATCAAATGTTCATGAATGTAGAGAAAAAACGTCATTTTTTGCTGTATATTTATCAAATTTAAAAAAAAATGCATTATTGACTTTTTCATGAAAATTGGTACAAATAATCTTCATATGTGATCAAACTGAATGTTATTTTAAAAAAGAGGGGTCCGTGAACTTGTTTTCAAGTTAAACCAGTTTGAATGATAAAAATCAGTCGAAAAATGCATCTTTTACGATATATCACAGTTTGACGTCTTGAAAACAACATTTTACGTTAGCAACGTCATTACCTTCCCTGTAACTGTATCGTATGCCCTTAAAGAAAGGACATATCATGGTATACAGATGTCCATCTGTTTGTACATTGTCAACACTTCAGACAATAATGCTTTTAACACTTTTCATGAAACTTTGGTGAAATGCTTATTTCTATTGATTTGAGCTTAGTCTCGATTTTTATAAATTTTGGATTTTACATTTTAGAGTTGTGGGATTTTATTCATAAAAAGGGGGAATTTTCCTGTTTCTGACTATAATTCAAAAATGCTTAAAGCAATTTTCATGAAATTTTGGTAAATTGTTGACATAAGTTGTCTTTTGATATTTTTAAATTTTTTATTTTGTGTTTTTGAGTATTTTAATTGACTTTATACATGTACATAAAAAAGGTGAATTTTCCAGTTTTCTGACAATACACGCTTTGAGCAGTCTTTATGAAACTTTGGAGATGTGTACATCTATTGAAATAAGCTTTCTTTTCTTTTTAATATAAATTTCTGATATGACCATGTGATGACATTGCTGAGTTATGGAACTTTTATTCTTTCAAAATTGTGGAATAAAAGAATGATGGGTATATCATGCCATTACTGCCCAGCTCTTTATTTTGTCATGCATGCTCCTTAAATTGGCCTTAGTGTTTTTTGTCTTTGATATGCATGGCTTCCAAAACAGTCATATATTCCGGACATTTATAAATTGTTCAGCTGGGAAAAACATGAAACTACTGTTAGTTTTCATAGGTTTTTTAAGAAACTTTTACTGCATGTTTTAGTCGTATATTTCTCAGCGAAGAAACAGTGTGGCATGTTTTCAGATATTTGATAGTTCTTTTAACCATTTACATAAGACATATCTTTCAAGTCATGTACAACTATTTGAATTTTTTGTCACATTTCTATTGTGCAGGGGTATAATTAGTAAGTAAGAGCTCATGATACATTTTTAATGCCCCTGCCGTAGCGGAGGTGACATTATAAGTTATCAACGTTCATATCCGTAGATATGGATATTTTAACACCCTAAAGTATCCAAGTACACCCTGAGGCACACGCCGGAGGGTGTACAGGATACTAAATGGTGTTAATATATCCATATCTATGGATATAAAGGTAGGTCTTAGTCTAAATCTTGCGATTTTTAGAGAAATTAGACCATGAAGTTTAACGTGAAAGCACTGTTTTTTCATTTTTTAAATATCTTTTATTGAAATTTGGGAATTTGACATATTTTTAACGTGGTGTAGGGTACTACTACCTTTGGTAGAACCCTACAGGTAGACAAATAAAAGACGTTTTAATCTAGAGTCAGAGAAACTGAAATGGGTCGAAATTGGTGCTCAATGTTGTGAGAGTTACATCATAGACTGTGTGACGTCAATGTGGGTCATTTGCATAGCTAGGTCAGCAGTCCAATTCATTAACAATGTGGCAGCATAGTGATGTATTTACTAAAATGAGTACAAATAATCAACATTCTAAGATAAAATCGTTAGTGGATTAATTATCTAATTATACAGACATCATGGATAATCTACAGAATTCAATATTTCATAAGGAACAACCATGGAACTAAGGAAAACGTGTGTGAAGTTCCCCCGATGTAAGGGGTAGCAACAATCGCGGATATTGGTTAGCAACACCATGGGGCTATGGGTATTGTAACGACATGCGTTAACCAATAAAAATCCTAGAAATATACTAAGCCAGGGATAATAAGTTTTACCCTTGTCTCGTCCTTCCAGTCCTTACCCCCCCAAAATTGGTTTCCATTCTTTAACTTTAGTTTGCCTCAACCAAATGTTATGAAACTTATACACAATGCTTATAACCACAAAATACTGATCAAGTTTGTAATCTGGTGGCGTCACTTTGACTGTTTTTTGAGTAATGCCCCTTTATCAATGGAAAAAATTGCTATATCTGTCGTCTCCATCTTTAACTTTAATTTCCCTCAACTAAATATTAAAACTTATACACAATGCTACCAATTACAAAATGTGGTAATCAATGTGAATCCTGCATCTGTTTATGGAGATTGACTCATATATATTTACAAGCAGGAGCATATGTGGGCCATAGCCACATTATCCATTTATTTTTTTCTTTGTCAGGTGTTCATGTATAAATCCACAACAACAACAAAAAGTGGCTAGAGATTTTTAGGAAGGATATTTGACCATAAGTATTTTCATTTCAGACTAGATAGTTCAGTAGATGTATTGATAGAAAACCTAGAGAAATTATGGGAAAATTTTGTTGGATCAATATCCTCTAGTGTGTCAGACTATCTCAGTGTAGAACATCTAGCTCTTATTTTGAGAAAAGTTGCAGATAAAGGTAATATATATCTTCGATTGTGTCAGTCTTCAGTAATGTGTGTCAGACTATCTTCCAGTGGAGAACATCTAGCCATTACAGTAGGGATATTTAATAAGAAAGATTGTTGATAAAGATTAATAGATCCCAAAATTGTTCAGAGTATCCCTCAGTATGCTAAGACTATCCTCCAGTGTCATAAATTTTAAAGTAAAAAGATGTGATATGGTTGCCGTTGAGTCAACTATCCAACAGAAACCAAATGTTTTGGATGTTAGCAATTACTGCAGATTCATTTATCTTGTGGGTACCCATACAGAAAAAATGATAGGATGGCCAACTGCATTACTCAACTGGCCGCCAGTTGAACAAACAGTTGAGGGCTAGCTGGCCATCAGTTGAGCAAATAGTTGAGGGCCAGTTGAGGGCTACCTGGATTTTTGCCATGCAAATTAGGTAGCCCTTTTTAATAATTTCTGATATTATAAATAAAATGTCATTCAAACTAGTTTTACAGTGACGCTAGTGTATCAAACTTGTATTCTGTCACTTCAAATTTGTTAAAATCGAAAGTATTATCGCAGAATTGTGCAGAATGCAAACCAGGTAATAAAAAAATGGCGGCCATGATTTTACAAATTCCCAAACTATTATAAAACACTTCACATCAAATAAATCAAACTTATTTTGGTAATTTTATATGACAAAATATATCTACTAAATGATAAAACTTGTATTTATTTACAATTAGAGTTAAGTGGTTTATTTGTTGAGCAGTTCTGATAGTTTTTCAGTCAGACGCTACCAAAATCCGTAAATCTCGGGAAGTCTCGCGGAGTCTGAGATTTTATCAATTTTATACTGAAAAGCGTATCAGATTCATTTCCCGTTAGATATACTGTTCCCAGCTAGAAGACATCTTTGCTTGCCATGTGCATGCTCAAGCCCAGTTAAAATTTTAAATGTTTGAGGTTGTTTAGGGTATTTTGACAGTGTGATCCCTTTGAAATTTGCCCCTAATAATAACTGTTAATTACCTAAATCATGAATATTTGATATATCTTATAATAAAAAAAATACTGTTTGTTTTTTTTAATTTATCTTTATGTTATAAGTTATAGTTAAGGGATCATAGATTTATTCTTACGAGCAAGCTCTGAGCATGCTCGGAGGATGCTCGGAGCTTTTTAAGTAGGCTCTTCTCAGAAGTTTATGTGACAATAATTATCATGATCCATCAAGATGTCAATCAAATCTATAGCACTTTTATAATAAGGAAAGTAGAGCATTATAGAGGAAGCTCCATTAACATCTGTGTAAACATCTGGTCTATTCAAACAAATCTTGCATTAATTTTACAAAACTATAAAATAGATGAGAAATTCTTCAATATTACTGTACAATGCTTGGTATCGAGTCTTCACAGAAAGAAAATGATTTTAAAACATTTTCTTAATAATTATCATTCTTTTTCAATACACATGATACAAAAAAACACTCAAATTTTATATTTGAAACATAAATATATTTTAAATTTATACTATATGAAATGAAATATATAAGTCATCAAAGACACAAACTATGGTTATTGATTTATAACCATACTACCAAAACATAGTACATTCAGTTTCATGCGAAAAAGGGTTGATCTTTTTTTATATTCCATTTAATTTGACAGTTGTTTGAAATTAACCCTCCACTTCATTGCAGAAAAGTTTTTTTGAGTCGTAAATATGTTTCTTGGGTGTTTCAAAGCAATAAAAATATACTATATTCTACAGGGAAAAAAGGGGGAGAGAATTTGGTTAACTTCTGGTGATGTTTACTTTCTTATATGCACTGAAAAGTTATGCTATATTTTCACTGTAGTACAGGACATTTTTTTATGTCAAGTATTTCTTTATTTAAAACATAAATAAATTCTGCACATTTTTTTTGAAATATAATAATCATGACAATTAAACAAAGACTTATAGAGGGAAAATAATTTTACTCATGCCAAGTATTTCTTTATTTAAAACAAAGCTAAATCTGCACAATTAAAAAAAAAGCCAAGTAAAGAGAGACATACTAGAGGGAAAACAATGGTGGTATTTCCCCCTCAAACCAGGCTTCCACTAATGAATTACAACTTTTCTTAAAGTAGCAATAATTTTCTATAAAAGAACTTAGTTTGCTATTTAAAAAAAACATATTACCATTGTTTAGTTAGGGGCATTACTTAAACAAGTAATTTTCAAAATTACCTATACAAGTTATGTTGAAAACGAGGCTGTTTCAAATATTACTTCTATATCATGAATAAGTAACTTCTGTTAATATTATTTTTATAGGTGTCCATTCATACAGGTTTTACTAGCTTAAACAAATTTTCACAGACATCTGGTTATTTTCCCCATGAAATATACTGGTAAAACTATTTAAATCCTCAACAAGCACTAATTGCTTTTCTGATGCCACACTTCTTGGTCAAAGATTGGCCTCTTGGGGCTATTAAAATATCATTTCCCCTTAAAATCTTAGAGATAGACAGTTATAACTAGATATGGAACCTTTAATTAAGACTTGAAGTTATTTATAATTTGAATCTTAATCAAAAGCAATTACATATATTCCTTAAATAATTGTAAGTACTAAGTTTTTTGAAGTTGTATAAAATAATTTATTAAAGTAATATTTTTGTCATTATTTTTTAAAGTAACTTCTCTATACTCATTTAAAATTGGATAAATACTTAATTTTATTTAATGAAATGATATAAAATTCTTAAAAACTACATTTAGTCCATGCTTTATTTGACATTTAAAATAACTATTGAGTTATTAAATAATTTTTAAAAACAAAAAATACTTATAAAAGTGACTAAAAAAAATTACTTGTTTAGTATCGCCACCTGACTGTTGTTTGTGTCTTGATAACTTTCATGTAGCATATTATATAATATAAACTATTTTTAAATCATATCTAATTATAAAATTTGAGAATTTTTTTATTATAAAAAAAGGAATGATTATTAAATATAATAAGAAAACATTTAAATGACTTTTACTTTTTGTGGAGACTTGAGATTTCTTTCCAAGCATTACACAGCACTGTTGAAGAATTTCTAATCTATTTTATAGTTTTGTAAAATTTCATGCAAAATGTATTTGAATAGACCAGATGTTTACACAGGTGTTTATGGAGCTTCCTCTATAATGCTCTACTTTCCTTATCATAGAAGTGGTGTAGATTTGATTAACATCTTAATGGATCATGATAATTATTGTCACATTAACTGCTGAGAAGAGCCTACTTAAAAAGCTCCGAGCAACCTCAGAGCATGCTCGGAGCTTGCTCGTAAGAATAAATCTATGATCCCTAAGTTAAAATACAGAAAAATGTATAAAAAGATGTGCTTCCCTTGATTTGGCCTCAAACTCTGTGTACATTTATAATAGTACTTCCTGTCTACTTGCATTATACACAGAGATAAATGGAAACCAGATGGCACATAACATTTATATCACCAGCTCATATTTCTAATTGCTCAACTTTTGCTCAACTATATGAAAAGTTAAACCAAAGATCAATTGCTCAACTTTTCCTCAACTTAATGACCAGCTTCAGTTGAGGGCCAGTTGAGTGACATCTATCAAACATACAGTGCTTGGCCAGGTTTGAGTTGAGCTAAGATGCTCAACTATTTTGCTTAAAACAGCTAGCCCTCAACTGTCCGCCACATGGCCCTCAACTGGCCCTCAACTTTTTTTTCTGTAGGGGTACCAAATTTCGTTGATTGTGTAAAATTTGCATTTGTGTGGATACTTGAATTCATGGTTTTGCCAAAATCTGCAAATAAAAATATAGAAAATTTGTCATTTGGTGAATACCTAAATTTGTGGTTCACTTTTACCAACAAAATCCATGAAAATTGGTATCCAACAAATAATAATAAATCCTCAGTATAAGACTATTCTCCAGTAAGTCAGTCTATCTCAGTATAGAATATCTGTCTCTCTTCTTGAGGGAAATTTGTTGTAAATTAAAATTATGTAGACACCACTTTATTTTTACAAACAATGAAAAAAATAAAATAAGCAGATGTGCTTAAGAGCTAGTTCATGGAAAAAACATTTACAGTAATTTTCTTACAGAGTGTTAAATGATATACTGAAAACCAACTTATTTTCGCAAGTGATTTATTTTTGCAACTTTCACTAGTAGAAATAATGCGAAAATAAATTGTCCAGAATATGGAAACTTCGATGGTTCCTTATTCAAATAAATTTGAAAATCGGGATATTAAATCTCTGCGAAAAAGGGATAGAACGCACTTAACTCGAAATAAAGTATCTGTGAATATAAGTTGGTTTACAGTATAACCGGGTACAAGTTACAAATATGAAATGATTTTGATTCTAATGGTTTTATTTTATTTTTCAGAAACCATGTCTGTTGAAAGATCCTTCGCAGTATGTGGTTGTAAAGAAGGAATTGCTAATTTGATTGTCTGTTCACAAAGTATGTTCAACATTACAAGCTTTAATTAATGTGTTGTACTAGTTTTGTTTATTTTCACTGCAGCTATGAAACTGTAAAAATAGATTTTATAATGACAACCTCAAAAACATGATAGAACAGCTTTCCTAATATCAAAAAATTGGTGAATTCTAGCTCACATTTTGTGTGGAAAAAAAATCCTTGAACATGCTACCAAGATAAGTCATTTTACATATTTGATTGGATTCAGAAAATGGTTAATAAGTTATAACCTAATGGAACAGGTTTAATATCTATTATATTCCTTACAAACATTATTTGATGGTAAATAAGAGTGAGTTTGATTGTCTCGACTTTCTTCCCTTTGTCCAATTCAGGAATTTTAATTAAACCTGCACTCAGTAATTTATCCTGAAATATTATGATTGGAAGTTAAAATTTTCTTTGCAAAAAAAAAATGAAAGCAGATAAAAACAAACAAATATTTGGTGAATTTAGTGTTGGTACTGGTTATTAACTCACATGGCCTAAAAGGTGATGTGAGCCTATACCATCAATTGGTGTCTGTGAGGTCATCCTTAGTGTATTGGCCATCGTCACTCATAATTTATTTTCAAAGATCATTTCCTCTGAAACTATTGAACCGATTTGAAGGAAAATGGGATGAATTATCTAGGATATTTAGTATAAATTTTGTGGCTCAAATTCAAACAAAAGGCATTAATTGTCTCCTATCTTGAAAACTTTATAGAGAGATAAATCTACCTACCTGCTTATTTCAACAAAATAATCAGATTTATTCTTAAGGAGTTATCTGGGCGTCATTTTTTAATCTTGTTATATCTTGCAGGTGAGATGTACAACACAGTATTAACCCTGTACAGTACAGAAGATGATTCTCCATTACCACTGTCAGATGAAGTCTTACTCTGTACACCGAATACAAGTCTTGATATGGTATTTATTGCTATAGTCCTTAAAGAAAACAAATTGTAAAAACTATCTTCTAAAAAGACTGAACTTTTTTGGTGTCTTGGTACTTTTAAAGCTGGTCACAAGAGGTCACAATTTCGATCTCTGACCAGGTTAATTCAAAGACTTAAAATTTGTCTTTGCTGCATGCTGCATTATAGGCATCTGACATTTAGGAATGAGAGCAAAAACTGATTTATAGTTTCAAGAGTTAGAATAATGTGACAGGGTAAGATGACAAATCTTCCTGTGTAAACTGATTCTTTGTGAAGTGACACCATGAGAATTTGATTTAATGTAGTGGTCTAGTACAAAGCAGGGTTCATATTCATATTTCATTAAAATGTTCTCTCCTTATATCCATGTTATATTTGCTACTGAACTGATACATTCAATTCATTGTCAGATTTCAAAAACTAAATTTCTTTTAAGTGGTCTGTATATGATTCTGGAACCAGGTTCAGTATACATGATAATTAAGGCTTGTGAAGCCTTATGACCCAAAATACAAGTTCCACAAGAAACCCTTAACACATGTTTAAGTGTCTCAGATTAAGGTAACATGTAATTGTGTCTACATATTTTAAAGGATGTTTGTTATTGCTTATGATTTTCATGTTTTCTAGCTTGAAATATTCTGGAGAAGATCATTATTTGGAGATAGTGGTAAAATATATTGTTTAGTTTATGCAGATCTACTAGATTATGAAGTGAGTGACAAAGGAGAGAAATTACTTGAGAAGCACATGAAAAATGCACAAAATAGAGGTAAAGATTTTCACATATTTTAACTATTGCACAACACAAGTAGAGGTAGAAATACTCAACTATGCGAGCTATTAGTCTTTTCGTTATTTGATGGGGTGGACAGGGGGTCCCTGATTCCCACTTGACTACCAGAAACTCCCAATTTCCTCCTCCCTTACTTCTAGACAAAAATCTTTCCAAAAATGTTTCCAAGAATAAACCTTTTTTATGCCCCGTTTATGGGCATTATGTTTTCTGGTCCATCCATTCTTTCGTTCGTTCGTCCATCTATCTGTCCCGCTTCAGGTTAAAGTTTTCAGGTCAAAGTTTTTGGTCGAGGAAGTTTTTGATGAAGTTGAAGTACAATCAACTTGAAACTTAGTACACAGGTTCCCTATGGTATGATCTTTCTAATTTTAATGCCAAATTAGAGATTTTACCTCATTTTCACAGTCCACTGAACATAGAAGATCATAGTGCTGATAGGGCATCTGTGTACTATGGACACATTCTTGTTTTATAGTCCTACTCTTTCCCACTTCCTATGTTCCCTTACCCTTGTCCACCCATCTTATATAGACTATATATATATTAATTCTCAGTTTGCAATTAATAATTCTGCATTCAACTTTTCATTATAAAATCTTAATCTACTGCAGAGAAAGATTAAGAAGATTCCTACAAAAACGTTTGCAAACCAAATCTAAATTGAAATAGCCACAATCTAAGACCACCCTATGTGGGTAATTAAAAAAGATTGTCATGCCATTAAAAAATCTATTCATTGTCATATTTAGGGTTAATAATTCATATCATATACATATATAGCTGTATATATATTTGGTATTTTAGCTGCTGATTCATTTTTAAAACTGGAGATTATGTTTTTCTTGTTTTCAGCGATACAGTTCAAGTTAGTGGTGGTTTGCAGTCGAGAGAATGAATACAAATCCAGAATGGTAGCAGCATTAGACAAATATCGTAGACCACAAATGTCATTTGGTGGAGAAAAACATGTAAAGACTTATCTATCTAAAAGATTTCTGGTAGATAAGCCAATCAGTGGGATAGAAACTGCATCATCTGTTGATTTTGATAGGTAATTGTATTTTTGTCTTGCTTGACGAATTTAAAAAACGAGACATAGGTATGCTGTTTCCGGCGGCTGCGGCAGCGGCGTCAACAATGTATTAGTTTGTGATTAGGTCTAGTTTATGGCGAACCACTAGTGGTAAGTCAAAGATATTTGGTATGCAGTTGTATTAGTATTGGCACATCTCATTACCATGGAGATTATTTGCCCCCGCCCCCTCAGTTATGGTCTATTGACTTTGAAATTTTTGCTTAATTTTCATGTATTAGTTTGTGATTAGGTCAGTTTATGGGCAACCACTAGTGGTGAATTAATGATAATTGGTATGCAGTTGTATAAGCATTGGCATATCTCATTTCCATGGAGATTATTTGGCCCCGCCCCCTCAGCATACTTGCCAACCTCTGACAATGAAAAATCATGTCATGACATGACATGACATGTCAAAAAGCGTGTGAAAAGGCATGACGTAGATGCAGACTTTTTAATATGAACAATGTTCATAATTTCACATTATATGCAAATTCGTTAATATAAAAAACAATATTCAACTGTAAACTTTTATTGTATTCAACAGTGGTCTGTTTTGCTGCTTTTAAAGCAACACCACTAGGCACATAGTCAAAACACCTGCTGGTTTTGTTACATTTACTTGATAACAAGGCACACAATATATCATTGTCGAGTTCTGATCAGAATTCAGTGTAAATTTCTTTATAATTGAAAATGATCTCTCACAGTCAGAATTGATATTTGGCTGAACTAAAATAGCTTCATGAAGCTTTGAAAGAGTGTCATAATGTTTTTTTGCCATCTAAAATGTCATCTATGATCTCTGTCATTGCTCCCAACAAACTATACAATATATGTTGGTATTGCCTTGTCAAAAATGGGTAGTTCATCAGAAGACAGCTAATACTACATGAGAACTGATCCAACAGTTCCGTGATATTTCCATCCCCAATGGCCTGTGGAAATCTGTTGGCTACATTTGAAACTGAAAAAGAAAAATATTTTATAATTGTTAAATGCTTAATCAAATAGCTATGTATTTTAGCTCTCCTCTCATATGTATTGTTATGATTGCAACATAGAGTGCACAATGCGTTACTCATCCCTCTATGATTTAAACTCGAACTCCCAAATATAATTTATAAATCTTGAATCTTGGTACGTACAAATCGTTTTTGCTTAGAAATCGGCTCTTTAGACGACGGTACAGGTCCTGAAAGCTACCTCTTTCTGTGGACATTTCCCCTAAGTGAATTTGAAAGAAAGAAAGTCCCAAAATCGTAAAAACTAATCACAAACTACTTACCTTAAGAGCTTTTGCTGTTCGTCCATATAGAAAAATAAACAATGGCCACCAAACAATTACTTCGAAATTTCGGTATTTATCGTGTTATAATGAAAAAACCTGAGAATCGCGATATCACTTACAACCAAAAAATCAAAACAACGAAAAAGCGTGTAATTGCGTGTAAAGTGGTGAAAAGCGTGTACACGCCATGTGATAAAATCCTCGCGTGTAAACCGTTGAAAAAGCGTTTATTACACGCGAATATCATGTCAGTTGGCAACTATGCCCCTCAGTCATGCTCTATTGACTTTGAAACTTTTGCTTAATTTCATGTATTAGTTTGTGATTCGGTCGGTTTATGGGGAACCACTAGTTATAGGTCAATGATATTTGGTATGCAGTTGTATTAGCATTGGCACATCTCATTACCATGGAGATTATTTGACCCGCCCTCTCAGTTATGGTTAATTGACTTTGAAATTTTGCTTAGTTTACATGTATTAGTTTGTGTTTAGGTTTGTTTAAAGGGAACTACTTATGATAAGTCAATGGTATTTGGTATGCAGTTGTTTTAGCATTGGCACATCTCATTTCCATGGAGATTGTTTAGCCATGTACCTTCAGTCATGGTTCATTGACTTTGAAAATTTGCAAAACTTACATTTTAAAGTGTTGCTATTTTAATTTCAACATTTGCATTATCGAAATTACAAAAAAGCGAGACATATCTCTGTGATAACAGTTTATTAGGAAACTTTTTTTATCCCATGCAATGATAAGTATGGCAGAATATAGATTTAACTCTGTCAGTGTGTCTGTTCTTCTATCGTAAGGGAACGTCCGGTCAGAATGGGGACGTTAAATCCAATGCCTCGTGTAAAGAAAGTGCCACGCTCTTTGCACGTTAAGAACCCTTGTAACAACTCTTTGAGGGGTCTGTAGGTGGCCTGTTGCAAGGCAAAATTTCTGTCCCTATCCATTATACCCTCATTTTCCAGTGGCAGTCCAAATTTCCCTGACCATCATCCTGGATGGCCTCTATTATTACTAGACCTACCTATTGTATTTATTGTTAACTTGTTCTTGTCCTAAAGATGCATGAAATATTTGCCACTGGACGTTAAGCAACCAACAATCAATCAATCTATCGTAAGGGATTCACTATTATTTCAGACAAGAATAAAGCCTTAATACAAATGCTTGCCACCATATACTGTAATACAAATCATAAAGTCATTGTTGATACTTCAATTTTACTTGAGACTATAACCTGTTGCCAATTACAAGCATAGACTATCCATGGCCAGAAATCGACAATGATGAAAATCATTGACAGTGATTAGATTTTTTCATTTTTATGCCCCCGCCGTAGCGGAAGGGGCATTAAGTTTTACCCTTGTCCGTCTGTATGTATGTACGTCCGTACATCCGTCCGTACATACGTCCCAAAATTGGTTTCCGTTCTCTAACTTGAGTTTGCCTCAACCAAATGTTATGAAACTTATACACAATGCTTATTACCACTAAATACAGATCAAGTTTGAATTTTGGTAGCATCGCTTTAACAATTCTAGAGTTATACCCCTTTATAAATGGAAAAATTGCAAAATATTTAGTTTCCGTTCTCTAACTTAAGTTTGCCTCAACCAAATGTTATGAAACTTATACACAATACTTATTACCATTAAACACAGATCAAGTTTGAATTTTGGTGGTGTCACTTAAATGGTTCTAGAGTTATGCCCCGTTTTAATGGAAAAATTGCTAAATTTTTAGTTGCCGTTCTCTAACTTAAGTTTGCCTCAACCAAATGTTGTGACACTTAATATACACAATGCTTATTACCCCAAGATACAGATCAAGTTTGAATTTTGGTGGTGTCACTCAAACTGTTCTAGAGTAATGCCCCTTTATAAATGGAAAAATTGCAAAATTTTTAGTTCCGTTCTCTAACTTAAGTTTGCCTCAACCAAATATTATGAGACTTACACACAATGCTTATTACCATAAAACTCAGATCAAGCTATAATTTGGGTAGCGTCACTATTACCGTTCTTCAGTTATGTTCCTTTATGACTATATAATATGCAAGCGGGGGCATCATATGTGTCCACGTGTGGACACAATCCACATTTTTTTTTTCTTCAGATCAAGTGTTCGTGTGGTAAAATCATGGAGAGCTGGAGTGGGTAAAAGTTTGTTCAAGAGAAACATGGTTACTGCTTTAAAGGAGAATCAACTTAATGTAAATGCTGACGAGGATAAACATGCTGCAGTGTCCATACCACTATATGACAGAACTATAGTTGTTGATGAAGTATTGGAGGTCTTACTGGAACATACCAACCCTCCACACATCAGAAAACCTAGGATATTCCATTTTGATATTTCTCATGAGGTTTGTTGTTTTGAACATAAATGTTTGAAATTCTTACTTAGAAGGTAAACAGGAATTAAAAAAAAAAATATCTTGAAGTTTGTATTATGGTAAAACAAAATTAATTTTCATAAAATTTTTGCTTTACGAAAACAGTCATGTGTTTATATGCTTTATACAAGAACAAAACAACTTAGGGTTTATTTGAAAATTTAAAAAGATTTAAAATTAGGGGAGATAAACTCAAAAGATTTTATTTTTATAGTACTTTAAACTGTGCATTTACTTATTTTTTGTTTTTTTTGTTGTTTTGTTTGGTGTTGTTGGGGAGGGTGGTCAGAGAATGTTCATTAAAAGTTTTTATAACCAAATTGTGGTTATTTTTTTGGAAATTCTTCTTACATTAATGAATCAAAGGACATATGAGTTAATTTGAAAAAGACCACAGAAAAAGAGAACACAATATAGACAAAAAGAAGTATCCTGTGGTCAACAAAATCTAGGAAAATGTATTTCAATTTCATTGATTTTATGTTGAATAATGTCTGACAAATATTGTATTTAGGTTGATTTATGTTTAGTGGAAAATATATCTCATAGTTATTTATTACATGGTGGTAGACAGGTCGAAGGTTCATGCAAATCAAACAATTATTTGCTTGTAGGTACAAGAGGGTGTAGATGCTTTCCTGTTCCAGTTGTTAGTGTTGGGATGTCTGAGTCATACTTCAGGAAACGTATGGCGTAGATCTGATATGGACTATTACATTATAGAGTCGATGCCTCTTCTAGCAAGGGATTCAGATACACAGGTATTAACAAAACATTATGTCATAAAAATCCATGACTCAACTGGCTAGGCTTTCTTACTACAAACATTATTGTATCATAACATTCATGCTTCTGCTGGCTAGGCATTTAAATACACAGTTACATAATATAGTAATTAGCTAGTGTATCACAGAACTTATGCCTACTTTGGCAATACTCTCAGATTACATAATTTTAATTTTTTGCACTTTTTATTAGTTTATCAGTTTTTGTTTTAGACTTAGGAGTTTAAATGTTCCTTTGGTATCTTTTGCCTCTCTTTTTTTATGCCCCCGCAACTGAAAGTTATTCCCCTGCAACTGAAAGTTGAGGGGCATATTGTTTTACCATTGTCCATCTGTTTCCGTCCCATTATAGGTATATAGCTATTCCACACAACTCCTCCTACGGTTTGAATGTTAGGAAGTTTTCACTTTGCTGGCTGTTTGTACATTTATTGAGGGTGTGCATGTGGTCAGGGTTTTGATTTTTATTGATATTTTCTCTTTTGGGAGATAGTTGAACTTTTTCATTTTTGGAGTACCAGGTATATACTTGCATAAGAGGTGCATAGCGTTTCTGGATAACTCCTCCTACAATGAACCATAGACCTATGTGCTCCTTTGCTCATCTTTGTATATTTTAAAATGACACTTTGCATCTGCGGGGGCATCATTTGTGTCTTCCTGGCACAATAATATCTCAAAGAAAGTCCTTCATTGACTTTGTTATAATACAGTTACTTAGGAGTGGAGTACGGGGGCATCACTTAGTCTAGTTTATAATCGAGATAAGTTTGATATATTTTGAAATTCCTAGTTTTACAGCTATATTTATTTATTTAATGCCTTTTTTAGGTTGGAAAGTTAAAATGTATGCACCGTTGTTTAGACATCTTTCCAGATGTTTTATGCAGGTCACCAAAAGAAAGCCTTGATATTTTTTATGAGAATTTTCCTGATGGTAAGTGTTGTCAGACAAAAGTATTTTGTATACCATGACACAATATGTGAGATGAGGGATTATGAATATGCAAGTGTCTACCCCCCTCACCTCACTGGATTGTTAGAGCGCCAAGAGTCTTGTTTTGCACTGAAATTGAATAAATTTCAGACTGTATGATTATTTTCAACCGCATTTTCGAAGGAAATATCGGTTATTAAAATGGTGATGTACGGCGGGCGGCTGGGCAGATCTACGGGCGGCTGCCAAACAGTGTCAGCACAATAACATGAACACGCTTTAACAAATTTTTTTCAAATTCAAATATGTTGTTTCCTGGGACTTCATGAAGGTCTAGTTCAATTTTCTAGATATTAGTATATCTCCTTTGTGAGTTATCGCCATTTTTAATATCCAAAAGTTGAATTTTCAAATATTTTACTCTTGTTATCTTTTTTATGACTAAGCATAATGTCTTATCTCACAATAAAAATTGGAGTGACAGATTTATTTGAAAATTATCTATTTCCTAAGTGGTAATGATAATAAGCTATATTATTAGACATTTTGAAGTTAATTACATTATTAATTATTAATTAGATCTGGGTTATATCTTAGCATATAATATCATTGGAGTGACAGATTTATTTGAAAATTTTCTGTTTCCTGATAAGATCTGTAGGACTGTATATATTAAGTTTGAAATTTACTAGTAGGACTGTATAAATGAAATTTGAAATTTACTGTTCATTATTAGACATTTTGTAGATAATTAAGTCTCCCTAAACCATATATATTCTTACCCCCACCCCCTTTCAATTTGAGAATGTGCTTTCATCTTGTAAACGGTTGAGATCCCCACCCCTAAACCATATATATTATTGTATGGGACAATAAAACAAATCAAATGAAATATTTGGGGAGTCCCCGGGTTCACCCCCACCCCCCTACTTTTTGAAAACTTGTAAACAGTCAAGATCCCAACTCTGAAACCATATATATTCTTGTATGTGACAACAAAACAAATCAAATGAAATAAAAGGCGAGTCCCCTGGGGTCACCCCCACCCCCTCCTGTTTGAGAACTTGTAAACGGTCGAGATCCCCACCCCTAAACCATATATATTCTTGTACGGGACAATAACACAAATCAAATGAAATATAGGGGAAGTCCATGGGGGTCACCCCCATCCCCCTTTTTTTTTGAAAACTTTGTAAACGGTCAAGATCCCCACCCTGAAACCATATATATTTTTGTATGGGACAATAAAACAAATTCTAATGAAATAAAAGGCGAGTCCCCTGGGGTCACCCAACCCCATCCTGTTTAAGAACTTGTAAACCGTCGAGATCCCCGTCCCTAAACCATATATATTCTTGAATGGGACAATAAAACAAATCAAATGATATATAGGGGAAGTTCATGGGGGTCACCCCCACCCCCCTTCTTTTTGATAACTTGTAAACAGTCGAGATCCCCACCCCTAAACCATATATATTCTTGTTTGGGACAATAAAACAAATCAATTGAAATTGAGGGGGGGAGTCCCCTGGGGTCACCCCCACCTCCCTTTTTTTTGGAAAACTTGTAAACGGTCAAGATCCACACCCTGAAACTATATATATTCTTGTATGGGACAATAAAACAAATCAAATAAAAAATAAAAGGTGAGTCCCCTGGGGTCACCCCACCCCCTCCTGTTTGAGAACTTGTAAATGGTCGAGATCCCCACCCCTAAACCATATATATTCTTGTATGCAATAAAACAAATCAAATGAAATATAGGGGAACCCTACTGAAAATGAGTACGGGATTCCACTGGATTTCCAGTGAAATTACACTGGTATTCAGTGGAAAAAAATATTCCGATGGAATCCCATTAGAATTTCATCCAAAACATCTGGAATATTTTTCACACTGTAATTCCAATGGAAAATCAGTGAAATTTCCAATGAAACTTCCAAAGATTTTCCAATTAATTTCCAGTGGAATATTATTGTTTATATTTCAGTGGAGTTTTGATTTAATGCAAATATTCCAGTGGAATTTTGGACTTAGAAATTTAAAGGAATATATACTTCTAATTTAAATTTTTCAAATAATTAAGTGCATGATTATTATATAAAGGATTTAATTTGTAGCATATAATTTGCTGGCCTGATAAGAAATTAAATATTATAATCATGATAATATATGGGATGTAATGAATATTTCTTAAACCTACATATATACATGTATATGAAACATTTGTTCAAAAAATGTTACATGGTTAAATGTAATATGAAATCACTTGCCTAGTAACAAATTGAAAATAATCATTTGGTCTGAAAGACCCTCCCCCCCCCCCCCCCCCTCATATAAAATAAGTAAAATGGTAGCTCCTCAGATGTAGGGTGAATATAATGCATCACCATATAGCCTATGAGTATGACACATTGAAAGGATACATTTTAACTATTAAGAAATAAAATTAAATGTGCAATAATCAGATAATATAAATAAAGAAATGAATATTTTATATCAAATTGGGTTGAGAATAAGATTCTGGTTGATTTAACGAACAAAAACAATTAAGATTCTTTTTGAAAAATGTGCATGGCTCTTAAAAGGGCCGTTTTAAACAGATCTGTTGCAGAAATTATCTTCAGACTGTACGAATTGTTAGGATAACTCCGTTTTTTTCTTCAAGTGACCGTACTGGCAACTGCCCTGCACTACAGTCTACATGTATACAATAATATAATTATTTCTCCTTTGACTTCATCATGTTCATTAACTGTTACTGGTCTACTGTTCTTTTGAGAAAAGTAAAGTGAACGGCTTTCATTTTCTACATTGTTCTATAAACTGTTTCGGTATCTTAACTTTGTCCGTGTGATGAATTTTTCATCATTTTCATGTCCTGAACTCGGCACTGGAACTCGGGTCATATAAGTTAATCTATAGAAACATTTCACATATAATCCGCTCCAATCAATTGTACGCTAAATGTCAGTGTTTTGGCATAATTTGAGCAGAAAATTCGTGAAACTGTAGTCTATAATGTTGTTTTTCAACACACATGTTTACATTCATGGAGGCTGCCATTTTTTTCTACCAGACTATATATATAACCGCTGATTTGATTGGATAACTCTATTTCCGGGATTTCCGATCGGCCAATCAGATAGTCGTTATCATTAATACACGGAATGTGTTCAAATTTGAAACTAAAAATATTGTACGAGTATGTATCCTGTCCAGCATTGTCCAGCTGTGGTTACATTAATCATGTTAATAATAATTAATACTCAACAAACTTCGATAAATAAAGAGATAGACAAAAGAGATAGACATTAAAGGCAGAACATTTAGGTATGACATTAGCTGTTGAACCAAGAATTTACGATGAGACGATGTGCTGATGTAGGGCAGACGTACAGCAGATACAGGTAATTTTTAAGAGATTTTACATTTGATTTTTACATCATGAATATTTTTAATTAAAATTTAAAAAAAAAGATATACACCCCCTTTAGTTTTATTCATGGGCTCTGTTAGTTCACACTTTGAGGATGACCATTTGGTGTTCTGAAAAGGGGGAGGTGGGAATGTAATAATAATTTTATTATTCAATATTGAATTACATTGTGTGCCTTCACAATCAAGGAAAGATGTTTACAGTTTACTACACAATGTCAGGCACATTCAACTTAATTTTGTCATGTTCTGATTTGGATGGACATGCAACACAAAAAATCCCTAAAGGTTAATATTGTGTTTTAGAGTCTTTATACTTAACTGAAAGAAGCTTCTTAATTATATATGTACATTGTATGATAAATATCAGTAATATATGATGCATACAGGTCATGACCAGAATTAAAAATGATTAATAAAATGTTTTTACATTTTTTTTAGGTTGTCCATATATATTAAAAGGGATTGATCATGGTGAAGGTACAAAGCTGCAAAAATGATGACTGTGCATCGATCAATATCCACTCAATAATATGAAAACACGATGAAAACAAACGAACCAGCAGCAGAAAAGAAATTTGAGTATAAGATTATTGAAAGGTACTTATTGAATTATTTTTTCATCCTTCCCACACTTGAAATAAAAATACATTAATCATGTTAATCATTCACATCTATAAGCTGTAAACACATCTCAAAAACATTGATCTGATCATCATGCACAATGGTTAATCATGGCTATTATGTGAACAAAATGAGGTGTCTGGTATGCTTCAACCAGATAGTAAACCAACAACAAACACAACACAAAGGGAAAGATAATATGAGGCTGAATAAAAATATATGCGTGGTTCCAATTACCTTACCTACCTTTTTTTTTAGTCTTAACAATAGCCTACCCTAAAGATTTTTTTGTCATTTTTCAGTAATACTGTTTAAGTCAAAATGTTGCTCCCATAGACATGATAGACTCAATGTAAAAAAAAACCATAAAATAAAAAAAATTCTAACTAACTACCCTAATTTTTTTTTAGATGTAACTGGAACCACACATACTATTTTATTTGGCTTTGAGAGACACCTGATCCATGAACAATAAAAGTCTATTTTGATAAAAAGAGATGTGTGTTATAAGTCTAAGAGACAGCAACCCAACAACTATAGCCAAAGATATCTAGAGAACACATAGTCTTCAACAATAGACATACATGTGTCTAAATTGCTCTTAGTGTAAAAATGTTGTGAATAAATTACACACAAACACAAATAAAATATGCCAGTAACATATATTTTTGAATAATTGCAGACTGGAGCATGGTATTGTAATGTTATTTTAATTCAAAATTCTATGCATGTTATGATGTATGATTTTTTTTCTTTCAGATTAATCAATGAAGACAATGGAACAGGATTGGAATGCAGAAACTTTGGACTTAATTCATGAATAATATCAATGGATGATGAAGAAAACTGACCAAACTGACAAAGTATTTCGTATGCATGTAAACTGGACATTTTTGTTTGGTTAATGCACAATAAACAAATTTGTAAAATTGAAAATTAAAACCATTTGTGAAAGATTTCAAGATGACCAAAAGTTACCATGGACTTATGAATGATTTAACCAGAAAAATGATTTACATGTACAATTAAGTAAATACATCTTTGACTAAAAAATGATAATTTATCAACGTTAATATTTTAAAGAGGTTGATCTTTTCGTTTAAAAGGTCTTAAATGTGGATGATGTATAAACTGTTGTAATTTCTTTAATTGTTGACTTGCATTAAAATGGTTATTGTCTTATTTCAAGTTTTCTTATTAATTCATTCAAAAATAAGCAGTGCATGCAAAATGATATCTAACATTTCAGTGGAATTGTCAACTTCCATTGAAATATCACTGGTTTTCTTCGGTTGATTGTTACAATTTCCAATGGAATTACCACTGGTATCCCAGTAGAAAACAATAAATGTTCAGTGGGAAAACAATGGTATTCCAACGAAGTTTTCACTGGTATTCCAATGGAATTTCCACTGTATTCCACTCGAGTATTCACCGGAATCCCACTGGATATTCCACTGATATCCCAATGGAAAACAATGAATGTCCAATGAAAATCCCGACCAAATTTCCCAGTGGTAATACAGTGGTATTCCAATGGAACTCTGATGAAACTCCACTGGTATTTTCAGTGAAATCCCACTTTACATTTTCAGTAGGGAAGTCTATGGGGGTCACCCCCACCCCCTTCTTTTTGATAACTTGTAAACGGTCTAGATCCCCACCCCTAAACCATATATATTCTTGAATGGGACAATAAAACAAATCAAATGAAATTAAGGGGAAATACCCTGGGGTAACCCCCCTTCTTTTTGAAAACTTGTAAACGGTCAAGATCCCCATGCGGAAACCATATATATTCTTGTATGGGACCATAAAACAAATCAAATGAAATATAAGGCAAGTCCTCTGGGGTCACACCCACCCCCTCCTGTTTAAGAACTTGTAAACGGTCAAGATCCCTACCCCTAAACCATATATATTCTTGTACAGGACAAAAAAAACAAATCATATGAAATAAAGGGAGAGTCCCTTGGGGATCACCCCCCCCCTTTTGAGAACTTGTAAACAGTCGAGATTTCCACCCCTAAACCATATAAATTCCTGTTTGTAATTTCAAGAAGATTTGAATGACATACAGGGTCAATCCATAGGCGTCACTAATGCATATCATAAACCAATTTGTACCGGACATTGCCCAATGTCAAGCAACAATGGGAATGACGAATTATTGGAGCTTTGTTTGGGAGACTTCGTAACAGCATTCTGTTACAATTATTACTGATAAGTTTTATAGATTTTGAAATGACATTGTATTAATGATAAATAAAATTTTAGATTTTTTTCTTCTTTTCTTTAGTAAATTGTTTGTAGAATTTTGTGGCAAGTTTGTTTGTTTTTCTGTAAAAACTAATTTTCTGAATGCTATGTATATATTTTTTTTTATGAAGTAAACTCCTTTTAAAACTAAGCTTATATTGTCTATTAATAAACATATATTTAGATTTCTGATTTTGGGCCCAGTTTTCAAGTTGGTCCAAATTGGGGTCCAAAATTAAACTGTGTTTGATTTCAACATAAATTGAATATATATAGGGTTCTTTGAAATGCTTAATCTAAATCTGTATTTCTTTTCATTATTAATAAGATAATACTACATTGAGGTCCAAAGGGTCCTAAATTACACTGATTAATTTCATCAAAAATTGAATTCTTTGGTTCTTTGATATGCTGATTCTAGCAATGTTTTAGTGTTAAATCATATCTAATCTTAGAGAACTTAGTCATCACTGGTTGTTGTTATTATGTTATTGATTATAATTTGAAAAATTGCATCATATCTTATATATTTTAGAGAACTATTTATCCAGTTTGAGTTATTTCCCTTTGCACAGAAAATATTATGGATAAAATTAACCTGTGTTTCATTTCAACATAAATTAAATATATATAGGGTTCTTTCAAATGCTGAATCTAAACCTGTATTTAAATATTAGATTTTTGGGCCCAGTTTTCAAGTTGGTCCAAATCAGTGTCCAAAATTAAACTTTGTTTGATTCAACAACAAAAATTATTTATGGGGTTCTTTGAAATGCTGAATCTAACCATGTATTGAGAGATTTTGGATTGTGGGCTCCTTTATCAAATTGGTCCAAATTGAGGTCCAAAGGGTCTTAAATTAAACTTTTGTCTGATTTCATCAAAAGTTGAATTCTTGGGGTTCTTTGATATGCTGATTCTAATATGTACTTAGATTTTTGATATTGGACCATAATAGGTATTTAAATGTCCAATTTCAAGTATTTCAGTTCTTAAACCACATTCATTTTGTGTCACAAACCTATGCTGTGTCAAATATTCAATCACAATCCAAATTCAGAGCTGTTTTAAGCTTAAATGTAGTGTCCATACTTGCTCAACTGTTCAGGGTTCGACTTATGCAGGAAAATCCGGTTTGCTGTCACTCTGACAGCCTCTTGTTGATTGCTTGATTGCAGTCTCTTCAACATATCTCCCATATTTTCTTTTATTCAAATTTATCACTCTCATGTAATTTATTTGCATGAATTTTAAATTTAATGAAGACATTAATAAGTTAAGAGCTTTTTGTACATTTGATTACTTAGGTATACTGTAATTTTATCAATGAGAAGAGATAACTCATGCAGACCATGACACATATGATAGATAATTCTGCAATTCAACTGCATTGTTCAAACTAAAAAATGTGATGGAGGCAAATTTTCAAATTAAATAACATGTGCGCCTCAGGCTTTTTGGATATTTTTTGTTGAATCTATTTGATGAAATAGTGTTCAGTGCGATTGTTCTATAAACAAAAAGGATTGGAAAAATAAATGATAGGAAAAAATATTTATGTAAAACTCTTTTCTTCTCCATAGTTTTATGCAAGTTTGTCATATTAAACTATACACCCTTAAGTTTACACTGATGAAACAAATGTCCCTGTATTGGCATATTAAACACTCTTCTTCTTCCTCAGATTTCAGTTAGACTGAATTAATGTTTAATGAGTCGGAGTTATAATGCTACTGAGATCTTCCATAGACCATATTAAACTTTTTTCTTTTTCATCAGCATACAGTGAAACTGATTTGATTTTTGATGAGACTGAGTATTCTAGTGAGATCTTCCAGAGACCCTATCAGTATCTCAGTCGTTTAGATGGAAATGAAGCTCTGACTAACATTGATCCTGAAGAACCAGAGGGAGACAGAGAAAACTGCTTACAGATATTACTAAGGTTAAAATCCTTTCTGGTAAAAAGGACTAGAATGAATTCAAAAGATGAATATTAACACAATGTTGTAAAAAGATTAATTAGATGTGGATAAGACAATTGTAATTATTACATTGGTTGAAATGAAAAACCATTATTTCCCAGTGTAATAAAAACCGATAAATTCAAATGTTAAATAAATGTGATAATTTCCAATCTCTGACATCAAATAACAATGTGTGTTGTCAATGATTAGTTGCATCATAACTGGCCGTCCAGGCTTGTTAGGGCTCTTACGCGTACAGTCCTTTAATGATTTATAGACAACTTTTATCGTTGGTTTAATTATCAGCATTGTCTTGCAATTTCCAAAATCAATGTCAATCAATTATTTTGAAAATAGTTATGCCCCTTGGTGGAAATATTAGTTATATATTTATCGGAAATTGCATTGCATTTGCTCTGAAGCCTTAATTCCTCTTCAGATATCTGAAAAAAAGTTTAAAGAACAAAAAACATCCATGCATGTTATCCGTAGACAGATAACATATGTGCAATGAGGGGACATTGGAACTCTGTTCTTTTAAATTTATTAATTAACATAATGTTATTTGAATACATGTATCTTATTTTACAGACATTGTGGTGTGAAGGATCCCTCATGGTCAGAATTGTATCATTTTGTCAGTTTTCTAAACAGACAGTTACAGGACTTTGAAACATCATCTTTCTGTAGTCCCCTTGTTCTACAAGATCTTTCTGGATTCCCATCATTTGTATTGAAATTTTTGATACAAATGTCTAGGGTTGGTATATTCAAAGATTTCATGCAAATAATTGCTTGTGGTATTCTTGCATTGTTCAATTTTATTGTATGGTCAAGAATGCCTGGGCGAAACAATAAACAATGATTTTTTTGTGTTAAATATGACAAGTATAAACCACACCTGATGCGATCAAATCCTTTAATACACCTTGAGGTTGCTTTGTCTTTTAAAAGATTAGGATCTCCCTCAAGCAAGGTGTACTGTTTTACCTCTGTCTGTCCTTCAGTCCGTCCGTCAGTACGTCCATCCATCCGTCTCATGAATGTTTTTGTCGCATCTTCCTCAGGGACTACATTACAAGTATTTCTAAAATTTAGTTTCAGGGTTTATATAAGGCAGCTATACGGTGTGATGCGTTTTAAAATTCGTCACTTAACAACTTCCTGTTAACCGAACACTTGTATCATTTTACACATGATAGCCAAGTTGAACATTTTTGGGAAAATGACGCTATCAGCGGCATGTTTCCGATACCATTGACCAGAACTTACGGAAGTCGATTATTGCCTCCGCCTACCGCACTCGGTTTCATATTTACTATTTTACATACTAACTGGAATCTGCTTGTATTACGCTACACTCGAACAAAGTGTTGTAGTCGGACGGGAACCAGTTTACATACTTTATTTTATTTACCAAAAAGATATCTTGACCTGTCCATATGTTTTTTGTTATTAAATGGTATTTGGAGCTATCCCTTTGTTATATTTTTAATATTTATTCGAGCTTTCACTTTTATGCACATGTCTTACAATCGTAAACAATCGGTATGTATACATGATAAATAGATCCGTTTTGTTATGGTGTTGGACTTTTTACCCTCCAATGATCAGCAATCGCTAGACAAAATAGTTCTCCTAAATAATGTCAGCCTTTCATGCCATTTCAACTTTACAATCCTTAAAATAAGTGAAAATCGGAATCATTTTGATATCCATTGGATAGAAACTGGTCTTTATCCAGATTTACGAAGATTTTAAAAATCGGAAATTAGTAATACGGTTATACCCACGCGTAGCCTGGGGTCCTGGCTAATCTTGTCTTGCGACGTCTCTATAGTTTTTGGATCGTAAGACACGATAAACTCAAACTGAAAGTAAACAGTTGTTTGTAAGACGCAGGTTTACTCACCATAAACAAGCTGTTCAAAACGTTCAGTATGGCATATATTTTAGGTTAAAGACGGTCCCATTCATTTAAAAAGCATTTTGAAAGTAGACGATGGGATTATTTCAGGTTTAGGGAACGAGTAAATTATCACAAAGTTCATTTCTTGACGACCTCATAATTTCATCATGTCGATGGTACAAATCGATTTTTAATGTTTACTGTCGCTTCTCATGTTTTGTATTTAAACGGTCGTTTATTTTTAAACCCGAACCAGGCATATGCATTCTGTAATTGTGCAAATCTTCGTTCTTTCAACTTTGTTCAATTGGCTTATGGATAGTTGTATCAATTTCAACTCTTACATTATTTTTTTTAAAAATATATTTGCATTACACATGCAATGGCAGTACCTTTCCAATTACTATTTATGTGTTGTGTCTAAATTAAAGTTGTAACACTTTATAGTGACTGGAAAGGGTAGAAAAATTCATCAGATGAGAAAAGGCTGAAGATACTTCAAACGGCACCGAATCATTAGATATTGGATCTTATAAAAAGAAACTGAGATTTGGATAGTTCCACTTCAAGGTAAAAATGTTTATCTCTTGTGAAATGAAATAAAAAAAATACTGTAACACTGTAGTTAATTAATAAAGATACTATTACGTGTATTTCTGTATTGGCCTTATTATTGGTTCTCGGCCAGCAGTCAAACGGCACCGAATCATTAGATATTGCATCTTATATAAAAGGAAACTGAGATTTGGATAGTTCCACTTCAAGGTAAAAATGTTTATCTCTTGTGAAATGAAATAAAAAAAATATTGTAACACTGTAGTTAATTAATAAAGATACTATTACGTGTATTTCTGTATTGGCCTTATTATTGGTCCTCGGCCAGCAGTATTGGCCTTCCGCTTCGCCTCAGACCAATACACCCAAGACATGGACCAATAACAAGGCCAATACAGAAATACTTACGCAATGATATAATTATTATAGAATGACAGTATGGTTCAATAGTGGGAATCAGCCCCTCAACTACTTTTTACATTAATATTAACTTCTGGCTTCAACGCTTTGTTCGTCTTGTCTGGAGATCTTGCTGTAGTTCCAGTTCAGCAAGCATTTTAGAGACGTATCCCGTCCATCCTCTTTTGACTTGTAATCTCTGGTGATAGATTTTGCCGCTTGACATTGTATCCTTTCAAGCTTGTTTTTTTTTGTTACCGTGTAGGGGTCCCATTACTATGGCTCCATATTAAATTATAAGATCCATTCCTAAAGGTCTAGATCATTGTCCTAATCTGACACAAATTTCAATAACTGGAATGCTACCCAAGTTGAATATATGGTGACCCACGAGAACAGCATTATCACTATTGAAATTGTGTTTAATACCATGATTGTTCAATGTCATTAACTTAAATGGAGACAGACATTTGACCTGAAAGACATGAAAGGTGGTGGGAGTGCAAAATCAAACACTAACTGACTATGATATATGGTTAAAGAATGAATATCAATTACATGGGTCAACATGGTCAAGGGCAGAGTTGTTATAAAATAACAATATGGCAGAGAAGTGGTTTCAAGTTTCATATAAAGCGACCTGACTGACATGAAATAAAAAATCGAAGGAGTATCCCTATTTGTCTAATCTTCAAGGTGAAAAAAAACTAGTAAAACAATATTATACTATTGTCTAAATATACAGAAATATAATTTGCTTCAAGTAACAGAAATAACTAGGTCACTAGTAACTTATTTAATGAGTATGTGGGGTATAAGAGCTTGCAAACAACAGGCTCTTCATAATCATTTGGTTTGAAAAGGATACTAGTAGTCTATATTCTTGATTTAGAAAAATGAAATTGCAAGAAAAAAATCACATTACTTAGAATACTTTAGATCATTCAGGTAGTCTTTATTTATATGTACAAAAGAACAGCCAGTAGTCATTGGATATTGTAGATCATTCAAATAGTCTTGACCTTTTATTAGTACAAAAGAACAGCCAGTAGTCATTGGATATTGTAGATCATTCCGGTAGTCTTGACCTATTTATTTATACAAAAAAACAGCCAGTAGTAATTGGATACTGTAGATCATTCAGATAGTCTTGACCTATTCATTTGTACTGAAAAACAGACACATATACGAATATCAATTATATGCTTACGAGACATGTTGCAATGTTAAACTTATTACGGTATGTGAAAATCAAGACTTGCATAAAAAATATCACAATATTAGAGACAGTGGCGTCATTTTTCCTCAGAGCTTTCAGCTCTTTGATTGTCACATTTTTCTCAGGAACTACAATACAAGGATTTCTGAAATTTGGTTTCAGGGTTTATATAAATCAGTTATACCATGTGACATGTTTTCAGATTCATCACTCAACAACTTCCTGTTTACCGAACACTTGTATCATTTTACACATGATAGCCAAGTTGAACATTTTTGTCACATTTTTCTCAGGAACTACAATACAAGGATTTCTGAAATTTGGTTTCAGGGTTTATATAAGTCAGTTATATTGTGTGACGTGTTTTCAGATTCATCACTTAACAACTTCTTGTTTACCAAACACTTGTATCATTTTACACATGATAGCCAAGTTGAAAATGTTCGTCTCTTTTTTCTCGGGAACTAAAATACCAGGACTCCTGAAATTTGGTTTCAGGGTTATATAAGTCAGCTAAAGTGTACCGTGATTCATCACTCAGCAACTTCCTGTTAACCGAAATTTTTCGGCGGGGGTATCATCAGTGAGCAGTAGCTCGCAGTTTCACTTGTTATTCATATTTGATAAAAATTATTTTGTTTATGATATACATGTAATAGTTGCTGTTGCACAATAAGCATTGATTCACCCTAAAGCTAAATGAAAGCATGTATTGTAGGACTTTGCTACCAGATCTCTACAGATAAGTGAGGAGTCGCCAATTGACATGTTGAAGCGTCAGTTACTAGATGATGAGGAGGATGAGGAAGACATTGAGGAGCTTTATGAAATGAGAAGGAAATGGGAATCAAGGCAAGACATTTTATAGTGGGAAATAGGGAGGAATTTTAAGGAAGATTCTAAATAAATTCTTACCACAATATAGCATTTGGCATTCAGGCAACTTAAAGCAAACATTGATTTGTCATCCATATTTTAAAAGATCAAGGGAAATAATTTTTACATTATGCATTTTACATTATTATTAAGTTTGATAGTAAATTCGTTTTAATTGAACAGGATATTTTCAGCTCTCCAACAAACTGGTAATTGTAACAAAGTAACTTGAGGCTCGTTAATTGATATTTTGGTATTTAGAATCTTTAACAGTTATATGTAGAAAGCTATATTTTATTTTGACTCTAAGATTTGGGCTATACTGCAATTGCCTTGTTTGTCCGTCCATCCTTTTATCCAACAATTATTTTTTTCACACTCTTCTCAGATTTAATTAAACTGTTTGACTTTATATTTTGCAGCAGCTTGACAGTGATTAATAGTAATCTGTATGCAATTTTGGGATCTGTTAGATACCTCTATACCAGCTGTTATCCCATACTTTGAAGTTTTCAATAAGTTGAATAAATTAAAAATTTTGTTGCACATTTTCTCAGAAACAACTTTGCACAATGGATTCATATTTGGTCTGACAGCAGCTCAACCTCAATGAGTGTAAAGTGTGTGCATATGTCAGATCTGTCAGATACCTACTTGAACTTCCTGTTTTCTATACCTGCCAACTTTTCAAAATCTACATGTCATTAGTGTACTTATTCTAACATTTATGGTTTTGAAGGCATATAAACGGTTTAAATGTACATTGTACTCCTCTGAATGTTTTTTTTAAATTATTTACTCTTATTAATTGGGTTTTATAAGGGTCAGGTCAACACCTCTCGTGGGATTACCCTCTAAAAGCGAAAAAGATGGCAGATCTGGTTTTATGATACTATAAATTAGAAGTGATGCTTTGTTAGCATGTGTGCATTCTTGTTATTATTTTACATGTGGATAAATCTGTTTCTTTTATGAGTTAAGATCTTATTTTAAAAACTAAACATGTTGATGGGGTATTTATTTTAAATATATTATTAATCAAAATAAAATTAACTCTGCCTTTGCATCATAGGGGAGTATTGATCAATAATTATCTTTACATGCCAGACTGGTGTTGGATTGCCGCTGTGCTCGTCTGCCCTCGGACAACAGTCCTTATTTGGTCAAGAGACTGGCATTACCAATGGGAAGGGGGCTTCCAGTGATGACCAGTCACATGACTAATTAGCTGATTGGTTTGTGATTGTAGTGCGCTCACTTCAATTAGAAAATTTAGCGTGGTTGAACGCAGCAAAGTTTCATGCAGAAACTAATTTTTTATTATATAAACGCTTGGATTATTTATTGAGTGCTTTATCAACACACATATGTAAGTCACGTTTCTTGCTTATTATGGCATCAGTTTTTGAACAATTTAAAGCTATACTGGGATTTCCCGAGTGGTTCCAACTGTCGGACGAAGAAATTTCTACTTTGAACTCTTACTTGTCTGAAACCGAGAACGATGTCAATCGGGCTTTGTGGTCATTAAAATTGGATTGTGCCGCATGTTGCAGTGTGTGTATTTTTTGTAACTTTTCTGCCGTTGTGCCCGTTTGTGTACCATGCAAAAGTACACGCACAGATTAGAATTGATTATCGCTGTAAACTGACATTCACGATTCAGACTATTCAATTGATCAAATTTCGAACAAAATCGACAAAGACGCATTTTTGTCATTAGCAATCAGCAATGGAAGATATCGAAAAGGTGCAAGCGTGGGCAACCGCCAAAAAACTAGACGAAAGTACCGTTGACGAATTGCTGAAGAATGGATTCAACAGCATTGAATCGTTGTCCTTGTTGACATTAGAGGACATCAAAACTTTCCATATTCCGCTAGGACAAGAAAAGATGTTAATGCGTGCGGTGGAGAAGACATTTGTGAAGGAAACGCAAGTTAACGGAGCGACAAACATGGCGGCAAATGACGCGGAGCCTCAATCCGATATCAGAGCCGGAAGTTCAATAACCGGAAGTGGATTAGAAATGCATCCCCATCAACGAGACGGAGAGGACCCTTATATCCGGGCATTGGTGGATCAACTAAAGACCAATCAACTGAGTGCGACAGGATTACCAGAAACTTCCCAGAACAACACACAGAAAGGTACAGTTCCTGGAGTCAGTGACATTTTTTCGTGGCAGGACCCGCAGTTATGCCTAAAATCGGTGCCAATAGTGGACTCTAAACATTTAGATATTATTGACTTTGTTTGTTCCAATGTTTTTCAATCTGATAACAATGAAAGTTTAATTTCTCAGGCTAACGGGGGGCAATTGGTGTTCAAGTCAGGTCCTGTAAAACCCAAATTGGAGTCAATAACACTTTGTCAGTGGTCAATGGCCAATATTTCTATTATGTACAAGTTGCTGGAAACTGGGGCTCTTACCCCTCAAAATTATCTAGATTATATGTCGTATTCAAAGCGCATATACCAATTAATTACTTGTTATGACATGGTCTCTGTCTTCTTTTATGACAGAGAGTACAGGTGTTTACAACACCAACATAAATTTCGCTGGTGCACTGATGTTCCCCATCTTCAAACAGTGTTCTTACGCCCTAGATTCCAGCAACCTAACCATGTAAATATGTCAAATAATTCAAGGTCTTGGGGGAAAGGCACCTCAAAACCTGCAGGGTATGCATCCCATTCTCATGCAGGAAAGGAGATATGCAGACGGTTTAATGGGAGAAGGGGTTGTCAGTCAACCTTCTGTAAATTTGAACACATTTGTTCAGTACCAGGTTGTAACCGGGATCACTCGGCACAATCACACTCATTTGGTGGCCCTCCAAAAAACTCAGGGTAAAGTCTCTACGTGATCTTAATCTAAAAGTTTGGCAGCTGGAACTGGAAAATGACTTTGATAAATCCTTTTTACTAAACGGTATTGAAAATGGTTTTGACATTATTTCAAAATTTGAAATCCCTTCATTCGTAGAATTAAAGAATCACCCATCAGCAAACCCGAAAAATCCACTTTATGACAAGGCACATGCCCAGATTTTAATTGAAATAGAAAACGGAAATTATTTATTTGCGCAGTCTTCTCCCAAAATTATAAGCCCTTTAGGCATCATACCAAAGCCTGATGGGGGTGTACGCATTATTCATGATTGTAGTAGGCCAGTAGGTACTTCCGTTAACGATCTCGTGGACGAGTTTCCTAAACAAAAATTTCAAACTATTGATGATGCTGCTAAATTGGTGGCTCCAAATTATTTTTTGGCAAAAGTGGATTTAAAATCTGCCTATAGATCTGTTCGAATTAGTAAGCAAAGTCAACAAGTTACTGGATTTAAATGGGTTTTTCCTAATGGCATTGAGCATACTTTATATGATTGCAAATTACCTTTTGGTGCAAAATTAGCACCTAATATTTTTCATAGATTGTCTCAGTCTGTCAAACGTATGATGTCACGTAGAGGCTTTACTATTGTCGCATATTTAGATGATTTCTTGATATGCGAACCAACACAAGCAAGATGTTTAGAAGCGCTAAACACACTAGTTCACCTAGGTTTTTTGATCAGCTGGTCCAAAGTTGTAGGCCCTTGTCAAAAAATAACCTTTTTGGGGATTGAAATAGATTCCACGCTTTTGGAATTGCGCCTCCCTGATGTATAACTCTCTGCCTTTAAAAATGATTTAGCAGAGTTTAAGCAGCGCCAGCGCGCATCAAAAAAGCAGCTCCAATCTTTAGCAGGCAAATTAAATTGGGCATCCGCAGTGGTTCATGGCGGAAGAGTATTTCTTCGCAGGATCATTAATAGCTTTACATGTCTTAAGCAAGACTGGCACAAAATACGCGTCCAGGGTGAACTTCTAGCAGATATCACTTGGTGGCAGGATTTTATTGCTTCCTTCAATGGGAAATCCCTTATTTTAGATAAGATACCAATTACGTCTGTTATAACAGATGCTTGTAAAAGCGGAGGGGGCGGCTTCCATGATTTAGGTTCTATGTCAATTGGGAACAAGATTTCCCTCGTTGTTCTAGTTTCCATATCAATGAACTTGAGGCTTTTTCAGTTGTTTTAGCTGCTAAACGCTGGTCTAGTAGTTGGGAAAATAAAAGAGTTATTGTTCTGTGTGATAATATGGCCACAGTTGCCTGCATTAATAAATGTACATCTCGTAACAAGATCTTAATGGGTTTTTTAAGGGAACTTTTTTGGTTGTCAGCCTCATTCAATTTTCACATTAAGGCTGTTCATGTCCCAGGCTCTAGCAATGTGTTAGCAGACCACATTTCAAGGCTCCATGAATCGAGTTCATTTGAGTTTTTTATGAGATATTGTTTACCCCAGCCCCTGTTTTATTTCCCAATTGTACGAACATATGTCTAATGCTGCCCTTTCTTTTCTTTTGTTTAGGCATACAGGGCACCAGGGATCTGAAGGAACTTGATGATCTGGTCCTCCATTTTCGGGGTAATACATTTGCAGAATCAACAAAAAAGACATACATGACTTATTTAAAATCCTATGTACAGTTTTGTAAAATGTTTGCAATACCTCTATTTCCTTTATCAAATGAGAATGCCGCACGTTACATTGCATTTTTATCTCGCAGACTGCAATATAACTCTATTTCAAATTATTTGATTATTATTAAATTAATTCATGTTGAAGCAGGATTACCAGATCCATTAGCTGGTCATTTTGTACATTCTGTTTTGCAGGGGGCAAAAAGAGTACTTGGAACTGTTAGCAATAGAAAGTTACCCATCACCCCATCTATTCTGAGACGAATTTTTACCACCATCAATCTGTCATGTACCGGGGACTTGGCTTTCTGGGCAGCCTGTTTAGTTGCATTTTTCTCATTTCTTAGGAAGTCAAATCTTTTGATCCCGTCTCCATCCCAGTTTGACCCAAAGGTGCACTTAAGCAGGCAGGATATTATTTTTCAACCCAAAGGGGTTGTTTTGAGAATCCGCAAAACCAAGACCATTCAATATGCACAAAGAGTGCTTGAGATTCCTCTACCCAGAATTCCTGATTCCCCTTTTTGTCCAGCAGGGGCGTTGTTGTTGTTACATAATATGGTTCCAAATAATACAACACCATGTCCTGCATTCATTTATTTACACAAACATTTAGTTACCCCACTCACATATCCAGCCTTTTTGGCTCGTTTGAAACACGCTTTACTCCTTTTAGGTATTGACAGCAGCCAATATTCAGGTCATAGTTTTCGCAGAGGTGGGGCCTCCTTTGCCTTGGAGTGTGGCCTGCCAGGTGAGGTCATCCAAGCGCAAGGAGACTGGCGTAGCGATGCCTACAAATCCTATTTGGACCCATCCTTGTCTTACCGTCATCAGGTGATGCATGCTTTTGCTACAGCCTTTACCTCATCTTCCTTAAAATAATTTCTACTCACTACTATACAGGTTTGGGCAAATTTTTGGAGTACCACAGTTTTGCAGATCTATGTAATTTTGTTTTTGGCTATATTTGCCAATTATGTTTGCATCTAATTGGAATTATAATTAAACTGTGGATTTACTTGGCCCAAACCTGTATTTAGTTTTTATTCAGCCTCAAGTAAATGTAATGGTTTCTTCACTAGACTCTGAACTAGTTATTTGAATTGGTTCAGGACCTGGTTGAGACTCCTCATACAGAAGTTGTATACTCACACTTTTACACTAGGAAAATACAAGCAGAGATAGCCATTAAATATACATGTAGGATTTTGTCTGAGAGATGGTAGCAGCACAGCAAATCTTACCAGGGGACAAAAAAGGGTGGGGTTAAGGGGAAGGGGGGGGGGGGGGGGTTAAGAGTTATGATTGGATTAATGGGGTATTTATTTTAAATATATTATTAATCAAAATAAAATTAACTCTGCCGTTGCATCATAGGGGAGTATTGATCAATAATTATCTTTACATGCCAGACTGGTGTTGGATTGCCGCTGTGCTCGTCTGCCCTCGGACAACAGTCCTTATTTGGTCAAGAGACTGGCATTACCAATGGGAAGGGGGCTTCCAGTGATGACCAGTCACATGACTAATTAGCTGATTGGTTTGTGATTGTAGTGCGCTCACTTCAATTAGAAAATTTAGCGTGGTTGAACGCAGCAAAGTTTCATGCAGAAACTAATTTTTTATTCCCACCCACCGCACCACTTTGTTTATTGCATGTGTTTCTTTTACTAGTTCTTAGTTAATTTGTAGTTTTGTTTGTTATGAGTACCACAGTTTTGCAGATCTATGTAATTTTGTCTTTGGCTATATTTGCCAATTATGTTTGCATCTAATTGGAATTATAATTAAACTGTGGATTTACTTGGCCCAAACCTGTATTTAGTTTTTATTCAGCCTCAAGTAAATGTAATGGTTTCTTCACTAGACTCTGAGCTAGTTATTTGAATTGGTTCAGGACCTGGTTGAGACTCCTCATACAGAAGTTGTATACTCACACTTTTACACTAGGAAAATACAAGCAGAGATAGCCATTAAATATACATGTAGGATTTTGTCTGAGAGATGGTAGCAGCACAGCAAATCTTACCAGGGGGCAAAAAAGGGTGGGGTTAAGGGGAAAAGGGGGGGGGTTAAGAGTTATGATTGGATTAATCTAATAAAATTACTGCTGCCTAACCTTAAACTCTGAAGTTTTAAATTTGATGTGTTTTATCATAAAGATACTGCATATTTGAGGTATCCACTTTGATGATGATTAACCAGGCTTTTTACTCCAATCTACAAATATTGTTGTTTTTGTTTTAAGGGAATGACCAAAATTGTGTTTTTAAGTAAAGGTATTGCTTTGAAATGTAATACACCAAAAGTCTGTTTAATTTGTTTCATTAAGTGAACACTAATCTTCTTTACCATTTGTCTTGTTATCAATTGTAAATGTACAAATCTCCTTTTTTAGCCCACATCCATACTTGTTTTTCAACCCAGATCACCATACCATGACATTTCTAGGATTTAATATTGAGAAAGCAACTGGAAACCTTGTTGATGATCAAACTGGAGAAAGTTTGGAAGATAAAATTATGGAACCAACACTAGACAACAGACAACGTACCTTGTTTAATGGACTCAATTCACAGCCTGGTGTCAATTTGTCAGAAAACTTTGATAAGTTATCCAGGTAAATTATGAAATAACAAAAGTACTACACTTCAGGGTTGTATCAAGGATTTAAAAATCAGGGGCGACATATTAACTGGTAAAAAAAAATCACATTTTTGGTTTAATGCAAAAACCTTTTTTTTTAGATACAATTCATATTTTTTTTAACATTTTAATCTCTTCTCTTTTTTAATTTAGTTGCTCTCATTTTCAAGTTACACAACATCTTCAACATCTTTTATGATGCCAAATTTTCAATTAAGTACTGTTTTTATACGACCGCAAAAATTTTGCAGTCGTATATTGGTATGACGTTGGCGGCGGCGTCGTCGTCCGAAGACACATTAGTTTTCGCACTATAACTTAAGTTTTAAGTGAATGGATCTCTATGAAATTTTACCATAAGGTTCAATACCACAAAAGGAAGGTTGGGATTGATTTGGGGGGTTATGGTACCAACAGTTTAGGAATTAGGGGCCCAAATAAGCATTTTTCTAGTTTCATGACAATAACTTGTGGAACAGTGTATGGATCTCTCTGAAATTATACTACAAGTTTCCATACCACAAAGGGATGGTTAGGATTGGCTTTGGGGGGTTATGGCTCAAACCCTTTAGCATTTTTGTACCTTCCAGACAATAACTTGTGTGTAAGTGTATGGATCTCTCTGACATTGTACCACAAGGTTCCATATCACAAAGGGAATGCTGGGATTGATTTTGGGGGTAATTGCCTCAAAATTTTAGGAATTAGGGGCCAAAAAAGGGGCAAAAAACAAGCATTTTTCTAGTTTCATGACAATAACTTGTGTGTAAGTGTTTGGATATTTCTGAAATTGTACTACAAGGTTCCATATCAAAAAGGCAAAGCTGGAATTGAGTTTGGGGGTAATTGCCCAAAAAACGTTTAGGAATTGGGGGCCAAAAAGGGGCCAAAAATAAGCATATTTGTAGTTTCCAGACAATAACTTGTGTTCAAGTGTATGGATCTCTCTGAAATTGTACTGCAAGGTACCATACCACAAAGGGAAGGCTGGGATTGATGATGGGGGTAATTGCCTCAATATTTTAGGAATTAGGGGCCAAAAAGGGGCGAAAAAACAAGCATTTTTCTAGTTTCAGGACAATAACTTGTGTGTAAGTGTATGGATCTTTCTGAAATTGTACTACAAGGTTCCATATCACAAAGGGAAAGCTGGGTTTGAGTTTGGGGGTAATTGCCCTAAACGTTTAGGAATTTGGGGCCAAAAAACACATTTTTATACGCCCGTCAATTTTTGACGGGACGTATTATGTTATACAAATGTCCGGTGTCCGTCCGTCTGTCTGTCTGTCCGTCTGTCTGTCCGGCGTAAACATGTTGCACCGTAACTGGAGAATGACTTATCCAAATTTCATGAAACTTAACATAGTTGTTTCTTATGATGGTCAAACGATCTGTATACTTTTTGGTGAAAATAAGATTAAAACTTTTTGAGTTACGGGACTTAGTAACTAAAACAGGTGTGTGTTTTTTTTCACATGTCGCGCCGTATCTCAAAAACAATTTATGATTATTGCTTAAAACTTTACACAATTCTTAGTTATATTAATCTTAAGATCTGTATACTTTTTGGTGATGATTCAAAATTTTATTTTAGAGATATTGAGTATTTTATTAAAAAGGGGGAGGGGTTTTGCACATGTCGCGCCGTATCTCAAAAACAGTTTTATGATTATTGCTTAAAACTTTACACACTTCTTAGTTATATTAACCTTAAGATCTGTATACTTTTTGGTGATGATTCAAAATTTTATTTTTGAGTTATTGAATACTTTGTAAAAAAAGGGGGAGGGGTTTTTCACATGTCGCGCCGTATCTCAAAAATGATTTATGATTATTGCTTAAAATTTTACACACTTCTTAGTTATATTAAACTAAAGATCTGTATACTTTTTGGTTTTGATTCAAAATTTTATTTTTGAGATATTGATTTTTTTTTTTTTAAAGGGGGGTTTTCACATGTCGCGCCGTATCTCAAAAACGATTTATGATTATTGCTTAAAATTTTACACTCTTCTTAGTTATATTAATCTAAAGATCTGTATACTTTTTGGTTTTGTTTCAAAATTTTATTTTAGAGATATTGAGTTTTTTGTAAAAAAAAAAGGGGGGTTTTCGCATGTCATGCCGTATGTCAGAAACTATTTATGCTTATTGCATAAAAATTAACACACACAAGACGACGGGCGTATCATGCGCTCATGGCGCAGCTGTTTATTCTAGCTTCCAGACAATAACTTGTGTTCAAGTGTATGGATCTCTCTGAAATTGTACTGCAAGGTACCATACCACAAAGGGGAGGCTGGGATTGAGTTTGGGGGTGATGAATCATAAGGGGGTTAAAAAAATTGGGGGGGGGGATTATTTTTTTTTTTCATTTTTTTTCTTTTTTTCCTTTTTTTTTCTTTTAAAATTTTCCATTTTAAGTTGGTTATTTCTGATTTATATTTAAAAGCAAATAATAATGATATGGTAGGAGATACACACTAAACAGGATGTGTAAATTATTATATAATAAGTATTGTGCAATAGCAAGAAATTTTCAATTGCACAGTATTGCACAATAGCAAGAAATCTTCAATTGCACAGTATTGCGCTATAGCAAGAAATCTTCAATTGCACAGTATTGCGCAATAGCAAGAAATATACAATAGCACAATATTGCGCAATAGCAAGAAATTGTCAATTGTACAGTATTGCGCAATAGCAAGAAATATTCAATTGCACAGTATTGTGCAAAAGAAGATACTTCGTATAAATTGCTTATTTCTTGACCAATTTCAATGGGGTTTTATTCTTGAATTCTTGGGGTTCTTTCATATGCTGAATATAACCGTGTATTAAGGTTTTTGGATTTTGGGCCCCGTTTTTAAATTGGTCCACATTGAGGTCCAAAATTAAACTTTGTTTGATTTCATCAAAAATTGAATTATTGGGGTTCTTTGATATGCCGAATCTAACCATGTATTTAGATTCTTAATTTTTGGTTCCGTTTTCAAATTGGACTTCATTAACGTCCAAAGGGTCCAAAATTAAACTTAGTTTGATTTTAACAAAAATTGAATTCTTAGGGTTCTTTGATATGCTGAATCTAAACATGTATTTAGATTTTTGATTATGGGCCCAGTTTTCAAGTTGGTCCAAATCGGGGTCAAAATTAAACTTTGTTTGATTTCAACAAAAATTGAATATATGGGGTTCTTTGATATGCTGAATCTAACCATGTATTTAGATTTTTGATTTTTGGGCCCCGTTATCAACTTTGTCCACATTGAGGTCAAAAGGGTCTAAAATTAAACTTTGTTTGATTTCATCAAAAATTGAATTCTTGGGGTTCTTTGATATGCTGAATCTAACCATGTATTTAGATTTTGGATATTGGACCATAATAGGTGAATGTCCAATTTAAAATTTTTAAGTTCTTAGAACACATTTATTCTGTGTCAGAAACCTATGCTGTGTCAAATATTTAATCACAATCCAAATTCAGAGCTGTATCAAGCTTGAATGTTGTGTCCATACTTGCCCCAACTGTTCAGGGTTCGACCTCTGCGGTCGTATCAAGCTGCGCCCTGCGGAGCATTTTATTAATGGTTCAATCAGTTCAAAGTAATGTTTTAAATTAGATTCATTGGTGCATACTATTGGAAAGATGTTGAGATATTAAATGGTTAGAATATGTAATTTTGCACTACATGTGAATTTTAAAATATTTTGCAGTATATCAGACAATGTTTTTGATTGTCTGTAGTAAACAATACTGAAATTTTTTAAGGTGAAAATTTGATTGGACGATGAAGGATGACTGAACTTGTTCCCTAATGGGATGTTTTCCGATCTTACATACCATGACAAAAAAATCTATCAGAGCAAAGTGATTGAAGTGATCAGATTGAGAATAGACTTATTATTTTTCTTATCTAATGAAAACAATTCCAATGTTCATGCCAGATACTTTATTTTATACCTGGACTCCAAATGTTTTGAAAGCAAAAACATGGAACATTTCATTTAGATAAATCAAAACTATAAAGAGTAATGACATAAAAGCTAACTTTTGAAAGGTCAACTTTGTTTGAGGAAGTTGAAACTGTAATCTTAGTAAAATTATAAAATATTTGAATTGAAAATTACAATCGGAATATGCCATTGAAGTCATGTCATTAGTAAGGCATTAGTTTCTGGGTGGTTGGTATATTTCAAATATTTGATTTGCTCTTGAAGCATTAACTTTTTTTCCATTTACAGAGGTGAAAAGATAGAAAAACTGTGCCAAGTGATGGGAATAGAGTTCCCACATGATCCAGATGACACTTATGAATTAACAACAGACAATGTCAAAAAGATTCTGGCCATCTACATGAGATTCAGGTAGTTTTTCAAGTTAGAATCAACTTTGTTTATTCTTTTTATCACCAGAAGTTGCACAGTAAATTGTGACAGTTTTATTGTGTATCACATGACAAAGTTGTTGTAATGAAAAGATTTGAAAGGAAGGAGGGCTGAGATGATGAAACCACATGGTAAAGGTTAACTGATTTTAAAAATTTTAGAGTTGTCCTTCAGGAGCAACTTTATCTCAAAAGAAAACCTTTCTTTGCTTCAGAAATCTATGGGAGGCTGATTTGGTTAAGAATTTACCAAAATTCCAAATTTTCTTCCTTTGTTGGAACTTGGTCCTCAAATCGTATGTGACCTATTTCATGAACTCTATCTTCTGTAAACACTAATATAAGTTGTATGTGTTCATGTTTGGAAGCTTTTCTGGACTTCTCACTTCCTTGACATAAAATTGAGAATGGAAATGGGGAATGTGTCAAAGAGACAACAACCCGACCACAGAACAGACAACAGCAGAATAAGTACAAAAAACCAGCCCAACCCCCACAAAAAAAATAATTTTTGGGAGCCCATATTTAAAGGTCTGAATTTGTTATCCTTTAGTCATCAAATTATGCTGAATACCACAGAAAAATACCTTAGACTTATTGCAGAAGTGTATTCTGTGAAATCATTATGAACTTATGTGACGATATGGGCCTCGTCGTTTTTGGGAACTTGCTCATAGAAAACACGTCTTACATGAACGACATCTATTATCAGAGAGAGAGAGAGAGAGTAAACAAAAAGGTGTTTCAGGACATCACTTGTACAATTCTGTATAAACACATGAAACTGAATTATACATATATAATATATATATATTTATCTAAATATAAACAAGTCTAAATTGAATACAACGTTCAAACCTATGATTGCGTTGGATAAAAACCGCAATTTTTATACGTGTGCATGCAAAACATATTTCTTGTTAGAGGGGTCTAAATACAGCACAAACAACATTTGCCAAAAGACCTAAAAGTGAAAAAGTATATTTTAACAAAACGCATTTGACTAACAGGTCAAACAACAAATGTTCTTAAACCCTGCTGACTGCCATTGGCGATTGCAAAATAAAAGGATCACCGATGTTATAAATGGATCTTAATTATAAATTTAATACTAAACAGAAAACAACAAACTTGCGGAAAAGATGATATACCGCAAACAAAAGGTGCAAAGGTTTTTGTACACCATAACCGGATTTCGACAATTAATGTCTCTTCAGTGATGTTAGGAATCGAAACGGTATTTGGAAAGCCATACAATTTACCTCGATTTAGGATAGACTCTTGAATTTTGAGGAGTCAAAATAGGATAAACGGATCATATAAACCCGAAGGCAAATATAATACAAGCCCAAATGAAAAAATATAAACAAGTCTAAATTGAAAACAACGTTCAAACCTATGATTGCGTTGGATAAAAACCGCAATTTTTATGCGTGTGCATGCAAAACAAATTTCTTGTTAGAGGGGTCTAAATACAGCACAAACAACATTTGCCAAAAGACCTAAAAGTGAAAAAGTATATTTTAACAAAACGCATTTGACTAACAGGTCAAACAACAAATGTTCTTAAACCCTGCTGACTGCCATTGGCGATTGCCAAATAAAAGGATCACCTATGTTATAAATGGATCTTAATTATAAATTTAATACTAAACAGAAAACAACAAACTTGCGGAAAAGATGATATACCGCAAACAAAAGGTGCAAAGGTTTTTGTACACCATATCCGAATTTCGACAACTAATGTCTCTTCAGTGATGTTAGGAATCGAAACGGTATTTGGAAAGCCATACAATTTACCTCAATTTAGGATAGACTCTTGAATTTTGAGGAGTCAAAATAGGATGAATGGATCATATAAACCTGAAGGCAAATATAATACAAGCCCAAACGAAAAAATATAAACAAATCTAAATTGAAAACAACGTTCAAACCTATGATTGCGTTGGATAAAAACTTCAATTTTTATACGTGTGCATGCAAAACAAATTTCTTGTTAGAGGGGTCTAAATATATATATAGCACTTGTATGCCATAATTTAAAAAGGAATCTTTATCAGAAAATATACATATTTAACATTGGTGATCAATTAATTATAATTCAGATGTGATATACCGGTGATTATCATGGGAGAAACAGGATGTGGAAAAACCAGACTGATCAAGTTTATGTGTTCTCTACAACTCCTGCCTGATGAACCTGTGGAGAACATGATTATCATGAAGGTATTGTTTTTAATTTAGATTTATTTTTATCTTGTAATGTTACACTAATGTTTCATGTTTGGGTGAAGGTTGGCGCCTGTTCAAATGTTTAAACCTGCTGCATTTGTTTCAGTATAATGGGTTTAATCTGTCAGAAGCATTTAGCAATTGAGACTTGATAATGTAAATGCTACAAGGATTATATACTATGTTTTGATCTAGATTTTTTTTTAAGCAAGGGGCCTTTTCTTTTTCGGCAACATTTTGTCTGTGTATCCAACACAGGATTTCTTGTTAAGTTTGGAGCTTATTAAATTAAACAACTTTATATAAGGAGGCAAGCCAGCAAATTACGTGATTAGGTCGGTTTTGCAGATACTATAAGTCTATCTGGCAGGGTTCATCTGACATTGACCTCATTTTCATGGTTCATTGGTCAATATTCAGTTTTCTTGGTTAAGTCTGTTTCTTAGATACTATTAGCAATAGGCCAACTATACTGGTGCATGGAATGATTTTAAGGTGGACCAGTCTGTCTGGCATGTATCATCTGACTGTGACCATATTGTTATGGATCATTGATATTGTTGGTTTATGACATATGTGTAGTTAAACCTTTGTCTTTAATATTTTCAACATAAAACCAATCATGATGAGTAAAGCAGGTGAGACATTTCAATAAGTGCACTCTTGTTTACATTCAAATCAGTTTGTTTGATTTTTTTGTGGGATATAGACGTATTTACACTTGTATGCAAATTTGTCCGCCATTACGTAAAATCACACAGGTTCCCGTAAACTTTGACATCATAATTCAAAACATTTGACATCATATTTAAAAAGTGATTGTTGCCTGATGTCAAAAGGTGATTCTGAGTAGATCTAAGGTCATTAGGAGGCAAAATATAGCTAAATACCAAAAGTGTAAATAGGTTTTTTCATTTATTCCACACGTAATGTGATACATTCAGAATGTATTTCCAGGTACATGGAGGAACAACAACAAAAGACATTATAAAAAAAGTGAGGAAGGCAGAAGAAATTGCTATGGAAAATGCAGAGAATCATCCCAATATGTTTACTGTTCTGTTCTTTGATGAAGCCAATACTACTGAGGCTATAGGTGTCATCAAAGAGATCATGTGTGACAAATCTCTTGGAGGAAATCCAATACAGATACATAAAAGACTAAAAATCATTGCTGCTTGTAATCCTTATAGAAAGTAAGTAGTCAGTGTACATATATTTATTTCAAATCTCTTTCTGTTGGAAGTGAGTTACAATATAATTCTCGACTAAGGGAGGAAAACATAAATTGACACCTTTTGTAAAATTTGTTTTATTTCATAAATGAAGTTGAACATGAGGAAGTATGCCGTTTACCTGTAAGTGAAATGTTTTGTTCATCAGTACTTGAATTGGTGAAGAAACTTTCTAATAAACATTATAGGTATTAACCAGGCTTTACAGAGTGCAAAACCTCCCATATATGGCAGTCAGATCTTGTATTAAATATCCAAATTGGGGCTTTGTAATCTATCTTAAACAAGATTGCATTAATTTATCATATTGATGAAGTTTTATTTTTGCACTTCATTTTAGATTCCAAATATTCAAAAATATGACTACAGGCACTGTTGAGTTATAGACTAATGCATGGTCTTTGAAAGTCAAATATATTTGTTGTATAGAAAAATTAGAAGGTATACATGCCTGTGACAGGGATAATTTGATCTTGATCTCATTTTCATGATATCTGTTTATTTGATCTTCTCCCAATTTTAATGGTACATTGCTCAACATTAAGTTTTCATGATTAGAACATTTTCCTAGTTACTATATTAAAGTAATAGGTCAACTTATATTTGGTGTATATAATTATCGTAAGGGATGCATGTCTATCTAACCTCATTTTCATTGTTTGATGATTGACATATAAGGTTTTTTATGCCCCACCTACGATAGTAGAGGGGCATTATGTTTTTCGGTCTGTGCGTCCGTTCGTTCGTTCGTCCCTCCGTCTGTCCCTCTTTAGGTTAAAGTTTTTGGTCACTTCAGGTTAAAGTTTCTGGTCAAGGTAGTATTTGATGAAGTTGAAGTCCAATCAACTTGAAACTTAGTACACATGTTCCCTATGATATGATCGTTCTAATCTTAATGCCAAATTAGAGTTTTGACCCCAATTTCACGGTCCACTGAACATAGAAAATGATAGTGTGAGTGGGGCATCCGTGTACTATGGACACATTCTTGTTATTACCTGTAGTAATACATTGATATAGAAATGTTTACAGCATAGAATTAATTAAATTAGTAAAGCTGCTAAGATATTTTAGCATGTGCACTCTTGATATATTGCTGGTTGCTGCCTTATTAATGTATTCTCCACATCTCCATTCATTATCATATGTTGAAAAAATTCTTATAGCAGTTAGACAAAGGCATGCAAAAAATATCTTACAATTCAACACAGTTACTTTAAGTTTATCTTAATTTTATGCTGAGATATTTTATTTTTCAGACACAAAGAGGAATTGATTAAAAAATTAGAAAAGGCAGGACTTGGCTACCATGTGGATGCAGACAAAACAACTGATAGGTTAGGTAAGATCATTCTCTTTTAATATTTTTACAAATTATGCCCCTTTTACAGTTTATTTTAGGTCGGTCAAATAGCAAATACCCTGCCACATTTTTGTGCCTGTCCCAAGTCAGGAGCCTCTGGCCTTTGTTGGTCTTGTATGTTTCTTTTATTTAGTTCATTTATATGTTTCAGAGTTTAGTGTGACGTCCATTTTCACTGAACTAGTAAACATTTGTGTTTAGGAATCAGCTGAAGCCCGCCTCCGAGTGCGGGATTTTCTGACACTGTTTAAGACCCATTGGTGGCCTTGGGCTGTTTTCTGCTCTTTGGTCAGGGTTGTTGCCTCTTTGACACATTCCCCATTTCCATTCTCAATTTTATTAGACAATTGATATGCAGATTAAAACCACTGGTGCCGAGCATTATACTATTAGTCTGTACTTTTTGGTTGTATTTTATGTCATGTACAAATGTTGTACACAAAGTGTATTATAAATGGTCTGTGATTCTCTGGTTTTATTTTAGGACGGGTACCAATGAGAAGATTAGTATATCGAGTACAGCCACTCCCACAGAGTATGCTACCGTTAGTCTGGGATTTTGGACAGTTGAATGCCAGTGTGGAAGAAATGTACATCAAACAGATGGTTCGCAGATATGTAAGAAAATATATTTAATTTATTATGTTCATATATTGCCATTGGTTTCAGGGATAAAGTTATGAACATTAACATATAATCTTATAGAAATGAAAATTGCCTCTGGCAGCCTTTGTTATGCTCTTTGAAAGAGAAAAAGCAACTAGTCACAACCTTGTCCATCTATATATGTTTATCCGTATGAAGAAAAGAAAAATAAATGCTATATTAAATACATGCATTTTATTCATTTGTACTAGCTATATGTAGCTTTCTGAGACTGTTTTTGACATCTTTAATCTAAGTCTGTACTGATTGATTGATACATTAGACTGGGAGAACATGATTTATTTATAAGTTGTTATGGCTTTGAACAAACATTAAGTAGCTGCAAGTATTTTGAGATTGGTACTTTGTGTCTTATGTCTTTATATAAGTTGTTTTTCTTGCTTCTTGCCAATCTTATGAGTCAAGCCATCCCCATTTTTAGCTCACCGGGGCCCAAAGGGCCCCATGTGAGCTTATGCCATCACTTGGCGTCCGTAGTCGTCCGTCGTCTGTCGTGGTCGTCTGTCGTCGTCGTCTGTCGTCGTAAACTATTTAAAAAATCTTCTCCTCTGAAACTACTGGCCCAAATACCTTCAAACTTTAATTAAATGTTCCTTAGAGTATCTAGTTATAAATTGTATCCGAAGTTTTGATCCATCGACAAACATAGCCGCCATGGCTAAAAATAGAACATAGGGGTCAAATGCATTTTTTGGCTTATATCTCAAAAACTAAAGCTTTTAGAGCAAATCTGACATGGGGTAAAATTGTTCAGTTGGTCAAGATCTATCAGCTCTGAAATTTTCAGACGAATCAAACAACCCATTGTTGGGTTGCTACCACTGAATTGGTAGTTTTAACAAAATTTTGCAGTTTTTTGTTATTATTTTGAATATTATTATAGATATATATAAACTGTAAGCAGCAATAATGTTCAGCAAAGTAAGATCTACAAAAAAGTTAATATGACCATAATTGTCAATTAAACCCTTAAGGAGTTATTGTCCTTTAAAGACAATTTTACACAATTTGTTCAAGTTTGCTAACATTTAAAAATCTTCTCCTCTGAAACTACTGGGCCAATTACCTTCAAACTTTAACTTAATGTTCCTTAGGGTATCTCGTTATAAAATGTATCCGAAGTTTGTATCAAACGACAAACATGGCCGCCATGGCTAAAAATAGAACATGAGGGTCAAATGCATTTTTTGGCTTATATCTCAAAAACTAAATCTTTTAGAGCAAATGTGACATGGGGTAAAATTGTTCAGTTGGTCAAGATCTATCAGCTCTGAAATTTTCAGACGAATCGAACAACCCATTGTTGGGTTGCTGCCACCGAATTGGTAGTTTTAACAAAATTTTGCAGTTTTTTGTTATTATTTTGAATATTAATATAGATATATATAAACTGTAAGCAGCAATAATGTTCAGCAAAGTAAGATCTACAAAAAAGTTAATATGACCAAAATTGTCAATTGACCCCTTGAGGAGTTATTGCCCTTTAAAGACAATTTTACACAATTTGTTCATCAAGTTTGCTAACATATAAAAATCTTCTCCTCTGAAATGCAGGTGAGCGATTCAGGCTCTTGAGAGCCTCTTGTTTACAGTTTGCTCTTATGTTGTGCTGTCACACAAGTGTCCCAGGTAAACGGAAAGTTGAGTGCTCACAAACATGTTTAACCCCACCACATTATATATGTGCCTGATCAAAGTCAGAAGCCTGTAATTCTGTGGTATTTGTTGGGAGCTGTCTGTGACATTTGTTTTTATGCCCCACCTAGGTGCATTATATTTTTTCGGTCTGTGTGTCTGTTTGTTCGTTTGTCCATTTGTTCGTACCTCAGTCCGTCCGTTCGTCCGTCTGTCCTGCTTCAGGTTAAAGTTTTTGATCAAGGTAGTTTTTGATGAAGTTGAAGTCCAATCAACTTGAAACTTAGTAGACATGTTCCCTATGACATGATCTTTCTAATTTTAATACCAAATTAGAGTTTTGACCCCAATTTCATGGTCCACTGAACATGGAAAATGATAGTGCGGGTGGGGCATCCGTGTACTATGGACACATTCTTGTTCTGTTATTGTTTTGTCATAAATCAGGGTGTTGAATTTTTCGTTTTAATTGCTTCACATTTTTCTTACCTTTGACAGCTTACTTTACAGTATTGGTTTTGCTCACTATTGAAGGCTGTACAGTGAGTAATACCACATCTTCTTATTGTATAGTGTATATGTGATATATGTTTATTTCAGGTAAATGAAGGCAGACTACCTGAGATAACAGATTTAGCAGACGTCACCAGTAGAATTCTTAGTGAATGTCAAAATTTCATGAGAATGCAGGAGGTAGATTACAATGATTAAATAATTCATTAATTATCCAAGACAAATCATACATCTTCAGTACTGATCTGAAATTTAAAAACAGTAAGTCAGGCCACTCATTGTTTGAGAACTTTTTTTTCTGTGTCAGATCAGAACATCTACTTAAGATCTAGAATGATTCTTATATTTCATTAGTAAATTCCTTTCTTGGATGACAGTATACTGATTAAATTAGTTTTTTTGTCAGTTTTCACAAGAAAACTTTAATACATCTGTTTTTGCCTAGGATGAATGTAGTTTTGTGAGCCTGAGAGATGTTGAGAGAGTGTTAGAAGTGATGACATGGTTCTATAGACAGACAGAAGAAGGAGGGATACTGTATGACGAGGATGCTGATCATGATGAGGATTTTGAGAAAATTGAGGTAAATTGTTATATTCTCCAAACCCAATTTTTTCCTGGGGTAGACCTATTGTTGCAATATGGTCTATAAAAATGTCGCTGTCATAACTTCTACCTCAGATTAAAATGTAATACATAATAAAAAAAAATTATCAAAATGTTGGTGTTGTCCAGAATCAGTTTTAAAAGAGTTGCTGCCCTTTTTAACTGGGAAAACTGAAAGTTTGCATATAACTTCTTACACTATTTGTGAGGTTGATTTTTAGCAATAAAATAGAAATTTTGAATCATTAATAATATTTGTTGCTGAGAAATGAATGATGATATACCTTTCTTTTACTGTAGATAACCAGGGCTCTTATTTTAGCACTGGGTGTTTGCTACCAAGCTTGTTTACAAAAAAGACAGGATTTCAGAGATATGATTGCTGATTATTTTGAAGAACCTTATCAACTTTTAAATGAAGACCAACTTGAAACAGAGCTAATAAGGTTTGTTTGTACAGTTTTTTAAACCCAAGCAACTTTAGATTCAGCCTCTTTTTGGCGCTGGCATATAGTGTTGCCCAAAACTGTCCTTGAACACAATATGTATTTGTTAGAACTTTTTCATTATCCCTTTTTGGGTAATATTCACATCTACATTTTTGATAAGGCTGTTAATTCTTATCTGATTTTATTTGATGTGTTTTGCAGCCTTAGACATTGTATTTAAAAGAACAGTTAAATGTTGGTGTAGAGTAAACTTCATGAAATAATTCTAACAACAAACATTACAAAGGAGAGACGAAAGATGCCAAAGGGATATTCAAACTAATCAGTCAAAAACAAACTGAAAACGCCTTGGCAAAAATGAAAAATGACAGAAGACAAACAGCACACAAAACACAACATAAAAAACTTAAGACTGAGTAACACAACCCCACCAAAAACCAGGGAGTGATCACAGGTGCTCGGTAAGGATAGGCAGATTCTGCTCTACATGTGGCACCCGTCATGTTGCTCATGTAAGTACAAACCTTGAGGGCAAAAAAAAAAAACTAAGAATCACCCAATTTACAGTATTGAGACAATTTTTGCTTCATAAGTGTACAATGGTGAGTTTTACACAGACTTAGTTTACATTTTATTTGGAATGCCATATACTTTTCACAAAAAAAGAGACTCCTTCATGAAAATCGAGGCATTCATGTCAACCTGACACACATCTTAGTCCAAATAAATTGACTTGTAGAACACACCTGCCACGTGCAGGTTCATTCTCACAATCAGAGAGTTGACAGACTTGTGATTACAATAGGTCTCTTGGTCTTATCTTGGTCCTCAAAAGTATTGAAAAATATAATTCTGTAAATCCTAAAGAACTTTTAGATTCTAAGAATTATTCCCCTTATTACAATAACTATGTCATGAGTTTATTCAATTGCAGAAAGTTTCTGTTCATTTGTTTCTGTTAAAGCCTTTTTTGTTATAATAAATGAAAAGTTTGTTGTTTTTTTAGGTGCCAAGACAAATTCTTAGATAGTGTGAAACTAGCAGACAATATAGCCAGGAACCAAGCTCTGAAAGAGAATGTGTTTATGATGATAGTTTGTATTGAGCTTAGAATTCCTCTGTTTTTGGTTGGAAAACCTGGTAGTTCTAAGTCTCTAGCAAAGACAATTGTAGCAGATGCTATGCAGGGTGACACAGCTCGTAGTGAGTTGTTTAAAAAGTACAAACAAGTAAGTCTTTTCAATTAAACTTTGCAAATATTAGTTAAAAGAGAATATACTTATTATAGGTCAAAACTTGTTTACATTTTTAGCTCAACGGGGCCCGAAGGGCCCCATGTGAGCTTATGCCATCACTTGGCGTCCGTCGTCTGTCGTCGTTGTCTGACCTCGTCGTCTGTCATCGTAAACTATTTCAAAAATCTTTTCCTCTGAAACTACTGGGCCAATTACCTTCAAACTTTAACTAAATGTTCCTTAGGGTATCTAGTTTATAAATTATATCCGAAGTTTGGATCCATTGACAAACATGGCCGCCATGGCTAAAAATAGAACATAGGGGTCAAATGCAGTTTTTGGCTAATATCTCAAAAACTAAAGCTTTTAGAGCAAATCTGATATGGGATAAAATTGTTCAATTGGTCAAAATCTATCAGCTCTTAAATTTTCAGACGAATCGAACAACCCACTGTTGGGTTGCTGCCACCGAATTGGTAGTTTTAACAAAATTTTGCAGTTTTTTGTTATTATTTTGAATATTATTATAGATATATATAAACTGTAAGCAGCAATAATGATCAGCAAAGTAAGATCTACAAAAAATTTAATATGACCATAATTGTCAATTGACCTCTTAAGGAGTTATTGCCCTTTAAAGACAATTTTACACAATTTGTTCATCAAGTTTGCTAACATTTAAAAATCTTCTCCTCTGAAACTACTGGGCCAATTACCTTCAAACTTTAACTAAATGTTCCTTAGGGTATCTTGTTTATAAATTGTATCCGAAGTTTGTTTCCATCGAAAAACATGGCCGCCATGGCTAAAAATAGAACATAAGGGTCAAATGCAGTTTTTGGCTTATATCTCAAAAACTAAATCTTTTAGAGCAAATGTGACATGGGGTAAAATTGTTCAATTGGTCAAGATCTATTGGCCCTGAAATTATCAGACGAATCGAACAACCCATTGTTGGGTTGCTGCCACCGAATTGGTAGTTTTAACAAAATTTTGCAGTTTTTTGTTATTATTTTGAATATCATTATAGATATATATAAACTGTAAGCAGCAATAATGATCAGCAAAGTAAGATCTACAAAAAAGTTAATATGGCCAAAATTGTCAATTGACCCCTTAAGGAGTTATTGCCCTTTAAAGACAATTTTACACAATTTGTTCATCAAGTTTGCTAACATTAAAAAATCTTCTCCTCTGAAATACAGGTGAGCGATTCAGGATCTTTATTCCTGCAACATATTTATTGCCTTTTTGCATGTTCTAATTCAGTAGTTGTATTATATACATTGCATTCATGGAAAATTTTACACTGTTACAAACAAATGTTTGCTGAAATAGAGTCCCTTTGTGCAATTTACTAAACATTTTAGCATTTTTCTATGATTAAAAGGAAAATAAATTTATTTTACGACAGAAAAAAAAATGGTTACAAAACAATACTGCTGTGAATACAATACACTAATGAAAGATTAATTTATTTAGTGAGAGTGTTTAGGAAAATGCAATGATCTGTACATTAAAAAAAGAATGTTTTGTTTTGTAGGTCCAGATGGTATCCTTTCAATGTAGTCCTTTATCTACACCTGATGGTATCTTGGGAACATTCAGACAATGTGCAGAGTTTCAGAGAAGGAAAGATTTAGACAGATTTGTTTCTGTGGTAGTTTTGGATGAGATTGGATTAGCCGAAGATTCTCCCAGAATGCCTCTAAAGGTGATGTTATTTTATGAACAGATATTTTTTTGACCATATGTCATGAATTTGCTTTTACAGCTTAATGTACAAATCATATTGAAAAAAAAAAGTATTTGCATACAATTTTCTGTCCGAAGTTGTAATTTAAAAAAAATAAATGATATGATTTTGATAAATGATAAACTACAGTGAAAATACCACATTCAACATGCTAGCCGAAGATTTAGAAGAAGTTTGAACCCAAAAGAAACAAAGATATGCCATCAACATCAGATATCTGAGAAACTTTTGCAATTGTTTTATGGTTTGGATATATTAAGAGTTTAATTTGTATAGTAACTTGTTTTAGTGATATGTTTAAATCTAATCTAACTTGTGCAAGTTTTGGTTTGTTTTCAGACTCTGCACCCTTTGTTGGAAGATGGGTGTTGTGGAGATGACGACCTTGAAGAACCTGAATTGAAACAGGTACTTCATATTAAATCTAAAATATACCTCATACTTATATTGAAAACAGTACTGCTTATTAACACTGAAGAAAGTACTCAGATTTAAACTGAAAGATATCTCATGTTTAGATAGAAAAGGTACCTTATTTATAAAACTGCAAGAAGATTTTTCATATTTAAATGGGGAAAAGGTACAGCATTTTTAACCAATATAGCGTAACTCATATAAAAAGTGAAAAAAAGGGTTTCTCATTTAAAAACTGAAAAAGGTACATCTTATTTCTTCAATTCATGGTTATAATCTATCCAAGGTGGGTTTTTTTATAGCCTTTTTCAATACCTCCGAGTCTCATTACTCATAACATTCCATATTTTGATTTTGTTGTGAGTCTCACACTAAGCATGCTTTCAAACATCGTACAGACCACCAGAAGAAATCGATAAGTTGATTGAACATGATGTGCAAAAAGATTCATAACAAGTGAACTTGGTCATAAAAATTGAAAATCTTTAATTCAAATCTGCTTGACATTTCGATTTGCAGTTATTTATTTCTTCTTTTTTACACTGCCGCTTGGTCCAGACAAAGACCTCTATCTTGTTGGAATTGACATAGCAGAACTGAAATTTGATTACTTATATATCAAACATAAAAACTACTGACCAAAGTTTTCAATGATTGCGGATTGTTTATTTATTTATTTATATCGAAAGTAATGATATAGCCAGAGAATTACGAACGTGGGTTATTCCAGGTCAAAATATCCAAAAGGGGGAGATTTTATACTCCCGCACGGGAGCGGACCGGCAAGCGGGAGATTTTCCGGAATTTCGTTGTTTGCGTGGGAGACTCCCACTCGAAACGGGAGGGTGACCAGGTATGAAAAAGGTACATGAAAAAGTTCCTCATATTTCGAATGAAACAGAAGCCTAATATTTTTAACTGAAAACAGTACCTCACATTACTGGAAAAGATGCATCTAAATGAAACTGAAAAAAGTATATCATACTTAATTTGAAAACTGTACCTCATATTAAACTTGAAAAAAGTACCTCATATGAAAACTGGATAAAAGTATCTCATATTAAAACTAAAAAAGGTATCTCATGTTATAAACTAAAAGGTGCATCATATTATATTAACATTAAAATATTGAAAAAGTTAAAAAAAATATAACATGCAGATGCTGAAATGACTGCTTAAGTTGACAATAAGGTGGCATCATCCCTTGCTATAAATAGTGAGGTTGTAAGTTCTTTGTAAAAGACCTTTCAACAACAGTCAATAATTAAAGGAGACAGCAATCATGTGGATTTATCTTTTATTTGGTATATTAGTATATTATTTGGATGTATGGTCTTATGTAAAACCCAAAACACATCATATCTTTCCAACAAAAAGATAAATATTTACAGAATGAAATAAAAAAAAGGAATATTTTGCCTACATGACGCCCCAAAAAAGAATACATGTGTTACATGTTGAAAACATTTTTTAACATTTTTAAAAAAAATTAATCTATTTTTGGAGACATCATGACCTTGATATATAGTTCTTAATAGAAATTTGTGAACAAAAATAGGGTAGGGTAAGACATTTAACACATTCTTTTTAATTGGACGTGATGAAAGAAGAAAATTCCAATCTTATAATTTCATTAAACTTTTACTCTTGTTACAGACAGAACAACAAGAGGAAGAGGAGCCAGAGGATCCTATATATAAAAAGGTAACTGATACAAATGAAAATGTGAATAAAAAGAGATTTGGGGTATCCATCAATTAGACATCAACTTTAAAAGACACCCAAAAAAAAAGACCAACAAAGGATATCCAGATAACATATGTTCTTCAAAAATACAAAATATATCAAGATTTGAATTCCCTGTGTCTAGACATTACTAAATATAACAGAAACGATCCAATGCCATTTTGAGTAAAACAAACTCTGACAATGAATTTTTATTCAATCTTAAATTGCTTGTCTTGCTACTACATCTCAACATGACACAACCAAAATACTTATTGTTATTTTTAACGGCATTAGCAGGTTTAGTAATCTCTCCACTCTGTCCGTCTGTCCAAAAGACTTTGGGTAGAAAACTTTCATCAAACTTTTCTTTTCTATAGAAGGGAATGATTTGTTCATTTGTACAAGAGCATAATAATGTTAAGTTTTAAGTTGAGTTTAGGAACCAATATTAACAATAGCCATTTACCACTTCCTGTTTGCCAATAGTTTGAAATTTTACAACACTCATTGTACAAGGAAAACTTTCGTCAAACTTTTCCTGGCTTATTTTGGAAGGTAATAATTCTATATTTGGTCTGAAGCTTGTTCATGTTGAGTTGTAGCCTGTAAGCAATTGTTATACGCCCGTTTACGGGACTTATTATGGTATACCGTTGTCCGTCCGTTTGTCAGTCTGTCGTCAACATGTCGGACAATAACTCAAAAACGCTTTAACAAAATTGCATGAAACTTTGGTTAATTGTTTATATCTATTGACGTGAGGTCCTTTTGATTTTTATAAATTTTAGATTTTACGTTTCTGAGTTATGGGATTTTATTCATTAAAAAAGGGGGGATTTTCCAGTTTTTGGACAATAACTCAAAAATGCTTTGAGCAGTTTTCTTGAAACTTTGGTGAATTATTTATATTTATTGACATAAGCTCCATTTCAATTTTTATAAATTTTAGATTTTATGTTTCCGAGTTATGGGATTTTATTCATAAAAAGGGGTGATTTTCCAGTTTTTGGACAATATCTTTTAAGTGCTTTGAGGAGTTTTCATGAAACTTTGGTGACTGGTTTATATCTATTAAATTAACCTCTCTTTAGTTTTTTATAAATTTCTGATATGACATTGAGAAGTTATTGAACTTTGTTCTTTGAAAAAGCGATGGGCGAATCATGCGCTCATGGCGCAGCTGTTTATTACATTAGTCGTGCATCCACTTCCTGTTTTTGGATTGTTTGAAATTTTACAATACTCATTGTACAAGGAAAAATTTTATGTTATTCAGGTAGCTTTTATTGGTATATCCAATTGGGCTTTAGATCCAGCTAAAATGAATAGAGGGATATTTGTACAAAGAGAAGTTCCAGATGAGGGAGAACTGATTAACAGTGCAAGGTAAAATATAAGTTAATAGTGAAAAGATATTATCAAACCAGATGTCATTTAATAAAAAATATAGTAGACTGCTTAAACTACTGCAGAAGATTTTGTGGCCCTTGGCATACTCTCCATGCCCCTTAAAAGTGGGTCTTTCAGACTTGAGTACCATATTTCATTTACCTAAGTTTTTAGTCCTTATTCAATTCTCAAATTTTGTATATTTTATTGATAAATGTGATGGTTTTTCTTGAGAAGAGTAACAGCTTCCTATTAAAAGTAGGTCAGAATGACCTAGGTTTTGCACTTTGCTGACTTCAAAGTTCAGTTATTTGATACATATTTACCTTGCCATTACATGTATGATTTTTTTATTTCTCAAAATACACATGTTGATATGATTGATTTCTTTTTTAGAGGAATTTGCAGGACATCAAAAGATAAAGAAAGAATTCTGAAATTGATAGACAATCTCATTCCATCCTTATCAAGGGCCTATTCTGAGCTATTTTCTGAGTTAGAAAAATCAAAACAGAGGGAATTCTTTGGTTTAAGAGATTTCTATAGGTATGTTTTACTCAAATGAGTCTTGGCATGGCTTAAACATAAATGGGATATCCTATTGATGGCAAATATAATAAGGAATTTCATTGGTCCAATACTTTCTGTTAAAATGTATTGCTAATAAAATTTCACCTGATTGTTATGGCTAAAACAGATGCTGTACAATCTCTTGATGTAAATGTAAATTGATGTTTACTATTCCTTGTTGGTCAGTTACATCTTCAGTTGCGATATTGATCAGATGAATAGCAAGTAAAAACATAAAAGAAATGGTAATTTTCTTTCTATTATGGGTAACATTGAAATGAGAACTTGAGCCATGCCCAGTCAGGATAAAAATAAGGATTTTATCACTTTAAAATCCAAACAATAGGATTGTTACTAAAAACAGGTGAAAATTTTGAGGAAATTTTTTTTTTTAATTCATCTCTAGCATTCGATTCCTTTATGTATGAATAATATAAAAAAAAACTTATTTTCATGGGATCAATTTTTTGCAATTCAGTTCAAATTACAATTGATTTTAAAATATTGATGAATTTTGTATACAAGCCTATAGAAAATTGTACTTCATTAAACTCTTGTATATGTCCCGTAGATATGTAAATTATATTGAAAATTGCATTGTACACGCTTTCATATGTTCAAATCTTGCCAAATATTTATGAACCAAACTGCCACAATCATCATAAAAATAGAACATAGGGGTAAACTGCAAGTTTTGTCTATTATCTTGAAAATCACAATTGAAAGAGAAAATCTGATAAGGGTAGAAATGTACAGAATGTTGAGATCTACCTACTGTCCATTTACATTCAAGAAAAACACTGCATCATGAAAGGATCTCCAAATACCCCCTGATAGATGAAGGGGGAGTTAAGTGTTACGCTTGACCGTCTGTCCTTCCGTCTGTCCGTCTTTCCGTCCGTCACAAAAGTACTTTCACATAAGCAAGCTTGAGCAGGGGCATTTGTATCCTCCAACACTTCTTCTTTTATTTTTCATTTTGTCTATTATTTTCAAATACATGTAGATAGAAAGAAACCTTTAATATCAGAAGAAGGTCAGCAAGACAAGATCTACTGATTTGTATTTTTGCCTTTCATCTGGAAAACTATAAAGGATGGAAGGACGTTTGAAATTGCAATATGTTCATAAAGATAAGATATACAAATAGGTTAAATGGTACACATCATCAGTCAACTTTTTATAAGAGATATTGCTCTTAAATGACCATTTTTACCAATATTTTGTGTGTTTGCCAATTATCTTGAAAGCTATAAAAGGTAGATAGAAACCTTAAATAGCAAATATAACCAGCAAGACAAGATCTACAATTAAGTCACATGGCTGAAAACGTTAGATGACTCCTTAAAGGAGTTGATATCCTTCGATAAAATTTTTTACAAATTTTATTATACCCAGTATATGAGTATACTGTTTTACCTCTGTCTGTCCGTCCATCCATCCATCCATCCATCCATTCGTCCATCCATCCATCCGTCAGTCCGTCCATCCGTCCCATGAAAATTTTTCGTCGCATCTTTCTCAGGAACTACATTACAAGGATTTCTGAAATTTGGTTTCAGGAGTTATATGAGTCAGCTATACCGTGTGATGCGTTTTCAGATTCATCACTTAACAACTTCCTGTTTACTGAACACTTATATCATTTCACACATGACATCCAAGTTGAAAATTTTCATCACATTTTTCTCAGGAACTACATAACAAGGATTTCTGAAATTTGGTTTCAGTGTTTATATAAGTCAGCTATACTGTGTGATGCGTTTTCAGATTCATCACTTAACAACTTCCTGTTTACTGTCAAGTATTTGGGCTGGGGGTATCATCAGTGAGCAGGAGCTCGCAGTTTCACTTGTTAATTTTTGCTTATTGTCTATCATCCTCTCAACTGTGTGTTATTTAATTTATTGTACTGAATTGTCTTTTATTACTGTCTATTAAATTTCCAATTCAAAGTAATAAACTATGATGTCTTGTACATACCAACAATCTGTATTTGATAAAACACACAATTGATCAAGTGTCTCTGTGAAGGATTGGAATATTTGCCATGGGATAGAGTAAATTATCACCATGTATTAACCAATCAAAATCAGGCATTTTGACATGACATATTATAAATTAAAATATTCAATGGAGTATAAATTTTCTTAAGGCTTACATGCAAATTTCAAAACCATGAAATCAACTATCCAGGAAAAGACAATTTCTTTTTTATGTCTATGTTAAATGATGTAAAATCTGATGACAACAGCAAACCTTTGACAAATATTTGTTCAATTCTTAATACAAATACTGATACAAAAAAAATGTTAAAACAGTTAACTAGTCAGAGAAAATTTGTTTGTATGACAGTTTTTACTTATTTTAGCTTGATAAAAATGGTGTATGCCTTTGCTGCCAGAACAGATCATAAGCCTACATGGTTTCAGTTAAAACATGCTATCATGAGAAACTTTGGAGGATTAGAGAATATTAACTCTGTTGACATATTCCATCAGTGTTTAAAGGACTCCACAGTTGGATTGAATGATAGAGTATGTTTATTTAAAATCTTATGTGAATTTGATGTGTTTTGTTTGATTGTGATGAACAAATCATCAGGTCTTCCATTAGTCTATAAGGGCTATTCTATTTGAATGGATGAGGGCGGGTAGGAAAGGACTTCTAGTTAGATATCCTTTAACTGGGATCCTATTCCATATGTGTTCCATTGATCAATACATTTCAATGTTTTATGTTCAGTTCACATTGCAACATGACAGAAATCTGCATTCTTCAGTGCTAACAAGCACATTGATTACCATTTTTCCATATTTTTATTTCATTTTTGTCGAGCCTGCGACATTTATGTCACGAAAGCGAGACATAGCGATCCTAGATTCCGGTGTCAGTAGACATGAACAACTTAGTCAAACCTTCATGGAATTTTAGGAAATTTGGACAGAAGCTTGTTTATGACCAAAATACAGTATCCAGAGCAAAATTTAAAAAAACATTTATTTTCATTTTTCCGTAGTTTACTGATAAATGGACTTAGTTTTTTTTACAGTTATTGCGAACCAAATGAAAGTTTTCCACAGAGTCGTCTGCTCTTGACCAGGGTATTTAAACTTTTGTCTTTTCTCTTGTCCTATTGAATAAATACAAAAGCTATTGTTCTCTGTGTAGTTTTTTCACTGGGACCTTTAAATTTCTTCTAGGAGAAATCTATAACTCATTGATTAATTTACCTGACCAAAAAATTATCTTTTTTTGGGGGGGAAATAGTTGTATAAACTTGCATAAACTGCATGCAATATTGTATTTAATCAATATCAATAATATATTTTCAATCTGTTCACTATAAACACTGATTTAATTATAAAAAATTTATTTCTGACAAAATTTTTAGTATTGTTCCAATGAATTTGCATGTTTTTATTGTTGTTCAGTTATAGAATACATTTATCAATTAAATTTAATTTAAACACAATAATTTTCAAGTTTTTATTTGTCAAACACACAAAAAAAGGCAAATTTTAATAGGGAAAATATAAAAATTTTGTTCAGAAATCAACTTTTAATTTTTGAATCAGTGTTTATATTGAAACTATTAAAAAGGAATTATTGATATTGAATAAATACAACACCACATGCAGTTTTTTGAGTCCTTATTTAGTATTTGTACATATTTTTACAGTTCATTTTTTTGTTCAGGTAAATTATTCAGTGAGTGATAGATTTCTCTTGGAAGAAATTTAAAGGTCCCATCAAATAAACTACACAGAGAACAATAGCTATTGTATTTATTAGATGGGACAAAAGAACTTACAAAAGTTTAAATCGACAGGTAACTTGCAGGTGAATCTGTGGAAAAGTATCATTGGGTTCGCAATAACATTCAGATTTAGTCTGAGGTTAAAGTTTTTCAGTCATCAAACTCTTTGTCAATCTTCATGGAATTTGAAGAAATTTGGACAGAAGCTTAGTTATGACCAAAATTTGAAAATATATATTTTCATTTTTCCTTATTCAACAAATAAATGGACTTATTTTTTATACGACCACAAAAATTTTTTGCATCATATAATGCTATGATGTCGTCGTCCGAAGACACATTTGGTTTCCAGACAATAACTTGAGTTTAGGTGAATGGATCTCTATGAATTTTTACCAGTAGGTTCAATACCACAAAAGGAAGGTGGGATTGATTTTGGGGGTGATGGTACCAACAGATTAGGAATGAGGGGCCAAAAACAAGCATTTTTGTAGTTACCGGACAATAATTTGTGTGTAAGTGTATGGATCTCGCTGAAATTGTACCACAAGGTTCCATATCACAGAGGTAAGGCTGGGATTGAGTTTGGGGTTAATTGCCCCAAACGTTCAGGAATTGGTGGCAAAAAAGTTGCCAAAAACAAGCATTTTTCTAGTTTCCAGACAATAACTTGTGTTTAAGTGTATGGATCTCTCTAAAAGGTTCCATACCCTAAAGGGAATGCTGGGATTGAGTTTGGGGTTAATTACTCCAAAAGGAGGGGTGGGGGGTTCAAAAAGTTGGGGTGATTTTTTGCAAATCTTCATTGCACAGTATTGCACAATAGCAAGAAATCTTCAATTGCACAGTATTGCGCAATAGCAAGAAATCTTCAATTGAAAACAAATACAAATGTTTTAACCAATTTCGATGGGATTAATTGAGTCTTTAATCTTTGGGGGTTCTAACCTTGTATGATTATTTTGGATATTGGCCCCATTTTTAAATTGGTCTACATTGAGGTCAAAAGGGTCAAAAATTAAACTTTGTTTGATTTCATCAAAAACTGAATTATTGTGGCTGTATGATTTGCTGAATCTTATTGTGCATTTAGATTTTTATTTTGGGCCCTGTTTTCAAATTAGTTCATATTAAGGTTTGAAAAGTCCAAAATTAAAATTTGTTTGATTTCAACTAAAATTAAATTATTGGTATTTTTTATATGCTGAATCTAACCATGTTGTTAGATTTTGGATATCAGACCATTCTAGGTAAATTAAATGTCCCATTTCAAATTTTTAAGATCTTTGACCACATTTATTTTGTGTCACAAACCTATATTATGTCAAAAATTTGATCACAATCCAAATTCAGACAGTATCAAGCTTGAATATTGTGTCCAAACTTGCCCCAACTGTTCAGGGTTCGACCTCTGTGGTCGTATCAGGCTGCGGTCAGCGAAGAATTTTATTTTTTCATTTTTCATTTTACAAATGATACAGTCTGGGGTTAAAGTTTGTTACGCATCAATTACTTTATCTAACCTTCATAGAATTTAATGAAACTTTGGCAGAACCTTTTTTATGATTAAGACATAATTCTTTTTCAGTATTTTTCTGATAGATGGACTTAGTTTTTTACAATTAACATTTACAGACAGTCTGGGATTAAACTTTTTTGACATGATAAATTTGTAAACCTTCATGGATTGTTATGAAATTTGGACAGAAGCTAATCTTCAAGACCATGTAATGGCATCTAAAGAAAAATTTGATTTTTTTTTAAAATTATGTATTATACTGATAAATGGACTCACTTTTAAAGTCAACATAACACTTAAACACTGACAGCAGCAATCAGACATAGGTTTCCGTGGAAACACTTATGATTTTTTTTTTATTCCATTTACTTTCAGATCAACAAAATTTAACATCTCCAAAAATAATGGTTCATGTTTGAGGTGAATTTAAAAGGTTATCCATATAAACATTTCTACTTTTTAATTACATTGGACAATTTTTTTATTAAACAGAGGCAGGATGGTGATCCAGATTGTTCGCCTGGAGGAATGATCAAAGCCTGTTTGGACGGTGACAGCACACTTACAGGGTAATTATTGGTCTAATTTAAAGTTAAGATTGTATGATGCACCATGGAAATATTTCTGAAAACTTTTGTGGATGTTTTTGCTGGTTTTGGTTGGTTATACTCATGAAGATAGAAATCTGTTTTTTAGTGATAAAAACAAATAAATATCAGAGGATTATTTGACATAAATCATTTTACTATTAGAATTGTTTGCATACAATTGAAGGATGTTGTTACCTAAGATTCAACATGTTGGATTTGAAGTCTTTTATGGCAAGCAAAATACTCATAAAATACTATTAACTACAAAACTAACTTACTACAACTTACTGCCAGAGCTACCGGACTTTAATTGTCAGATTTAAGCAAAGTTTTCACATGTTGTACTATAACTGAAGTTTGCTTGGATTGATGTACAGACAAATATACATAATTTGTTGGAATTGGTGAACATAACACCCTGTTTAGTTTTAAAATATTTCTGATATGTAATTCCAGAGATATGGGACTTTGAAAGTCAGATAAGACTTTTTAAAATTTCATGCAGTAGACACTATTATTAATTAAACACTGTTGTTAGGATTTGGTGAATGTACTCTTGTTTTTAAAATTTCTGGTTTGTTAAGAGTTTTGGGACTTAATAGTCATCATTGACACAATATTTATATGCCTATGGGTATCCCCATGCATGTTTTTCTATGGAGTCATTTTATTTGCTACTGATTATTAAATGCCGTCTTAATGTCCCATTTTATTTTTTTGAACAATTTCAATATGCACAAAAAGCGTGTATCATACTCTCTTGGTGCTGCTGTTTATTATTTGTGTATGGATAACATAAAATACCTTCCAATCACCACAATGTGAAGCTTTTTCCTCATTCATTGTGCAAGCTCACCAAAAAGGGCCACATTGTGGCTAGCAGCTAATATTTTATGTTATCAATGTGTAAAAAACTGAATAATCTATATTTCTCTTAGTTACTCTTTAAAAACTTGTTTAAAAACTGAGTTATCAACTTGCCATTGAGTATAATGGAAAATTTATGCATTTGTTTGCCTTCATACCATTAGAAATCGGGTAAAAAATTGTGTTTTACAGTGAGACCAGATACCTGTTATTATTAACTGAAAATTATGGAGATTTAGCTATTTTACAACAGAAGATATTGATGATGCATAATGCTCAGGTGATATTTGGAAGTAGTTTCCCCAGTGACCAGGAATATACACAGGTAGGCAAAAGTGATGGAAAGGTGAAACATATATGTGCGAGTGAACTTGGGAAACTCATTTAAGGGGGGGGGGGGAAGGGTTAAGATTTTGATGTTACTGTCATCAAATTTATTCACTACATACCGACTTTAAATGACTTGATTCTGTTGAATTGTTGATTGATGCTTTGAAGATTTTTATTACAATCAACATTCATTTAAAGCCAAACAATCAATTAGGTAAAATATTTAAATTTATCAGATAGCTTGGACACTATATAATTGTTTAAACATAAAAACTGGTTATAAGACCTACATTGGGATGCTCCCTGGATATTTGTACAGTTTAACAGTGTGAGACCCTAGCTGAAATGATTCAACAAATCATTACGGCAGTTAATAAACATGTAAGACATAGATGTCAGCTATAACAAGAATTTTTTTTTCTAAATTGCTGTTTGAATGTATAACCATTTCATTGAAGTTTAATATACAGAATCTTAGATTAATATCTTGTTTTCTAGGTGTGTAGAAACATCAACCGCATCAAGGTCTGTATGGAAACAGGAAGTACTGTTATACTACTAAATCTAGAAAACTTGTATGAAAGTTTGTATGATGCACTGAATCAGGTCAGTATAATAAAGAATGAGCTTAAGGTTTATGAAAATGAACTAAAAAATACCATTAGTGGGCAGTTGCCCAATTATTATAAATATTTAATAAAAAACCCATGTTTTAAAATATGTGAGAAATACAAAGGCAATAAGTTTAGGCACAGAGTTATAGACAAATTATCCAAATATATTACCAAATAAACCAAAATTATTATTGATACCATTTAAGTGTACATTTATGTTTTCTATTATAAAATCATAATTTTAACCTTTAAATTAGTCAATGGGCTTAAACGAACACAACAAATTCAGCTAAAAATAAATACAATTATTACATTGGTTGCAATAAATTACTGTGATTTTCCAGTTAAATTAAAACAGATAATTTCACTCCTCTGATGTCATACAACTATAGGAGTTGTCAAGACATTGTCAATTGTCAATGATGTTGCATCAAAACAATTGAGAGAATGCGTGGAAAAAGATAAAAGTTCCTTACATTTTCTACTTTATTTCCATTTTATAGTCCATGGTTAATGTAAAAAAAAGAATAATTAATTCAAGAATTTAAATATAGAAAAATCTTCAAATCTCGACCTAACAGGCTAACAACACTAATAATTAACTCGTACGCTACGCACATCCATGAATTATTGTGTTTTTCAGTCACTTTTTTAATATTTTTCTATTTTAAGTTCTTGGATTAGTTATTCTTTAAATAATATTCCTTTGATGCTTTAATTACTATAATTATTATTAAGACAAATATTTTAAGATGTATGTGTCATTGGGGAATCTGTCTAATTTATCATATTTATTTTACAATTTTAGTATTATGTCCATTATGGTGGAGAGAGATATGTGGACCTTGGCCTTGGAAGTCATAGAGTTAAATGTAAAGTCCATAAAGAATTCAGGTATTTGTTATTGGTCATGTGAATTTTATCCCCAACTTAGGGGCATTATGTTTTTCGGTCTGTGCGTCCGTTCGTTCGTTCGTCCGTCTGTCCCGCTTCAGGTTAAATTTTTTGGTCAAGGTAGTTTTTGATGAAGTTGAAGTCCAATCAACTTGAAACTTAGTTGACATGTTCCCTATGATATTATCTTTCTAACTTTAATGCCAAAGTAGAGTTTTGACCCTAATTTCACGGTCCACTGAACATAGAAAATGATAGTGCGAGTTGCCTCCGTGTACTATGGACACATTCTTGTTATAATTGATCATGTAACATTTCATAATTTTTTATGCCCCACTTAGGGGCATTATGTTTTTTGGTCTGTGCGTCCGTATGTTCCGCTTCAGGTTAAAGTTTTTGGTCACGGTAGTTTTTAATGAAGTTGAAGTCCAATCAACTTATAACTTAGTACACATGTTCCCTATGATATGATCTTTCTAATTTTAATGCCAAATTAGAGTTTTGACCTTAATTTCAGGTTCCACTGAACATAGAAAATGATAGTGCGAGTGGGGCATCCGTGTACTATGGACACATTCTTCTTTAATCAACAAATGTAATGAAAAGTAAGATGAAAATTGCACCAGTATATACTGCTCGGTATAGAACCTTAATTTTGCTTCCCACAATAGAATAATTTTGATGAAGTATGATTACTATCATTTATTGCCAGAGGTTTGAAGTAAGAAGACATATTTACTATTAAAAACTCCTAAAATAACCATGTGCTTTGAAAATCTAAAGAACAAATGTACTTTATGTATTATTTGTCCTTTTTAAGCTACTTATTACCAATTGTTTTTGTGTTATGGTTCCTATGGAACTTAATCACAAAGAAGTGAACTAAAATAGCGAATAAAATGCATTTCTTAATACAGATTGATAGTTGTAGCCGAGAAAGAGCTGGTATACAAGAAGTTTCCAATTCCTCTGATCAACCGTCTAGAGAAACATGTGCTCTCTTTAAGTACAATGCTGTCTGAGGCACAACTTGAGTTAGCTAACAAACTAGAAGACTGGGTCATAGATTTCTGTCATGTGGAAACACCTTTACATTTAATGCAAAGGTAATTTTCAGTTGGTTATAAAAAAAAGTAAGTAAAATCATTCATGAAATGTCATAATTAATGAAGGGTCCTTTGTAAAGAGAAATTGATATTAGTACAAGTAGACAGAGGAAATACCTCTATTAGATAGCAACCTAACAGTGTAATGAACCAAAACACATTTGGAGGTCAGCATACTATATTCAAAGTTTTTAATATAGCATGACAAGCTCTAAATTACCCAAATATATGAAAAAAAAGCTGTGAATTTTAAAATAACTGAATAGTAAAACAAAGGATATGGGGTATCCATCCATGACACAAAATCAGTATGTGCACAACAAAAAAAACATACAAAAAGCAAAGGAACAGCGCTTTTATTGCTGTTCTTCATCTCAAAGTCACAGTGACAACACGGAGCAAAAAAACTCTCACCTCACTGCAAGTTTAAGACGGCCGCTAGCACCGGCTTAGGCGGATTAATTCTTTGCAAAAATGTTTTGGATAGACTTTGTAAGATGTAACATCACCCAATCGGTCCCGGTCGAAAAAGAACATACTGGAAAGTAGAACAGATTTAAAACACAATAGTTCCTACGCACAGGTGTAAATCTTAAACTATGTAGTATATATTTTAGTAATTAAGGTATCAGATGAAAGGTGGAGGACTGGTGATCCTTGTAGCTAGAGCACACAATTTAATTTACTGATAATTTTGAATAATACAAAAATGTATGAATGAATTCTAAAATTGAGGGCATATATAGCCTGTTTCTCAGATATGAAGTGCCTGGTTTGGTTTATCAATTCCGGTAACCAGTGCAGTACGGTCTGATGTATAAATACAGGTATATTTCAGATATATTCTACTTAAAAGATATTAATCACATGCTTATTCAAAAGTAATGTAACAGTTTAAAAAAATATTAGTGAGTTGTGCTTATTCAGCGTGTTTATTCTCAGGGACAGAAAGAAAGAGAGAAGAATTGGGGAAGTTTTTATGGGTTTCCATGCAGACACATGTGCAGCCATTATCATGCAGTTGTTTGAAGACAAAAAATGTCCTTATGACGATTTTGAACAAAGCATTTGTCAAGAGGTTTGTTAGATATTCAGGACTTGATTTTTAACTGGATTTCCGAATGAAAAATCGGTTATTGATTTGGGGATGATAGGCGAGAGGGCGGCTGCCAAACAGTGTCCGTGCATTTACTCATAAACCGTTCAACCAAAGCTTTTCAAATTTTAATATGTTGTTTCTGATGACAAAATGGAGGTCAAGTTCGATATTGACGATTTTCACCGTTCAGGAGTTATGGTTCTTGAAATATTGAAAATGGTGTTTCCAGTCGTGTCCATACTTTAACTCATGGACTGTGCAACCAAAGCTTTTCAAATTTTGATATGTTGTTACTAATGACAAAATGGAGGTCAAGTTTAATATTGATGATTGTCACTTTTACCGTTCAGGAGTTATGGTCCTTGTGATATTGAAGAATGCCAGGACACAAATAAATGTTAGGTTTGTTGTCACTCTGACAGCCTCTTGTATGCACTGCATCATCAGTAGTTGTTACAGCAATGGGTTCTTGTTACTCTGTCCATCACACTTTTTTGTTTAAGTGAAATACAATTAGAGGCAAACTCTATTAAGCAGTCACTCGTGGAAAGTATTAAAAGTGACAGCTCAAGAGAGGTGACCTTTTAAAAGACGTTCTGAAAATAATTCTGGTTCCAACATCGCCAGTGGTCAGGGATCAGGACAAATGGTTTAGTGCTTTCATTAGGTAGAGTTATTGTTCTTGGAGCAGTGATATGAAAAATGGAGGATTCTGGCTTTCAAAATTAGAAGAAAATTTCACAATATGTTAATAGTCATGGAGAAATAAGTTGGTGATACTGTTTTCAATGGAAACTGAAAGGAGTAGAATAATATGAAGAATTCATTAATTCACCTATTGCACGATATCGCTTGGGACAGGTTCTGAATCTAAGTTTGACTTCAATACTTAACACATATATTTTTTTCATGATTATATTGATAGTTGAAAACATTAAAAGGACCGTTGATAATTGTTGAAATAAAGATTTCATCCGATTATTACCATAGATGACAGCTGAAAAATTTAAGATATTAGACAGAAAACATTTGGGAGGGTTTGAAAGTGACAATTAAAGATATGTGACAACAAAGACATGTTTGACTATTTTAATTTTAGTAGCACACATCTTTAACCTATAATTGGTACCTTATGTGTCTTGGTTTTGTGTGTCATTACTACCTTATTGCCATGTATCCTTTGATTCATTTGATGCACTAAAACTATTACATTAAAATGTATTTAATATTTTAGATTTTACTTGATGCAAAGACTACACTTCTTTGGTGTGCAGCTCCCGATGCTGTGATGAGACTAAAGTCAACAAAACTCAGAGATAGGAAAGATGAGATGATGCAGATTTACTTTCAGCATCAACAACATGACAGCCTCTTACAGTACCTGTGTCACCAAGTTATAGATGAGAAGAAAGCTAATCTATTTGCTCAGGTAAAATTGAATGTCTTTACAGCTAAAACCATGCATCAGGTTGTTGTCTCTTTGACACATTCCTCATTTCCATTCTCAATTTTATCTGTTTTCTAGCAACTCGTAAATATTTAATGTTCTAAAAGGTTGTTTCTACTATGTGTTTTCCTGTCTATGAATAGTGATATTTTTTAAAACAACAAATTTATCTATATAATTGATCTATTGTCTGACTTTGGGGAATGCTATTTTGACAAAAAAAAATTTGCTCTGGTTCCTACAAAGGTTGGCTAAAACCTTTATAATTGAAAAAATATTTTATAGGTGACAACACATTCTAAGTTACTGTCAACACCAGATTTGGAAGATTTATGTCAGGTCCTACCAATAGACAGACAGAACATGACATTACTGACTCTACAGTCATTTGATACTGAACAACAATTTTGTAGGCAAATAAGGTAACAACATTAATTCAGAGATTATTGTTCCCATTAAACAATTTTGTAGAGGAAGAATTATCGCCCTTTAACTACGGTCTAGTGGTGAATAGCTCTGACGAAAAAATCATAAAAAGTATCTAGTTATAGAAGAGTAAGTTATCAGAACAATGTCTAACAACCAAAACATGATACCAGAACAGCAAAATGAAAACAACAAGCAAGATTCAGATGGTAAACAATCAGAAATTGACAAGTCTCAGTCCGTTGGTAGTGACAACACTTCGGCGCCATCTTTTTCCAATGTTGTCAAACATCATAGTGTAAATTATCAGGCCTACAGCGATCCTGAACCAAAGCTAAAAGGAGTAAAACCTATCTTTATAAAAGAATCAGACTTCTTTGGCAACAAAACTCCGCCTAAAGAACTTTGGATAACACACGTAGAAATATACAAAGCACTTGAACATAAGATAAAACCACAGTTTGTAAGAGGCATTCAAAGAATAAAACAAATGTGGAGAATTTACCTAGACAGTGAGGTAGACAGAATGCTGTTGCTTACAGAAGGCATCACATTAAGAAACAAGTCGGTACCTCTGCATTCCCAGAACCCATATTACCAAAAAGATGATTACATAACAACAACAGTACGGGTAAAAAACATCCCACTATCAGCAGATGATGGTCAAATTGACAGAGAATTAAGACAAAGAAACATAGAGGTTTTCACTATAAACAGAGAAAGACTCAGGGTTGATAACTTGGTAACCAACTGCTGGACAGGAGACAGAATAGTCATATGCAAAAAATTTGACAAACCACTCCCAAGGTTTCTTACAATAGGTCAATACACAGCAAGAATATATCACTTTGGTCAAATGAAAGATACAGACATGTTCTTGTGCAACAAATGTCAAATGAAAGGTCATAATATAAAAAACTGTCCAAATGAATGGAAATGCAGACTATGCAATGAATATGGTCATAAGATGTTTGACTGCCCAACCTTTTTGGCAAAGAAGATGGGAAAAAATTCTGAAACAGAAAGAGATGAGCAACAAGAAACAACAACAGCTAATGCTGATGAAAATACAAATACCGAAGAAAGCCAACAAATTCAAGCTCTTACAGAAAATAAAAAAAGAGATGATACTGATGAACAACCTGAACTAACAGATGGAGATGACGAAGACAATTTGACACATTCAATGTCATTGAACAAAGAAATAACAGCAGCAGATGCAAAAAAAGAAAAAAAGAAGGCAAAAAAGTCTGCAAAAAAAGAAGGAAACAAAACTTCAAGTGATTCTTCTAAACAACAGACATCAAAACAGACAGAAACAAAAAGAGATTCTTCATCTGCACAATCTGACATTTCAAAATTTTTAACCCCAAACAGTAAAACGAATGCTGCCAAGGAAAGAACCCCACCTACTCCCAATCAACCAGATGGGAAAAGACAATCAGTCCATCTATAAATTATAGAAACATTTTATGTATAACAAAAAAAAAAACAAAAAAACAAAAAAAAAATATGTATGTTTATATGTCTTGTCTCTCTTTGTATTTATGTCTGTGTGTATTTAGTATTTATAGAAAGATAATTGAATGGAATAAAGATTCCAAAACAAATGTAACAAGAGTAAATATAAAAAAAAAAAAAAGAAACGTGAAATTTTGCACATATTGCATTATACCATATATTTTCATGTATATGATACTATTAACAGAAGTATATTTGATAATACCAAAAACAAAAATTGTCAGAGATAAAAACACTTATATTAGAAAATTTAACCAGTCTTTTTTCTATTTAAAACCCTTTAGGTTTACAACTTTAATCTATAGTAGATGTACTCAACAAGATCAAAACAAAAGTAAAGATTTACTCACCTTAATAACTATTCTTAGTACATCTTCACAGCATAAATCCGATAAAGTAACTGAAAATAGAGAAAAGGAAAATATTATGCAAAAAGCAAATAAACAATGTAAAAATGTTATGAAAAACAAAATATCAAAAACAAACAGATCCGTTTCATCAGATTTCGAAATATTTGAAAATATAACCACATTACTAGCTGAGAAAATTAGAGACAGTATATTAGTTTTCCTCAGTCAAAACCATACATTTGTTTTAATTTGCACAAAGCAAAGAAATGTGTCAATTTGTAATTTTATTAATAGTTCTATGTATATGTTGTGTGATTTGTATTTCAGGTATGCAGTAATTGCTATGAACATATATTATATGTTTCAAAATTATCATCTCAATATTGGACAAATTCATTCGTGAAACAGACTATAACAATATTGTTGCAATCCAATTACACAAAAGAAAATTGATAAATGTAATCATTTTCACAGGTAACTCCCACGCTATAAAACGACGATTAAATGTGGGTGAAATAAAATGTACTTTAAAAACGCGACCCAACATAAAGTACACTTACTAATTAAAATAAACATAAAAATCAACTTTAAGTTACTTATTTTTTTTTTTTAATTGAAACATGTTAAATAACCTGCACATTTGTACAGCTAATGTTAAAGGACTTCGAGATAAACAAAAGAGATCGAGATTTTACCAATGGATAAAAAATCAGAAATGTAAAATATCTTTTATTCAAGAAACTCACTTCAATACATCTCTAGAAAACGTTCTAACTATCGAATCAGATCATTCTCTTTATTATAGCCATGGGACGACATCAAGCAAAGGGGTAGCTATATTGATTAATAAAAAAGTAGACTATAAATTAATAGATGAGCATAAAGATTTAGAAGGTCGAATAATCATGATAAATATCGAATTTGAAAATATAATTTATTCTCTTATAAACATATATGCCCCAAATATAGAATCTGAACGAAATAGCTTTTACAAAAAATTAAATGACTTTATAAACAAAAACGCAATAGGTACAATAATTTTAGGAGGAGACATGAATGATGCCCTTAAAAATGTAGATAGGAAAAGTTCAAATACTCGTAAAAAAGTTAGTAAACCAGTCAATAGCCTAAAAAATTTAATAAAATCAAATGACTTAATAGATATATGGAGACACGTTAACCCCCAAAAGATCCAATATACATGGAGACGTAAAAATCCAGTCCAGTCTAGTCGAATTGACATGTTCCTAGTCAAAAAAGATTTCATGTTAAACGTTAAGTCGTGTGATATTAGGCCTATTCTTATTAAAAGCACTGACCACCAAGCAGTTTCCATACAATTACAATCTGTCTCAACTGAAACTAGAGGCCCGGGTTACTGGAAAATTAATAACGGTATCCTCGACGAGCAAGATTATGAATGCAATATAACTAAAATAATACAAAAACATAGTAATAAGATAGAAAAAAATGAAATAGATCCAAGACTTCTGTGGGACTCCTTCAAATTGGAAATAAAGGAATATAGTATTAAGTATAGTAAAATTAAAGCAAAAAATAGGAAAAATGTAACACGTAATTTAGAATCACAACTAAAAATATTATATGAGAAATCAAATAATGAGGAAAATGATTTTATAAAAGAAAAAATATCCACATTAGAAAAAGAGCTAGAAAACCAATATGAATACAAAGCTAAAGGAGCTCAAATAAGATCAAAACAAGAGTGGGTAGAAAAAGGAGAAAAAAATAACGCGTATTTCCTAGGTCTTGAAAAATCTAAACAAACGAAAAAGACAATACTTAAACTGAGAAAGAATAATGGGGAAATAGTAACAGATCAAGATAAAATATTAAAGCTTGAAAGGGATTTTTATGCTAATTTATACGACACTAAACAAAAACCGGATATAGATGTTCAAAAATACATTACTGAAACAAAACGCAATTATAAATTATCAGAAGAAGAAAGTAAATCTTGTGACGGATACGTAACGCTAGAAGAATTAACTATTGCAGTCAATAATCTAAAATTAAATAAAAGTCCAGGAATGGACGGGATAAGCATTAACTTTTATAAAAAATTTTGGGGACTTCTTGGACCTCTACTTGTAAAAATTTTTAACTTTAGCTTTGAAAATATACAACTGCAATTTACGCAAAGACAAAGTTTACTGAATCTAATTTATAAAAAAAATGATCCGTTGGAACTCACAAACTACAGACCAATATCCTTATTAAATAGTGATTATAAAATACTCTCCTACACTTTAGCTTTAAGAATAAAAAAAATCCTAAATCTAATCATTAATGCTGATCAAACAGGATACATCAAGAACAGATTCATAGGTTTTAATCTACGCCAAATACAAGATGTAATAGATTACGCAGATAAGTTCAATATAGAAGGTGCTATTTTATTCATAGATTTTTCGAAAGCTTTCGACACATTAGAATGGAATTTTATGTATCATACTTTAGAATATTTTGGTTTTAATAAACCCTTCATAAATTGGATAAGAACCTTGTATACAAATATAAATAGCTCTATATTCAATAACGGGTGGATATCTGCCCCTTTTGGACCCCTTAGAGGTATCCGGCAGGGATGCCCGTGCTCTTCTCTACTTTTTGTAATGTCAGTAGAAATAATGGCCAACCAACTAAGGCAAAACAAAAATATAAGAGGCATAGAATTAAAAATTGATAGTAAAACACATAGCTTGAAAATCACGCAAGTTGCTGATGATACAACTCTATTCCTCAAATCGAAAGAAGAAATCCGAACAGCATTAAATGTAATCGAAATTTTTGGAACTTTTTCCGGACTACAACTAAATAAAAATAAAACAGAAGGAATCTGGATTGGTAAACTCAAACATTGTAGGGATAAAGTAGATGAAATTAATTTCACGGATAAACCCGTAAAAGTGTTAGGAATATATTTCGGCATTAATAAAAAAGATTGTGAAAAATTGAATTGGGATACTAGATATGAAAAGAGTCGAAATCTAATTACATCGTGGAAAAAAAGAAACTTAACAATTTTAGGTAAAATTCTAATAGTTAAAACCCTCATTATACCACAATTTACTTTTTTAGCGAACGTTACAGTTTTAAGTAACTCAAATATACTTGAACTAGAAAGAGAAATCTTTAGTTTTATATGGGATGGTAAAAAAGATAAAATCAAAAGATATACATTGGTAGCAGATTACAACCAGGGAGGGCTAAATATGATCGACATAAAAAACTACTTCTCCTCTCTTAAGATAAGATGGGTCTCTAGGTTGCTACAGGCAAAACAAGAAAATTGGACATTGATCCCAAAGCTATTTTTAAACAAATTAGGGGAAAATTACCTTATTTTTAGAATGAACTTAAATAACCAAACCTTAAAAAAACTAGATATAACTAAGGATATTCCAGATTTTTACTTAGATATAATAAAAAGTTGGATTTTAATTCATGAAACGAAAAACACAGAACTGAAAAACTTTGTCGAGATAAGAAAGCAAGTTATCTGGGGTAATAAATTTATCAAATTTCAAAACAAGCCGCTTATTATGCATAATTGGATACACAGTGATTTCATTTATCTTAATGATATTATTGACGACAATGGAAAAATTGCCCACGAAAAAATATTTAAAAAACTGCAAACCACTAAAAATTGGATTTCAGAAATTTCGATAGTCAAAAAAGCAATACCAACCTCATGGCTAAAAGTTTTAGCCAAGAAAGAATCCATCAAATCAAATGTAAATTTTAACAGATTATTTATCAATATAAACAAAGAAAACATTGCATTTGAAAATTTAAGCAACAAAAAGGTATATCAATACCTCGTTCGACAAAAAATTTCTCCAAACATCGGCATAAATAAATGGAAAAAAGAACTAGAAATCAATTACAATTTTACCAAACATACGTTTAAATTTATACACCAAAATTTAAAACTGAATAAACTAAAAATGTTTAGATGGAAATTGATAAGCTGCATTCTCCCAAATGGAGAAAATCTCTACAAATGGAAAATCGAATCTAGCCCCTATTGTCAACTTTGTCAACTTAAAGACACGTATCATCACTTTTTTATTGAATGTAAATTTCTAAAAGAATTTTGGGAAATTATAAATAAAATTTTATCTCAAATGAACTTTAATAAAAAAATCAACTTAAAAGATATAGTAATAGGCTACAAAATAACAGATAGCGAGTATATCGGATTCAATATAATTCTGACAATTATAGGATTTGCAATCTACAAATCGTACTATGTATCAAACCAAAGAAATAAATCTACTAATGTATTCATTCTCTTTAAATCTGAATTTGACGAATACTTTAGATCATACAATCTAGACAAAGAATACAATGCAGTCCGGGTGTTTCAAAATTTAATCTAAAGAACAGAAATTTGTTTTCTTCAAAAAAAAAAAACAAAACATTTTTATGATATTCTTAAGCAGACAGATATCTTAACTATATAAATAAATAAATTACTCACCTAATAAGTTTGAAATCCAAGGATTAAGATATAAAACCGGCAAATTCCACAATAAACATCCATTAAAAAGCATGCTCTCACCTTTAAACAAGGTAAAACATCCGATCAAGAAAATCGATATTCCACACATTTAAACCATGCAATTGATAAACGAGATGACAGTAGATAATTTATTTCGGATTAGTGTATCATATTATTATTGAACATTGTATTTAATTGTAAAAAAACAGTAGATAATTAATTTCGGATTAGTATGTCATATTATTATTGAACATTGTATTTAATTGTACTATTACTAATATAAAATATAAGAAAATACTACTTATCTATATGAAACCCTGTTCTTATAGATATTAACAATATCGGGGTACCTTACTGTTAAAGCTGTAGCGGTAAGGTCATTGTTAACAGCTTTAGTGCAATAAAACTTTATTCAAGTGTTAAAAAAAAAAAAACAATTTTGTAGTCACCAAATATAACAGGAATAATTGAGAATATTGTTGCCAATTGTTACACAGAGTTTGGGATATAGTTGGGTCATGTACCATTAGTTCTTCTGACTGCATTGTCCTTAAGGATTCATGGAATTTCTCCTCAGAAAACAAAAGTAAAAACAAAAAAACTTTTTTAACAATGTGGTCTTTTTGAGAATGTGGGAGTAATGGCTTTTACCAACTTTAAAATTTGAAAAATAGCTTTGGATGGAGAGTTGTCTCATTGGCACACATACCACATCTTCTTATTTCTATTGTATTTATTATTCCTCTAAAATATTACTTTTGATTAAATTTGGACTGTTTACAAGAAGCATCATTGAGTATCTTAATTGAAAATCTTCATGTAAATATTAAATATTTCATCATAAATTACAATCTGGTTAAGAAAAAAACAGGTAATAGCCATGGGTCCAAAACGTTTAATGTACTTAAGATATAAAACTATTATATATTGTTGACTTTATGATATCTGCATTCTTGATGGTGATTTTACACTAGTTATACATTGTTTCAGATTTTCATTGGAAAAGAATATGACCATCGACAGCTTACTTATTGTCCAGTGTGACTGTGGTGACCAGAATGCTGATTTGATAGCTTGTGCTAGATATAGTATACAAGGGGAGCTACAACAGATTATAGAAAAACATTCAGGAAATATTCATGTTGTCTTGATTGTACAACTTCCAAGAGTAGCTGGAAGCAATTTTACTGGCTTTCAGGCAAGTTTTGCCCATTGGTTTCTATAATGCATAAGATTAAGGGATATGTTTTTTTATGCCCCATTTATGGGCATTATGTTTTTCGGTCTGTGCATCAGTCCATCTGTCCGTCTGTTTGTTCGTCCATCTGTCTGTCCCGCCTCAGATTTAAGTTTTTGGTCAAGGTAGTTTTTGATGAAGTTCAAGTCCAATCAACTTGAAACTTAGTACACATGTTCCCTATGATATGATCTTTCTAATTTTAATGCCAAATTAGAGTTTTGACCCCAATTTCACGGTCCACTGAACATAGAAAATGATAGTGCGAGTGGGCCATCCGTGTACTATGGACACATTCTTATTTATTCATGACAGAAGACCCTACATATACTTAACAAAACATGAAGCAAAGAAAATGTGCTTTCATTAACATTGATCATTTCAAAATCACCTTCTGTAACCTGTCTTAAGCCACTGTTAGAATTGCATGCAAAATAAACTTTTATGATTAAAAGGAAACATAGGGTATTTGTCAATGAGAAAGCAAGCCAGAAACATAAGAAAAACATTTATTAGGTTAATGTAGGGTCTTGAAGATATGGCTATACATTTTTGTACCACATGTCAGTTTTTGTCCCCTGTGTAACGTGTTGTTGGAGACATGGAAATACCGGGCGTTCGTCCATTATGTGTGTCTGTCCGTCTTTTTAGTGCTCTCACAGGTACAATTCTTGCCAGATTCTTATTAAACTTATACTATAGGTTAATATCAGCAATATCTCAGACAAGCTTTATACTGCTGGTTGAATGACTTTTTTTTTAAAGAGTTATACCCCTTGGAAATATTAAATTTATGGAAATTGGCCTCGTTAGCGCTCTCACGTATACAATTCATGCCAGATTTTTACAAAACTTATACTATAAGTTAATATCAGCAATATCTTGGACAAGTTCTATATTGGTGGCCGATCAACTTTTTAAAAGGAGTTATGCCCCTTGAAAATGTTAAATTTATGGAAAATGGCCTCGTTATAGCTGCCACAGGTACAATTTTTTATAAAATATTTTAAAAGGAGTTATGCCCCTTGAAAATATTAAATTTATGGAAAATAACCTAGTTAGCGCTTTCATGGGTACAATTCTTGTTAGATTTTTATAAAACTTATACTATAGGTTAATATCAGCAATATCTCGTCAAGCTCTATAATGGTGACCAATTAACTTTTTTAAAAGAGTTATGCCCTTGGAAATATCAAATTTATGGAAACATGGCCTCATTAGCGCTCTCATGTGTACAATTCTTGCCATATTTTTATAAAACTTATACAATAGGTTAATATAAGCAATATCTCGGACAAGTTTTATAATGGTGGACGATCGACTTTTTTTTAAAAGAGTTATACCCCTTAGAAATATTAAATTTATGGAGAATGGCCTCGTTTGCACTCTCAAGGGTACAGTTTTTTTTATAAAACTTATAGTATACTATAAGTAATACCTTGGAAATATTAGATTTATGGAAAATGGCCTCGTTAGCGCTCTCACAGATACAATTTTTTATAAAACTTATAGTACCGTATACTATGTTCCCTATGATATGATCTTTCTAATTTTAATGCCAAATTAGAGTTTTGACCCCAATTTCACGGTCAAGTGAACATAGAAAAATGATAGTGCAAGTGGTGCATCCCTGTACTATGGACACATTCTTGTTTTTATTATATTTTACTGTTTAAGGTTATTTTCTTTAATATTATAATAGATAGAGAGAAAGTATAAATGGCAATAAATGTTCAGCTAAGTAAGATCATCAAATAAGTCAACATAATCAAAATTGTCAATTGACCCCTTAAGGAGTTATTGCCCTTAAAACGTTTTTTTTTTACATTTTTTGTGAAAGTCTAATTACTTTTTCAAAAATCTTTTTCTCTAAAACTACTTGGCAAAATACTTATAAACTGTAATTGAATGTTCCTTAGGGTATCTAGTTTATAGATTGTATTTGGGGATTTGATTCATTGAAAAACATAGCAGCAGTTTTTAGAAATAGAACATAGGGGTCGAATGAAGTCTTTGGCTTTCATCTCAAAAACTAAAGCAGTAAGAGCAAAACTGACATAGGGGAAAGTGTTAAACAGGTTTAGATCTACCTGTAAACTAATCTTTAGACCAATAGGACAACTTATTTTTGGGTTACTGTTCAGAAATAGTTAATTTTAAAAAAAATAGGAAATTTTACAGTTTTGGATTATGTGTTATCTTTAATGTTATTATAGAAAGATAGAAAGTAGAAATGACAAAATTGTTCAGCAAAGTAAGATCTACAAATAAGTAAAATGCCTGAAACTGAAATTACAGGTGAGCAATATCAGGCTCTCATGAGCCTCTTGTTAAGCATTTGCTTACAGTTTGACATGTTTTTCTTTTACAATCAAGCACTTATTTTGACTTTCCCCTTCACTTATAATTGTATTTTAGTGTGATTTAAACTTATACATGTATTTTAGTGTGGTTTATGGCATTCCTTGCATATTGACGATCTGCGTCCTCCACCTGATAAAATGCCGTCCTTTGTTGAAATGTACAATAAGCCAGTGAGTGCTTTCTTTGATGTATATAAAGACATGACACTACCAACTGAAGATGTGGAGATGGATGCAGAAAAAGATGGGGAACCAGATATGGATGTAGAATCTCCACCTGAAAAATTGAAAAAAAAAGAACAAATAGACATTCTGTCACTGATTATGAACTGTGTTCATTCAGCTCTGTCTATGGTCAAAGATCCTGAAAAAGATTCACCAAGAACAACTGAAAGAATTAGAATGGTTCTTAATTTAATTCAAAATAGCCATGAACAGGGTAAGAGTTTTTCAAAGTTACTATCTTTTATCTTCAATTTTATAGATCTTGCAAACAAATTTTTGTTTGTCTTTCTGTATATCTGTCCATGTGCCTTTTAAGCCCACTTCCTATGCAGCTGTGAGGATATTGATGAATCTTTATACAGTTACAGAACTCTACCTGGAATGTGCATAAAGGGACATAATCATGTTTATGCATGTTAAAGGGGGGAGAATCCAAATTTAACTTGCTTTAATATTGCAATGAAATTTTACACTGCAATACAACACTAATATTGCAATGAAATTTTACGCTGCAATACAACACTAATATTGCAATGAAACTTTACACTGCAACATTATCTGAGGATGTAACATTAAGGAATATGATCCTGGTCCAACATTTTAAAGGGGAGATAATCTAATTTACTTACTTTAAAACACTAATAGTGCTGCAGGGTGGGTGTATCCTTTTGTGAGTCAAATCACAATTCTGATTATTGCCTCTCCTACTCACTGCTCAAAAGTTTTGTGAAAGGAGTAGGTTGGTTATGGCCCCTATTTCTCTCTTAAATTTCAAATAAGAATTTATTGACCAATATCACAATGAATCACAGCTATTACAATGACTAAATGGGAAATATGTCCATTTGTTGAAAATTTAAGTACCTCTGTTCTATTCACAATCACAATTCTACATCACAAATAGAACTTATTTTGATTTTCCTCAAAAATTCAATGAAAATGGGTATATTTCCAATGATTTTTTTAACCGGTAACAGAGCGAATGTATTGACAAAAAAGATCTTTTAGCATAATGTTAGTTATAACATTTTACATATCTGACTGGAATATTAAGTTTGAAGATGCCTGCGCTTTATGTTTTCTAGGCCTTAATTTGGTTGTAATCTGGATGATTGTATCAAATTTCGCAATTTTGATCTTTTTGGGGTGTGAAAATCAAAGCTTTATGATGAAACTTTGACAAAAATAGTTCTATCTAACATTCCCACATGTCTTTTCATCAACTTAAAACATTTTTTATCATGAAACATTGAACTTAATAATTGGGCCAAATATGGCCTTTACTGAACTTACTCTTTTGGTTTCAGAAATATTTGAAATTAGAAGAGTACTGATAAGGGCATATGTTTTAGCTATAAACATCTATTTTCTTGTTCATTTAAACAGTAGTAGTTTGTATTTCATTTTAGAAGGAAATACATTTTTGAGTGGAATAGCAGTCCATTTACAATGTTTACTAAAAGAGAAAGAGGACCAGGAAAGTGAGCTACACAAGGAATGGCTGTCTACAGAGGCATCAAACCCAGATCATATCAACAGTGCTGGAACTTTTAGGTGAGTTATTTATTTTATTTTATAAGAAGTTCAACATAATAAAAATGTTGATCAGACTATTTAGGCTCATTTTTAAGGATAAAAATGCTGGATTTTGTAGGAATTTAAATTCGATTTTTCACTTGAGATATTATGCAAATTTTCCTAAAATCTTCAATATTGTTTATTTATACTATATTCAATGAAAATCATAATGATGATGTTAAAACATATGATAGATAAAAGCAAGCATGGATACATTGTAATAAACTCTCTACAATGTTTTAATTTGAATCAAAGTACTGAAGTACTGAACATCGGATGACCGCAGGTTCTTGTGGATGGTCAAAAGCACATGTCACAGAAACAGATCACATCTCTATACCTGAAACTGAGGTTAATTTACAGAGATTTTTAGCTCACCTGACCTGAAAGGTCAAGTGAGCTTTTCTCATCACTTTGCGTCCGTCGTCCTGCGTCCGTCGACCGTCGTCCGTAAACTTTTACAAAAATCTTCTCCTCTGAAACTACTGGGCCAAATGCACCCAAACTTAAACACAATCATCATTCAAGTATCTAGTTTAAAAAATGTGTCCGGTGACCCGGCCAACCAACCAAGATGGCCGCCATGGCTAAAAATAGAACATAGGGGTAAAATGTAGATTTTGGCTTATATCTCTGAAACCAAAGCATTTAGAGCAAATCTGACATGGGGTAAAATTGTTTATCAGGTCAAGATCTATCTGCCCTTTATAGTCAATTTTTAACCATTTTTCGTAAATTTTTGTAATCTTTTACAAAAATCTTCTCCTCTGACAAATTTAACCAAACTTGTCCACAATCATCATTAGGGTATCTAGTTTAAAAAATGTGTCCGATGACCCCGCCCGCAAACCAAGATGGCTGACATGGCTAAAAAATAGTACATAGGGTAAAAAGCAGTTTTTGGCTAATATCTCTGAAACCAAAGCATTGAGAGCAAATCTGACAGGATAAAATTGTTCATTAGGTCAAGATCTATCTGCCCTGAAATTTTCAGACCAATCAGGCAACACGTTGTTGGGTTGCTGCCCTTGAATTGGTAATTTTAAGAAAATTTTGCAGCTTTTGGTTATTATCTTGAATATTATTATAGATAGAGATAAACTGTAAACAACAATAATGTACAGCAAAGTAAGATCTACAAATAAGTCAACATGACCAAAATTGTCAATTGACCCCTTAAGGAGTTATTGCCCTTTATAGTCAATTTTTTACAATTTTCATAAATTTTGTAAATTTTTGTAAATTTTTGCAAAATATTTTCCACTGTAACTACTGGGCCAAGTTCATTTTAGATAGAGATAATAGTAAGGAGCAAGAATGTTCAGTAAAGTAAGATCTACAAACACATCACCATCACCAAAACACAATTTTGTCATGAATCCATCTGTGTCCTTTGTTTAATATGCACATAGACCAAGGTGAGCGACACAGGCTCTTTAGAGCCTCTAGTTTTTTCTTATACAAGTTCGTGCATGGATGATGAATATGACAGGAAATTCAACCTCACCGTAATAACTATTATATTGTAGTGATACAAATCAGTATACCTTAGACTATTATACTAATATAATAATAGTTCCAGAGAATACACTGGTTTGTTGTTATATATTATATTAATATTACGGTTGCATGTATATATAATTTTTATCTATTTGTATATCATACTATTCTACTATTATTATAGTGTAATGCAAGTGCATGGTGGACACTCTTCTGTAAAAAAAAATCAAAGTCTTAAAGGCTGTAAAAGCAATTGCTGCCATGTTAATGTTTTGTGGACTTTTATTTTTCATCCATATATATAAGAATTAAACCTGACAGGACAGGAGTGTTAACTAGTGAGAAGCAAGACGGTTTTAACTTTATATCAATATAAGACTTTAGCAGGAAATCGATTAAATATGTTTTATATTTTACAAGGAGACAACAAGTTTACCAGGCTAAAGTTGGGGTTAATTATACATGTGCTGAAACATATAACTGAAAAAAAAATCATTATGGATTATCCCCTGGTAGTGTTTGTAACTGGGCAATAATTTCCTTTATTGATTTAATTTTAACCATTTTCATAATTAATTTAAATTAACCATTCAGTTAAAACATTTCAACTTTCCAGACGCAAATGATGAAAAACGGGACAGAAATAAAATATCTTACAAGACATAAACATGTAAAAAATAAATATATATTTCAGCTTACTAAAAATATTTTCATAATGTTACTTTGACACTGAGACTACTATAACACAGTATATAACAAACAGCTCTATGTTGCTTTGATATTTATCAATTTTCAGGAAACATGTGAAATAAATTTCAGGTCCATTTCATTATAGTGCCTAACAAGATTGTGTGAGGTAGACGAAATTGACCTTAAAACGATCGCATTGTCTTTTGATGTCCAAAAAAAAAGCAGATCGGACATATAAGGACTTTATCTAATGACTACATAAATTTGGGATTTATTATTATTATAATATTCTAATGAAACTGAAAATTGTATTTTTTTTTTAGGATAAACAACAATTTTACCTGGCGTAGCCGTTCATAAATGTTTTTCTGCATTTATCTTCGAAAAATGGCGTATTTAATGGAATAGAACGTTAATACAGTAAACTTTCTCTTTTTTCTCCGCAATAGGCTATCAAAAATAATTTATCTAATGTGTATGTGGAAAATTATGTGAAAAGATAAAAAGTGGCAATTGTTACCTTTCATACCATAAGTTTCGTTCATCTGATTCTGACCAATGCTTATATACTAAATATCTATTTATATGCCGCTATTATTGTTGTTGTTACCAATTATGTAAATCAATTGTATCTGATTTTATGCACTTTATGGGCCCTGTAATTTGGGAAATAAAAAAAAAATCTATTCATTGATAAAACGTAATATGGACTGGTCCAGTGTCCAGTTTGCAGGTCATTTTATATTCTGTACACATTCATGCACGCTCTGATTTAATCAATATACTCGTACGAAAAAGCATGAACAGTTTGAAGGTAATCTAATAATAACTTAATCCAATCAAATTGCATAAGATTCAATAACAATGTCAAGTCCACATCATAATGAGTAATAGAGGTAAACTGGGTAGGGAGAAAATGACAGATATTTCAAGTTAATATTTATGCAATAACGAATTAAAATTTGTCAACCAAAAGTTTTGCTACAATTTCAAAAACATGTCGTTCTGTATGGGTATAGTTTTCGGATCTTTCATTAGCGTATTTAAGGCTATAAAAAGTTTGGGCTTCAAAAGTTCACACAATTATTGACTTTATACAGAAAATTCGTCCTTGTAAAACATTTAATAGTTCACAAATGATACGCGATTTTAAAGTAAAATTATTTCTTAAAACACTGCAAAAAATTTCATTCATATTGATAAAGTGGTATCGTCATAAAGTGAGTTGAAATGAACAGTGGTATAGCAAACATCGAATTCCCTCACAAAATGTTATCACACACTACAGTAAGGGGAGTCAGTTAAGTTTGTCTATTTTGAGATACTATACAGGTAATCTTTTGACACTGTGTGACCTGTGTAGTGATTTTGATTTTACGATAAATTCATGAATGAACGATAATTTTATGAATGAACATGAGCACCTGACCTCTTTCTTAAACACCTATTAAACATATAAAACCGTATTTAATAAGGAGATAATTCGGTCAAATTTTTAGTACTAAATCAACAACTGAAATGATTCCATTTTTTGATGAAACATCGTACGAACGGAGAACGGAATCGCAGGTATAAAAATGCACTTTTTTCCCTTGTAATGACCGCGGATCTATAATTTTTATAGATCGGTTGAAATCCCAAAACTAATTTGCATAATGGAAATTTAGGCGATAGCAATACATCGGAGTGACCTCAAGGTCATCCTCTGTAAAAATTGGGAAACAGTATTAAAATCTCTGATGACAGAACATTTTTGTTTACAATGCACAGGTTAAAATTCAGTTGTCTCCCTTTCATACCAACTACATCAAACACAAGAAACCCTCCTGCTTGTCATATTAGATGTCACTGGTTTTGTCTCTCATGTGACAAAAGTTGCGGAAAGCGATACATAGGGATTGCTTTTCCGGCGACAATGGCGTCATCAATTGTTAAGTTTTCTGCTTAAGTTAGTTTAATAGGAACTGCTTGTGATAGATCATTCATATTTAATATAAAGTTGCATTACTATCAATACATATCAGCTCAACGACTATTTTGAGGCCCTGCCCCTAGGACATGGTCCAATGACTTTGAATTAATTAGCAATTTTCAATGTTACGTTTTCTGCTAAGTTAGTTTGATAGGATCTACATGTGACAGATCAATGATATTTTGTATGAAGTCGCATTACTGTCAGTACATATCAGTTTGAAGACTATTTTGGGTCCCTCCCCCCTAGGACATAGTCCAGTGACTTTGAATTAATTAGCAATTTTCAATGTTTAGTTTTCTGCTTCAGTTAGATTGATAGAAATACAATAGACGATGATATTTTCTTTAAACATGATAAAGTTACATTACTCTCTGTACATTTCAGTTTGTTGACCATTTTCAGGCCCTTCCCACTAGATCATGATTAAGCAACTGAATTAAGAAGCAATGCTGCTGTCCATCAGATTGTCTTTTTCTGAATTTTATGCCGACAGGCGAGACATATCTCAAACTAGGTGTTGAACTAGGCACATATTTTTTAGATTTGTTTCTGATATTTTTAAGAATTGAATACTTCTTTTTATGTTTTATTGTTGTTTAATAGCTTTGACCAAAGCACATACAGTATTGTATTGAGTACTTAAGCCTTAATTAACCATGAAATTACGAGTTGAAACAAGCCTTTTGTTTTTTTTATATATATATATATATTTTAATGTTGGTAAGGAAAGCATGTGCAATCATATATGTTGCATTTTAATAGTAAAAAAAAATGTAAGTTTTAGAATGCATTAGCCAATCAAAATTATGAAATGTAGTAACTAATTTATTAAGAAAGACAATTAACCTTTATACTAGATTTCAATAGCTAAGTATTCAGACAAATTTTCTGTCGTGCATGATTTTGATGTGCTTACTTTTCTTTCAGGGGAGCAGCAATACAGTGTTTAGAAGAGAAATTAGCCAGTTTACTAGCCGGCATAATTGCTTTTATAGATAAGAACTGCAATATGAATATTGTTATGAGTGAACAAGCTCATTATTGGCAGAGATTTGTTTGGCTAGAAATTCTCAATTGTCCACACGTAACACAGTTACATTACATACACTCACTTTCACTTCCACACCAAATAATGGCTGAACATATTGTGCAGGGTACAGCTTATGAAGGTGGAGGATTCTTAGCTGGAATGCCATTTTCATGGCTGATATACAGGCAGATTGAGGAAATTATGAAGACCACTTTTGAAGAACCAGGCATCCATGGTATGTATTAATGGTGGCACATGTGAAAAAAGGAATGAGATACAATTAAAACTTGCTCTGTGAAAGGGTAAGCAGTTCCTGCTCCGCTATGTGGCAACCATTGTGTAGCTTATGTAAATCAAGAATAATGAGTGTATGGTAAATATCATTTGAGACAGTTTTAAAAAGTTTACAAATATGTGTTTTTTAAATTTGTTGTCTTAACATGTATTGATTGATTGTGGTTTGTATAAGCCCAGTAGCAAATATTTCATGCATATTCAAGATGAAAACAAATTAACAATTACAGCAGATTCCAACGAGTGTGTAGCTAAAGGTAGAATCTTTGGTTAGCTTCCTTGCTAGCTCAACCATGAAATGATTATTACCTTAAATTGGGAGGAGCAAAGCGCTATTTTATCATCCAATGAAAACATTTATATCAATGGCCTGTTTATTATTTATAATATATGTATGTTTCATACAAAGGTTTACCTAGACTACTTTGCAAATGAAATTTCATTTCATAGTCTTTGATTGAATTAAAAAATCTTTTTATTACAATAAATCAGAAGTGGAGTGACGTTTTTTTTACGCTGTGAATAGGCAGTTTAGTTAATTAATGTCTTTTGTTGTAATCCCCACGCATAAAACATTGTTATGTATTTTCTTTATATATGCATATTTTTTAGAACTAAAATCTTTTATATTCATACAGAAAAGAAAAATTATCATACTACTTAATATTATTAATCGAATATTTTTAAGGATTTGTGATTCGTAAAAACTTGATCACATGTACATTTGTATTTGCTCAGTTTGCACGCCAATACTGTTGTGTTTAGCTTTTCGTAGGTCAAAAACAGAATATTGCACAGGGCATACAGCATGTTACTAAAAATAGATTCTAGAAATCCCCAATTTTACATTGTTCATGCTATAGTTGTTGATTAATAATATAACAATTGTAGCCTTTGGTTGAGGTCAATACGATGTTATATCGACCCAGAGAAGCATATCGACCTCGGACTTCGTCCTCAGTCAATATGCTTCTCTTAGGTCGATATAACCTCGTATCGACCTCATATATACAAAGGCTATAATTGTATAATATATCATGCACGGTTGTAGTACTTATATTTGGTTAAAAATGCAACGAGAAAAAAAAACCCAGCAAACAACTGCAGTTTAGAATTGAAAATATTGCACAGTTTATGGACATCCACTTGGTTTGTTAACATTACCTTACTTATTAGTTTTAGATAAATAATGCAGCCATGAAGACCAATTTTTATGTCTCTAATTCAGTTAGATTTAATCTGACCTAGATTGAATGATCCGGTCATATGTACTTTTGAACACCTTCCAATCTTTTTTACCTGTTCGGGTGAATTGTAAACATATGTGTATGTGTAAAAGTGAATACGGTCAGCACTTGTCAGTCATATCCAACTACATTTTATTAACTTGATGTAACAAATTCAACAGACAGGTAAAATATATTATTATTTGTAATGTCTGACGAAGAAGAAAACATTTTAGGAATGTCAGCTTTCAGTTAACTTTTCACCATTTATCAAAATAAGATTGGCACATCAAACACACCTACAACATGCTTGTGAATGAGCTTATAATTATCATTAAATTTTAAATTTAGATTGAAAACTTATTTTTAAACTGACTTGTAAAACTAGTTTTACAATTTTTATATTCTGTCACTTAATTCTGATTGGTTCTCTGCTTAACTATTGACTCCACCCAAAGGCTGGATGTACCTTACCTAATAATGACTTCATGGTTGAGCTAGCAAGGAAGCTAACCAAAGATTCTACCTTTAGCTACACACTCGTTGGAATCGGCTGTAATGCAATAGGTCAGTTCTGCAAAGTTGTGTAACTGGGATGAGAATTTTGAGTGCCACTGCCAGAGGCTATTTGAAAGGGTTAGAAGTTTTGTCTTGCAACAGGTCACCAAAGAAATCTCAAAAAGTGGTTGGAAGGGTTTTTTAACATGGAGAGTGGCACTCTCTTTTCACCAAGCATTGAATTTAAACTCCCTATTCTAATCAGACATAAGTGCGTGTTTATACATGTTGGAGGAAATTAAGTCCAAAGTATGACCTTATCTCTGTTCCCCAGTCAGCCCTAAGGGTTTCTTTGCATGGAATTTATATTGAAAAATCAGTAAGTCAATTTACACTAATTTTGTAAAGCTTCTTATCAAGTACACAATGTTTAATCAGACTTTTGATATAAATGCAGGCAATGTGTTTGTCAGTTTAACAACTTCTTACATTGCATTATATTACTAACTTGAAAGAATTTATATTTCATTCTAGAAAACCATGGCATACTTGAACTGGTGATAAAAACAGCCAGGATATTGGAATCCACTCCACTGGGTAAAATTCTGTCTCAATTAGAAGGAACTAGCATTCAAGAGGTCATTCGTTGTTACATCAAAGATTTTGTACACATGGCTTATCCTGTTAAATCAGAACTAGAGCAATTGGTAAGATAGGAAATGTGGAGAAAATTTTGCTAATGTAGCATTAATTTATTAGAAATTTTTGTTTATATCTGCTTTACAAGTTATATGGATTGCTGCTGAGCCCCTTTCAGAACCATAAAGGATTATTAAAAAAGGGGGTGTAGCTGTAGGCTGAATAGACCTTATCGCTCTTTGTGAATCTGCGACACTTGACCCGAGAATCTGAGACACTTGAACTATTGACGTCATACAACAATCACTTTTCCTTTGTGGCGTCAAACATTTTCTATTGTGATGTCAAAATTTTTACGGGAACCTTTGAGATGTCCAGTAAAGGCTGACAAATAGCGATAAGGTGAATCCACTATGGATTTTACTAATTCTCAATAGATCCAAAGGGGGTCAGTAATGAACCTTATTACAAATTTAATGCACAGGAAACTTTTTTTTTATTATTCATGGAATAAATGTTACATTTCTCGTCAATGTCTTGAAGTGTGGATGTCTCATGTCTGTCCATTTTGTTGCAGACGAAAATATTAGGTCACATGTTGTTTGAAACGGGAGATAACTTTGGGCACATGACTTAACTTTGTGCTGACCAACAGGGGACAACTCAAAAATGATTATTTGATTTGTGAAATATAATTCGATAGAGTATAATGGTTACAATACCAGTCTGAAAATTCCAAGCGGCATATCTCAACTCACATAGCCAACATGATGCCCCTTATGAAATCTACTGACCCGTATTTGAAGGTGTTATTTGAAACCAATTACATCATCAGTAATTTACCTGAGGTGCAATAAGTTCTTATCTGAGCATGTGGTATTTTAAATATAAAAGAAATATAAAAGAACAAATTTGTACAATTTTATGAACTATTGATCATGGATTGTAGTGCTTGATTTTGTTAGGTTTATTATAGCAGCAGAATTACTTTCTCAAAAAATTAAACTTTAATGTTTAAAATTTGAATGTAACATTTGAAAATTTATTCTAAAATTTTATAAATTTAAAAAAAAAAAAGTAAAACTAAAAAAAGTACTTTCCCAAACTAAGCATTTTTTTTAATTGCCCAATTTATAAAAAACATCAAATGCAATGAAGAGAGTGAGTGTATTAACTATATAGTTTACTTTATATTAATTCTATATGTCTTGTTATATTTTTTTTATCTAGACATGCCATATCAATCAACAAGATGCAAATGTGTATTTCAAATAAAACTGTTATAAATTTACACTTTAAGTCAACTTTATACAATAACTCATTACCATCGAATCTTGTCAATTAATCATGATCATTTCTATCAAGAAATTCTTTTAATCTAGAATATTACTTTATTTTCTGCATTGATAACATCAAATATGTTGATATGTCCTAAACATTTCTTTTTAGAATATCTGTGAGAACATTATGGTTGGATGTAGACAGATCATTCAAGGAGAAGCTGGACGTTTATTTCCAGCACTTGTTGGTTGCCATACGGCTTTTCATCACCACAGAGCTCGCTTCAGAAATTTCTCCGACATCATCCATGTTTGGCCTGAATGCTGTGAAAAAGTTACAAAGTTTCAAGAACAGGCAGACCAAGAAATGTTGTATCTTGTTACTGCAGAGGAAATTGTAAGTTTTTCAAACGAGGAACATCTTTTATTTTAAAATTGCCATATAAAGAAGACTAGTGGTCAAAACTTGTGCAAGGAACCTGTGTTTAATTAATGAATAAGAGATGTGGGGAATGCATCAATTAGATGGTATCCTAACCAAAGGTCATTATACAGTCCTCATCGATATGCAGGTCTCTATGCAATATGTCAAGTTCTAAATCACTCTAAAAACACAATTCTGCCAGTGTCACCAAATTCCACAAATGATAAAGCATTTTTGTCTTGCTTGCAAAGAAAGACATTGGGATGCTTATCTAGTGAAGTCATTAACTAATTGTATAAAGCTTTGTAATTCAGAAGGAAAGAGTAGAAGACTGGGATGGTTCATACCATATATACAGTTTCCTTATGCTCATTGTCCTTGTCCTCATTTTCATGGTACAACGACTTTAGAAAAGCTTTTTAGGTTATGTTTAATTGGAAGTTCTCACTTATATTGAGTAATAGGACAATTACATTTGGTATATGGGATCCTCACAAGGTCTTTATGTCAATCAGACAGGGTTCATCTTACTTTGACTTCATTTCATGGATCAGTGGTCAAAGTTAAGTTTTCATTGTCAAGTCCCTTTCTCAGATACTTTAAGCAAGAGGTTAACTATATTTGAGGCTTTGAATAATTGTAATGTGTACATGTTCATCTTGCAGGTTGTATCTGACCTTGATCTCATTTTCATGGTAAATCATTCAGTGGTCAATGTTAAGATTCATGATTTTGTCTGTTTTCAGACACTATAATCAATTGATTAACTATAGTTGGTGTATAGAATGATAGTAAGGTGAACATGTCCCTTTGGCAGGGTTTATTTGACCTTGACCTCATTTACATGGATCACTGATAATTTTAAGTTTATATGATATTTGTATTTATCTTTATCTTAAAGACTTTCATCAATCATGATCCGTAAAGCAGAGACATCTCAGTGTTATATTAGGCACCCCTGTTAATTTGTATTTGGTTTCATTTATGTTTTTATGCTTTATGCTTGAAAAAAAAAGGTTAAGAAAGATTGATGTCTTTGTTTGAAACAAAGATGAATTTGAAATACATCATCAAAGGAGGGTTTCACAAATATGATTGATAGGATTTAAATATTTTTTCAATTTTATCTTTTTGAAGACTTTAGATTTAATGGGCTTACATCTACTTCTGAAGAACCTTGAACCACCTTCAAAGGAGGCTTTAAACAAACCAAGCAGTAGAAAACAGTGGATCAGAGTCCTTTGTGATTACAGACCCATTGTAGAGAGGATCTTTGGATTCTTCAGAGAAAATGAACAGGGGCATGATTTTTCTCCAAGATGTACACAGGCTATACTTACAGCAAGGTTAATACAAGTTAGAAATAGGGTGAGAGAAGGGTTGGAGATTTACCGATGACAGCCTGATAACACTTTACTTCTGTGTCTCATCTTGATAAATGAGAGATGACTTACTTAAGAGAAACAAAACAGATGTAAGACAAGTCTCTAAGATTTATCAACCCAATTCAGACAGCTTGCTTAAAAACAGTAAATTTATAATTGGTCCGAGTACACAGTTATTTCGTAGTGCATTTCTTTTAGACAATAAATGAAAATTAAAAAAATCCCACCTGAGCTTTCTCAATAATATTTTTACAGCGTGTTGTACTACTTTTGGGACAAATTATATCAAAATTATAGAAAACTTCATCGGCTCTAACTCAAAATATGGACAATTTCATGCTAAGGGGGTCTTCAAATCTTTTGACAGCCTCCGAAGTGCTAATTTTTAACATTTTTCAGCTGGACCAAATCACTACTTTACTTTAAAATTCATGACCCAAATTTTTTTACAGTGTCATTTCACCCCCCTACTTACTATTTGAGTCATAAAACATGGAGAAATAAATTCGGAAGGGGTATAAAAAAAATCGACAAGTAACACACTGTCCACACTAGGGACTATATTTGTGGACAACGAAAATCAAAGGACGATAACTGTGTACCCGGACCTAATAGGGTAGAAAAAGTTGACCAATCTTAATGAAACTTGGTATGACCAAAGCTTATTAAATTATAAGACTGCTTACAAAGTTTCATGGCAATAGGGTATACATTATAGACAATATGACTAGTTCTATATTCAACTTTGAGTGTTAAATTTAGACGTTAAAATTGAAAATTTTCAACTATCAACATTTGGGGCTTAAAAAATTAAAATATTGCAAAAAAATACTTTTGAAATGCCTTAATATATAATATATTATGTATTAAAAGCAATTGAGTACTCATTTGATTTATCAGACTTATTATAATTATTAAAAAGTCAAATTTATATGAGCCTGTGGCTAAAAATGGAGGTTTTCCAATGAAGGGGGGCCTTACTTGAAGATGTAATATTTTCCAGCAATTTTAAATTATTAAAGCTTTTTGGTTATAAATAATCCTTACATATGTATTTAATGTACTTTAAATGGAAAGAAAACTTACAAATAACATATTACATTAGTTTAAAAGGGTCTTAGGCCAAGTAAGACTGAAAATAATTTAAGGTCAATTTAGGCCGTATCACATATTTACATTTAAAAATGCATATTGAAGCTATATGAAATAAAATTTTGTGTCTTTTCTATCATTTCTATACTCAGGTGACATGATACAATAAATCTGAGCACAAAAAGACTCTTGCATTCAACTTTTTTTGCAGACAGTATGGTCTGATACAAAGATTTTTCACTTTTTAGTGAAAAACATGCATGCAATTTTAGTCTCAACAGGCTTATATTTGAACCAATTGCTATCCTACAGAAGAAAAGAAAGATATTATGTGACATAAAACAGGCACAAAAGACATTGTTAAGTGCTTTTTATACAAATTTAGTGAGGTCTTTATAATGGACTTCAACTTTTATGTTCCAAGCTCCTCACATTTAACTTGATCCAAACAGGGCGTTAGACGAGGACCATATATACAACACATTTTGCACATATTGTCTGAGATAATCTTCTTTTCTGTAGATTCAGAGTTCACAAATGAGTAATACAACTGGATTGAAGCATAGAAACACAAATATTGACACATAAAAACCTGTCAGATAGAAAGTCAGAATGCCACTTATGCATCAAAATTGAAAAAGCTATGAAATGCTTATTTTGACCATAAAATGCCAAAATTGGTCATTTTTGCAGAAATTCTATCAAATAAAAGTTTAAATCCTTTAGTTTTATGCTATTTGATAAATTGACACCATCAAATCATTCAGGGAAGTTGCCAAAGTACAGATTCTATATTTCCAGATTTCACCTCTTAGGTCCGAGTACACAGTTATTTCGTAGTGCATTTCTTTTAGACAATAAATGAAAATTAAAAAAATCCCACCTGCGCTTTCTCAATAATATTTTTACAGCGTGTTGTACTACTTTTGGGACAAATTATATCAAAATTATAGAAAACTTCATCGGCTCTAACTCAAAATATGGACAATTTCATGCTAAGGGGGTCTTCAAATCTTTTGACAGCCTCCGAAGTGCTAATTTTTAACATTTTTCAGCTGGACCAAATCACTACTTTACTTTGAAATTCATGACCCAAATTTTTTTACAGTGTCATTTCACCCCCCTACTTACTATTTGAGTCATAAAACATGGAGAAATAAATTCGGAAGGGGTATAAAAAAAATCGACAAGTAACACACTGTCCACACTAGGGACTATATTTGTGGACAACGAAAATCAAAGGACGATAACTGTGTACCCGGACCAATTGGTCAATTTTCATCATATTGAGTACAATGTTCTAAATTGGAAAAAGACAACATTTATTGATTCTTGTTGACTAGACTTAAAGAAAATATATAGTAATAAATTTGAGAGAAAGGAACCAAATCAATTGTAAGGACACCTGTCTATTATTGTATACTGTATCTTTCCCTTTACATTTCTTTTGATTTTTGTTGTTGGGTTTTTCATTTATGATTGTCCAACATCTCCTTCTATTCATATTTATTTAGACAAGAAATTCTGCTATAAATGCCATGAAAACCTTTTTTATTGTTATACTAGATATCTATGGACCAGAGCTACAGTGCTGAAGTTATTTATAGAACATGTTTGTACAGAGGATTCAGAAGTTAAGAGATGTATGCCACTCTGGGTTGTAAGTGGTTATTTTGCTCTATGTTAATTATACTCAGCTCCAATGGATTGCGGGTATACTGGTCAATCTGTCGTTCCGTCGGTCTGTCCTATGAAATGTTTGTTACATTTTTCCCAAAAACTACAAACCAGAGCTTCCTGATATTGGGTAACAAGCTTCATATAAGTATATGCTATACAGTATGGTGCATTTTCACATTAATCACTCATCAACTTCCTACATGTTTGTACTGAAAACCTTACATATTCTTACACATACCGTAATAGCCATGGTTGAAATTTTTTTCACATTTTTCTTATGAACTACAAATCAAGGCTTTCTGAAATTTAGAACCAAGCTTCATGTGATGCATTTTCACTTCCATCACTCATCAATTTCCTGTTTACCAAAAAACTTGTAGCTCACAGTTTAACTGGGTTTACTAGAGAAGAAATGGCAGAAATCAAGGGAAAATGAACAATAAATGAAAAAAAGTCAACATTTAGATGAGTATTTTATCATAGCATTATATGTCATTGTTTATAATGAAACCAGTATTTAATTTCAGATATCTAACAATTCAGCTATCTTTTATTTTGTTATTCATTGAACTATCAGTTGTTTACTCTGTACATTTTGTTTTTTTATATCTTTCGATTTGAAAAACAGAAATTCAGTTTATTGTGTGTTGTAGATGCTGAAGACAAAAGCTGATATGAAAACATTAGAATCCCTTGAAAAAGTAGAGAGGTTCTTGAAGTCCTGCAACAAAGAAGTTAGTTCTAAAATTTTTGGGTGAGTTGAGTTTAATCTAATTATTACTTGCACATCTATCTGTTAAGATTATCAATTTAAAAAACCAAACCAATGGATATAGCTTAAATAGCTGTAATTGATTAATCACATATGTTTCTTTGACTTTTTACCGAGTAAAAAGAGACTTAGGGTATGTGTCAATGAAAAAACTAAATAGGTCAGTAGAATGAATACTGTATTCTTGGGTGTCTTGTTTTGCTTTTTAGTACCTGGTCAGGCTTAGCACATCTGCAACCAAACTCAGCTAAGGGTCAAGAATGTCACATGAATACAGATTTAAATGAGTTTTGAATTATATTATTGACTTGCTAGCCAATAATATTTCAGCCTTGTTTTTTAGTTTAACCAAACTGACTATTTCAATGTTCCACTTTAATACATATTCGGGAAAAATATACTTCAATTTTTTGTCTTCACTATGCCCTTTTAAAATCTTTAATAGTAGATTTCTGCCTCTTTGCACAAATCTTGACATTTGATGTTATACTGTGGATTCATTTATTTTCGTGGGTACCAATTTTCGTGGATTGAGGAAAACTTACATGTTCGTGGATATTTAATTTCGTGGTTTTGCTGAAGTTTGTATACAAGCCTATAGAAAATTTGTTATTCGTTTAACATTTAATTTCGTGGTTCACCTGTACCCACGAAATCCACGAAAATTGGTATCCAACGAATAATAATAAATCTACAGTATATGTTGCAATTGAAAACTGTCAATATTTATTCACTTTATTGTTGTTTACAGTCAGCAGAAGTGTGTCTATTGTGATGAACCATATACAGGGGCACAAGAAACACAACCAAGTCCACCAGTAACACTACCATGTAATCATACTATATGTAGAAGATGTTTTGATGAGACTATCACATTGCCAGATGTAAAATGTCCAACTTGTGATCAATCATTTCTGAAAGATTTTCAACCTGTTGCAGCTGATCAGAGGTAAAGTCATATTTTTTTCAACAATTACTTAAAAATATCTTTACCCTAAATGATTACTACAAGTTTAAGGGGATGTTAAAGACCTTGATCTTGATGAGATTGACATGTCAAAAAATTGTTTTTAATTTTTTGATGGTGCTTGTAAATATAGAGATAGAGTAGCATGATAAATCAGGAATTGGAATTTCATAAAATGTGTATAAAACTAAATGTATAACATTTGGTTTGCTTTTAACATTTGGTTTGCTTTTAACATTGTGTTTGCACAGGTATAGATATAGAGTTAAAAAGAAAACATTTTCTTTAATTTTCATTTTTATACGACCGCAAAAATTAAAAATTTTTTGGTCGTATATTGGTATGACGTTGGCGTCGTCGTCGTCGTCGTCCGAAGACACATTGGTTTTCGCACTCTAACTTTAGTTTAAGTGAATGGATCTCCATGAAATTTTACCATAAGGTTCAATACCACGAAAGGAAGGTTTGGATTGATTTTGGGGGTTATGGTACCAACAGTTAAGGAATTTGGGGCCAAAAAGGGGCCAAAAATAAGCATTTTTGTAACTTCCAGACAATAACTTGTGTGTAAGTGTATGGATCTCTCTGACATTGTACCACAAGGTTCCATATCACAAAGGAAAGGCTGTAATTGATTTTGGGGGTAATTGCCTCAAAATTTTAGGAATTAGGGGCCAAAAAAGGGGCAAAAAACAAGCATTTTTCTAGTTTCATGACAATAACTTGTGTTTTAGTGTTTGGATATTTCTGAAATTGTACTACAAGGTTCCATATCACAAAGGGAAAGCTGGAATTGAGTTTGGGGGTAATTGCCCGAAACGTTTAGGAATTGGGGGCCAAAAAGGGGCCAAAAATAAGCATTTTTTTAGTTTCCAGACAATAACTTGTGTTCAAGTGTTTGGATCTCTCTGAAATTGTACTGCAAGGTACCATACCACAAAGGGAAGGCTGGGATTGAGTTTGGGGGTGATGAATCATAAGGGGGTTCAAAAAATTTGGGGGGGGGGATTTTTTTTTCTTTCTTTTTTTTCTTTTTTTCATTTTTTTTTTCTTTTAAAATTTTCCATTTTAAGTTGGTTATTTCTGATTAATATTTAAAAGCAAATAATAATGATATGGTAGGAGATACACACCAAACAGGATGTGTAAATTATTATATAATAAGTATTGTGCAATAGCAAGAAATTTTCAATTGCACAGTATTGCACAATAGCAAGAAATCTTCAATTGCACAGTATTGCGCAATAGCAATAAATCTTCAATTGCACAGTATTGCGCAATAGCAAGAAATATCCAATAGCACAATATTGGGCAATAGCAAGAAATTGTCAATTGTACAGTATTGCGCAATAGCAAGAAATATTCAATTGCACAGTATTGTGCAAAAGAAGATACTTCGATGAATCTAACCGTGTATTAAGTTTTTGGATTTTGGGCCCCGTTTTTAAATTGGTCCACATTGAGGTCCAAAGGGTTTAAAATTTAACTTTGTTTGATTTCATCAAAAATTGAATTATTGGGGTTCTTTGATATGCCGAATCTAACCGTGTATTTAGATTCTTAATTTTTGGTTCCGTTTTCAAATTGGTCTACATTAAGGTCGAAAGGGTCCAAAATTAAACTTAGTTTGATTTTAACAAAAATTGAATTTTTAGGGTTCTTTGATATGCTGAATCTAAACATGTATTTAGATTTTTGATTATGGGCCCAGTTTTCAAGTTGGTCCAAATCGGGGTCCAAAATTAAACTTTGTTTGATTTCAACAAAAATTGAATATATGGGGTTCTTTGATATGCTGAATCTAACCATGTATTTAGATTTTTGATTTTTGGGCCCCATTATCAACTTTGTCCACATTGAGGTCAAAAGGGTCCAAAATTAAACTTTGTTTGATTTCATCAAAAATTGAATTCTTGGGGTTCTTTGATATGCTGAATCTAACCATGTATTTAGATTTTGGATATTGGACCATAATAGGTGAATGTCCAATTTAAAATTTTTAAGTTCTTAGACCACATTCATTCTGTATCAGAAACCTATGCTGTGTCAAATATTTAATCACAATCCAAATTCAGAGCTGTATTAAGCTTGAATGTTGTGTCCATACTTGCCCCAACTGTTCAGGGTTCGACCTCTGCGGTTGTATCAAGCTGCGCCCTGCGGAGCATTTTATTTACATTTACTCAGGAACATATATATTGACGGGACTTGACACTACCTGATTGTAGTCGATTTTATCGTCGTGCCATAGTTAATAAAGATACGATACAGAAACGGATATGTGTTAAAAACGGACTCGCTTTTATCCTAATAATTTCTGATATTATCAATAAAATGTCATTCAAACTAGTTTTATAGTGATGCTAGTGTATCAAACTTGTATTCTGTCACTTCAAATTTGTTAAAATCGCAAGCATTTTATCACAGAATTGTGCAGAATTCAAACCAGGTAATAAAAAAATGGCGGCCATTGCCGCGATGATTTACAAATTCCCAAACTATTAAAAAACACTTCACATCAAATAAATCAAACTTATTTTGGTAATTTTATATGAAAAAATATATCTACTAAATGTTAAAACTTGTATTTATTTACAATTAGAGTTAAGTGGTTTATTTGTTGAGCAGTTCTGATAGTTTTTCAGTCAGACGCTACCAAAATCCGTAAATCTCGGGAAGTCTCGGGGAGTCCGAGATTTTATCAATTTTATACTGAAAAGCGTATCAGATTCATTTCCCGTTAGATATATTGTTCCCAGATTTACTCTACAGTTCTTGTGCAAAATATATTTGCATTAAATGTTGAAATTTTTCTTCCTTTTTAGCGAAAATGTTCTAGCATACCAGGATTTCAGAAGACGATGTAACAGTTTCTTTATGGAAGTTGTTTCCCAGTTATGTTTTGCCGAAGGAACCCCGCCATCAAATGAAATAGTAAACAAACTACTGTCCTACATTACTGTACAAACAAAGAAAGGTCAAGAGGTCACTAAGCAACTGACAATTTTCAATGATTGTATTGATTCTACTCCAGTTGTTCGTTCATTTCTGTTACAACATTTGATGAGAACAAGGTACTGAAGACAGTTTTTCATTTGAAAATAGAATTATTGTTTTGGCAAAAGCCATTGATTTGTATAATAATCTGTTAAACAATTTGATTGTGAAATAAAAGTCTAGCTCACTAGCCTTATGGGTAATGTGAGCTATCGACATCACTTAGCATATGTAGTTGGTCTTTGCTGTTTACCTTTTAAAATATTTTTCTCTAAAACCACTCGACCAATTTCAACAAAATTTGAGTTGAATCATCCTTAGAATATTTAGTATAAAGAATTGTTGTTTTTATAATTCCTGCCAATCAACTGACATAGCCATCATGACTTAAATAGAAAAATAAGGGCCAGGTACATCAATTTTACTGGAATAGCCCTCTATTTTCAATATGTATTTTGCTATCTTATTCATTGACAAAGTTTACTTGTCAGTTTTTTTTTCTTTACTTATGTCCTGATTTCACTGTTGATAAATGGCAATTTTATTTTTTAAACAGTGGTCCAGACGTGCACCAACACTTGGAGACTTATTTCAGAAATGCTTTAAGATTAGTTGATCCCACTACCAGTGAACAATCGCATAGTGTGTGTTATCTTGTACTGCAGTGTATGGAGGTAAGTTTACATTTCAATGAGAGGATTATAGAAAAACACAATTGCTAAATCTAATATATGCTACTCAATTGTAATTCTTAGAGACTGTTAAGAAAATAAGATGTCAGGTGCAGTACAAGTTTGTTGAAGCTCTTTGATCCTAAATTGTGATGAAGCTTAAGGGAACAATAACTCAGCTTGCTTAATTCTTCCGGTTTTTAAGCCTTGTACAAACAACGTTTTATATTCTTAGCAACTTCCATAAACAAGATGTTTTAAGATAAACAGAAGACAATTTCAGTGTTAGTTTTGTTGAGAAATCATACCGATTAAGGAATGCAATTAAATGCATGTTCTAACAAGTTGTTGTTTGTAATATAGATTGTCAAAATTAGCTAACAAATAAAATATAGTAAGGGAATCTAATTTGCATCCACAGATAAATTTTCAGTTATTTAAAGTTAATTTATCAAATTGGTACACCTGCTAATGTCTCTTTATAGTGTAGACCTTGTACCTTTTTTGTAACAATAAAACTCACCCAATATTAATGTGAACAAGAAGATATATGTTATGGTATTTGTATGGCTTTTGCTCATTGTTCAAGTGAAGTATCTTACATCCATGTAATAAAGTCTCTTGTGGAAAATTGTCTTAAATTTGCAATCATACCACAGCTTCTTATAATTTTTATAGAATTCAATACATTCATATTAGTTTTAGTCTGGTTGATCTAAATATTTCTCACAATTTTATTTAGGATTCTTATCATCAACGTTACTCTGAAGAAAACAGAGAACTAATTCAAGCAGCAACAGAAATGTTGAGGAATTCCTGTAGAAAGATACAATTAGATGCTGATCATCTGCTAGAAAACATGGAACACTTATCCCAAACAAGATTCTCTCTTAGTATGGCAGCTAACTTAATGTATAAAGCATTCATAGAAAAGACTGTCAAGTCAGACACAAGGTTGAGAAGACTTTTTGAGGCAGTAGGAAAACTTATTGAAGAATGTGGATCAAACTGGCCTAGGTAGGAATATATAGAGATGAAACAGCCCCATCTTCAAGTTATTTTAAGACTTTTGTTTAGTATATTGAAAGGAATTCAACTCCTACAGTTGTTAACTACATATTAAGCAACTGCTATGTTCTATTTGAAGTTTACATAAAGCGTTTTAAAAAAATTATTGATTCACCCCACTTTCTAAAGCAAGGAGTATATAGTGATGGAGGAGTACGTCTGTATATCCGTCCTTCTATTCTTTCTTTCATTTCCGCATCCTGTCTCACTTTTGTGTCAACTGCTCATGATCCACTTGACAGATTTTTGTGAAACTAACACTAAATCTTACTCCCATGAAGTACTTTTAGATCAAATCTTCTCTTTTTTAGACGTTACTTTATAAAGTACCTATGTAGATGTTATGGCACTGACTGTTACCAGACTGTTCGTACAGATTGTGATATGGCAATGAAAAGATGGATTAACTTACCAGAACTTCAGAATGATAAGGTAAGTTTTATTCCATAATTTATACTTCTAAACATTGGCTGCATGGAAATGTAGTGATTATTCATTAAAATAAAAACTGATGTTTCACATGTGAAATAAATCCTGTATTGTAATTCCCCTTACAGCAGACAACAATAGGTGTTGGCAATGAAGTTAAATCATAGAAATTAGAAAGCCTTTAAAAAATACAGGGTTTGAACAAAGGGGATCACAATTGTCCAAATGCTAAAAATGTCAATGAGCATAGGGAGGCTAAAAAATATGTAAAAAAAAAAAAAAGAATAAAATTTTACAATCAAAAGGGGTGATATATCTGCCATCTCCTCCTTCACCGGTTTTAATGTTATAAAGAAAATCTCTAATCCCAGAATTAAATTTCAAAAAGTCAAATTTAACTTGTGACTGAACAATAGTTATAATTTACTCGTGTGCTTTACATACACCTTGGTTAATGTGTTGTTGACTGACCATTTTATTATCTTTTATCATTGATGTTCTTGTTATTCTTATTGTGCAAAAATCTATTATACTTTTTTAAGAGTCAAATGATATCACATATATACTTAGAGCAAAAATTAAAGTGGAATGAATGGACACAAGACCAATTTTTTTGAAAGCTGGAAAAACAACAATATATAAAGCAAAGGAAGTGATTTTAACTGCTGTTCTTTATCATAACAGTTACGATAAGGTTTTCAGATATTAAGTAAATAGTACATGATATTAATAGAGTTAAAAAATCGCCTGAAATTTCTCTTACAGATCACTCTCATATTTATCAATAACACCTTCAAAATAGTCCCTTAATGTTCTTTTTTTAATGTTTAACAAAATATAAATGTATTATATGCTTGTATGTAAAACGTGTTAAAAGTCAAAACCACAAAAATCACTTATCCAAATTTTTTTACTTGTTGCGCAAAAACAATAAGTTAAGTGGAACAGATGTTATCATTTTGTGTTTTTGAACAGCATTCATGTCTAATGTGGCAGACTAGAGGGGAAGGTAGGTAACTTAAAAGTATGCAACACATAGAGAATATCACATCCGTATCAACCCGAGACACCTATATAATCCCAAGAACTCTGCTCGAGGGATTATATTGGTTGAGGGTTGAAACGGTGTATGATATTGAAAAAGCCATATCATATACACTTTATTATATATTTCAAGTAGATATTTTTTTCATGACGTGACATCATACAGATTAGGGGTTTGATAAAGCCTTTGCAACGGTGAATGATGTCGAAAACATGACATCATACAGATTAAGGGTGTGATAAAGCCTTTGCAACCCGGACTGGTATCGATATAATCACGAATGGCTGATACTGCACGATTGCCATTGATCCTATTACATAAAGAATTTACATGTATTTACTACTAAGTATATAATAAATTTATTTATAACATGTTGTTTATAACATTCTATTTTAGAAAGAAGAATGTCAAGACAGATTTATTGTTTGTGGAGACGGCTATACACAAATGAGAGAAGCTTTTGTTCAGGCAGCATTAAATGAGGATGCTAAGAAGATAGTTAATTTATTACAGGTTTAGTATTTTTTTAATGATTCTAAGAAATTTGGTCTTGCTTGTTGCAAAACAAGATTATCATCGTTGGACTTTATGGCTGAATGTGAGACTCCCTCTGCTTGCCCATGTCTAACTGTTTTAATATTTCTTTTTGAATTATTAAAAAAAATATAATTATTATAATTGCAAGTAACTATGTAAATAATCATATAGTGTAATTTACAGGAAAATTTTAACAAATAATTAAAGGTTGAGTTTGACAACAAGAAATTGACAAAATGCATAATTTTAACTTTTAATAGAGGGAAGAGAATTCTAAGTAGGCAATAAAAAAAATATAAATCAGAGATAGACAGACAATTCAATGGCAAAACAGAAAAAAGATAAACAGAACAGTCTTAATAAGACTTAACAAACACTTAAGATTGAACTTAAAAGATATAGTAATAGGCTACAAAATAACAGATAGTGAGTATATCGGATTCAATATAATTCTGACAATTATAGGATTTGCAATCTACAAATCGTACTATGTATCAAACCAAAGAAATAAATCTACTAATGTATTCATTCTCTTTAAATCTGAATTTGACGAATACTTTAGATCATACAATCTAGACAAAGAATACACTGCAGTCCGGGTGTTTCAAAATTTAATCTAAAGAACAGAAATTTGTTTTCTTCAAAAAAAAAAACAACATTTTTATGATATTCTTAAGCAGACAGATATCTTAACTATATAAATAAATAAATTACTCACCTAATAAGTTTGAAATCCAAGGATAAAGATATAAAATCGGCAAATTCCACAATAAACATCCATTAAAAAGCATGCTCTCACCTTTAAACAAGGTAAAACATCCGATCAAGAAAATCGATATTCCACACATTTAAACCATGCAATTGATGAACGAGATGACAGTAGATAATTTATTTCGAATTAGTGTATCATATTATAATTGAACATTGTATTTAATTGTAAAAAAACAGTAGATAATTAATTTCGGATTAGTATGTCATATTATTATTGAACATTGTATTTAATTTGTACTATTACTAATATAAAATATAAGAAAATACTGCTTATCTATATGAAACCCTGTTCTTGTAGATATTAACAATATCGGGGTACCTTACTGTTAAAGCTGTAGCGGTAATTTCATTGTTAATAGCTTTAGTGCAATAAAACTTTATTCAAGTGTTAAAAAAAAAAAAAAAAAAGATTAAACAACATGACACCATCCAAAAAATGAGGGTAAAATTATGTCCTTAAACTAGAAGGTTAAGCATTTTGTGCTTGAAATAACTGCTAAAATGATATTTAGAGATTAACCTCTTGAAGAACAAGTGAGGAATATTTTGATGATTTTTTTTTTAATTTTTATTGAAGACTAAGAAGAACAAATGGAAAACAGAAATAAGATTTCTGTTGGTGATCTATAGAGAGTTTACTATGAACTTCTTGTATGAGGAGGCACAACAGCAATTCTCACAGAAAGTAGGTTGTTTTAGAAAATAAATAAAATGAAAGTTGGGGTATGATAATGAGACAGTAAACATAACTTGTCAAGGAAACTATTTTACAAAATTTACATAAGTAGCAGAAAGTAGTGCATGGCCTATGAATCTATCTATATGGGTAGAAGAAGATAGCTCAATTAGAAATATAGCCTAAATACTTGACTTATTTTACTACAAAGACTTGTTTATTTTATTTAATTTAAATGTCCAAGTAAAGATAAAAAAAAATTGTATAAAGAAAATATTAAATTAATACCATGAATAGTTAATCCGTTTGGCAGTACAAAAAGTAAAAATAAAAGTAATAATCAGTATAAATGAAAATTTGAAATGTTTTTGAATCTTTATTAGCTACATGTTTATCTATATATTTTTTAAGGTCAAGCAGTTTCTGCAAAGAACATTAATGAATTGTAATAAGATACAAGACAAGGTGAGTTATGTTGATACAGATTTGTGGCTTTAGCTTTACTTTCTGTAGACCAGTTTAATACAACATTTCTGTAATTATGTCATTTCCTACTAAAATTTTCCATTTTACCCACACAAAAACATTTGCAATGAATTCTGAATTTTATCTGCAGGATTGTTAGGTATTTATATCAGTATTGTCAAGGTGACTTTACCTTAGGTTTCATGAGTTCTATTTTGATAACTTTGTTTTCAACACCTGACATATTTTAAAACAGCTCATGATTTTATTCAAATAGAATTGACTGCATGAAAAAATAGATTTTGAGGTTTAAAAAAATACATATCACTTAGCTACTGTTATGCATAATTCAATGATTTTCTTTACTTTCTAACTTATTCATGTTATTAGTGGGGGGGCAAATTCTTTATTTTAAATATACCTAATTTAGTGGTTTTATCATTTATTCCTATCATATTTAAATGTACATGAGTATTGAAATTTGACTTAAATCTATCTACATATTTTGGATATTACTCTTGTTGATCTAACCTATATTTTTCTTCTTTTATATATTCTGTGGGTTCATTATGATTTGTGGGATACCATTTTCTTGTCGAGCCTGCGATTTCTGTCGCAGAAAGCACGACATAGGGATAGTGAACCGGCGGCAGCAGCGGCGTTAACTAACTTCCTAAAAGCTTTAGATTTTAAAAGGTGGAAGACGTGGATGCTTCATACTTTGTATATAGATGCCTTATGTTATGAAGTTTCCGTCTGTCATATGTCCAATGTCCTTGACCTCATGTTTTTGGTTCAGTGACTACTTGAAGAAAAAGTTAAAGATTTTTTTGTAATGTTAATTTCTCTCTTTATATGAGTAATAGGACAACTATTTTTAGTATGTGCGTACCTTGCAAGGTTCTTATGCCTGTCAGACAGTTTTCATATGACCTCGACCTCATTTCATGGATCAGTGAACAAGGTTAAGTTTTCGTGGTCAAGTTCATATCTCAGATACTTTAAGCAATAGGTCGACTATATTTGGTGTATGGAATGATTGTAAGGTGAACATATCCAACTGGCAGGTGTCATCTGACCTTGACCTCATTTTCATGGTTCAGTGGTTAGAGTGAAGTTTTTGTGTTTTGATCTTTTTTTTGGCATACTATATGCAATAGGTCAACTTTATTTGGTGTATGGAAATATTTTATGATGTACATGTCAGTCTGGCAGGTTTTATTAGACCTTGACCTCATTTTCTTGGTTCATTGCTCAGTGTTAAGTTTTTTATATTTTGGTCTGTTAAACTATAGGCAGTAGGTGACTGTAGGTAAACTATAAATGGTGTATAGAATGGTTGTAAGGTGTATAAATCTGTCTGGCAGGTATCATATGACCTTGACCTAATTTTCATGGTTCATTGGTCAATGTTAAGTTTTCATGGTTAAGTTTGTTTCTTAGATACTATAATCAATATGTCAACTATATTTAATGCATAGATTGATTGTAAGGTGTACATGTCTGTCTGGCATGGTTCATCTGACCTTGACCTCATTTTCATGGTTCATTGGTCAATGTTTAGTTTTTTTGGTTAAGTTTGTTTCTAAGAAACTATAAGCAATAGGTCTACTATATTTGGTGTATGGAATGATTGTAAGGTCACTAAGGTGTACATGTACTTCTGGTTTGGTTAATCTGACCTTGACCTCATTTTCTTGGATCATGTTAAGATTATGTGATACTTGTAGTGAAGCTTTATATTTAGGACTATCAACATAAAATCAATGGTCAGTAAAGGAGGCGAGACATTTCAGCGTGTTATTTTGTGTGTACAGGTGAACCACAAATTTAGATGTTCAACCAATTACTGAATTTTAATTATGTGGCTTTTTATTGATTTTTGATAGGAACTGATCAGAGATCTACTGACAAATAGTGTATGGAGACATGACACTGAAAGAAATATTTCTCCAGCTTTAGACCTTGGACAGCAAGGATTATGTTGCCTGTTGCTGCATTGTATGATTCTGTTCAAAGGAATACCAGGAAAGCAAACATGGTTATCTCCCCTGATCAACATAGTCAACAATCCAGAACTCATGATGGTTAAGACAATGTTTTGTAAAATTTATATTTAAATTTACTGAACAATAATTAGAAAATCTTTAACAGATTTAATGAAATTCTGTGACTCATATCACAAATTTGTATAAGTCATAAGCTTTTCAGTTTGACTAAAAATTAATCATAAGATTTTTTACTATATCTACAAGCTATATATATGTTAAACTTTCATAGATGTTTTGAAAATTGGAAATAAGGTTTTTCAAGAACAAGAAATAGCCTTTGAAGAAAAAGCTTCAGTTATTTTAAATTTTTTCTGTATTTTAATGTTAAATAGATGTTTTTGGCAATTAACACTGCATGGGTTTTGCTCATTGTTGAAGACCATATGGTGACCTATAGTTGTTAACTTCTCTGTTATTTGGTCTCTGGTGGAAATTTTACTCATTGGCAATTAATTATACCACATCTTATTTTTTTTGCGGAGACCAGCAGTCACAGTCAAGACACATGGTTTCATGTAACCCTTTACAAAATTTTTACAAGCTTCTACAAGTATGTTGCAAATTATGTGTGAAAAGACAGTATACTGGGTCTTTTTGGCTTGGTAGAAATGTTGATTCAGTCTTTTATTGTAAACTAAATAAAAACCCTAAAAATGAAGACATTAGGTATGTGACAAATATCCACCAGAGTCAAAACGATGTGGATGTAAGCAACTGTAGATGTATAGCCTTGAATAATGTGCAAAAACTCCTTGTAGTCCGTTATAAAATGCCCTGACATGACAAAATTTTATTCAATTAAACAAAAAAGACCATGGCCTGATTAATTGCAAAACAACAAACAAAAATCAAATTACACAGACTGGACATATACTGCATTACAGTCTCCTGACTAGGGATAGGCACATATTCAATGTGGTGGGATTAAACTTATTTAGTGCTCAATCCTCTCCTACAGTTATGTAACAGCATAACATGGGAACAAAATTTCAAAATCAGTTGGAAATGGCTAAACTCATCAAAATGACTGGAAGCACAAAAAACAACTAACATAAAGAAGAAAGACACAGTACTTACTAATCTAAGAGTACTCGTCTAACCTATTACAGATCATTTTGGTGAGATGAATACATGGCTACGTATATTCTTTTAAAATTTGAAAAACAGCTTCAAAATATTTTTGTGAAGTACAAATTGGCATATATCATAAGGAGGCTAATGATACTGCATTGGTTTGAAGAGAAGCCATTGTTGCTACTGGGCAACTGAAACCAAGATCACATTTGATGAAAAAATCTTTGGGATATATTGAGCTGTTCTATGCAATATTTGTATAAAATACTTTCCTACAAATACAATTTCTGTTTTTTTTGTACATCCCTTTTATTTTCACTCAATTTTTTTCAGGAATCTTACTTTCCTACAATGCCTCAGGATGATTTGGATCTGATTACAGAAGCAATGTTGGCCTCTAGACCAGATGACGGCAGTGAAAATCCAGTGTTTCACAGTAATTACTATTGTTCTCACTCAAATAGTTTTTTTTGTCCCCTGTGTAATGCTTTGCGAGGGACATGGAAATACTGGACGGACGTCCGTGTGTCTGTCTGTCCAGTCTTGTTTGCGCTCTCACAGGTACAATTCTTGCCAGATTTTATAAAACTTCCGAAGACACATTGGTTTTCGCACTCTAACTTTAGTTTAAGTGAATGGATCTCTATGAAATTTTACCATAAGTTTCAATACCACAAAAGGAAGGTTGGGATTGATTTTGGGGGTTATGGTACCAACAGTTAAGGAATTAGGGGCCAAAAATAAGCATTTTTGTAACTTCCAGACATAACTTGTGTGTTAGTGTATGGATCGCTCTGACATTGTACCACAAGGTTCCATATCACACAGGGAATGCTGGGATTGATTTTGGGGGTAATTGCCTCAAAATATTAGGAATTAGGGGCCAAAAAAGGGGCAAAAAACAAGCATTTTTCTAGTTTCATGACAATAACTTGTGTGTAAGTGTATGGATCTTTCTGAAATTGTACTACAAGGTTCCATATCACAAAGGGAAAGCTGGAATTGAGTTTGGGGGTAATTGACCAAAACGTTTAGGAATAAGGGGCCAAAAATAAGCATTTTTCTAGTTTCCAGACAATAACTTGTGTTCAAGTGTATGGATCTCTCTGAAATTGTACTGCAAGGTACCATACCACAAAGGGAAGGCTGGGATTGAGTTTAGGGGTGATGAATCATAAGGGGGTTCAAAAAATTTGGGGGGGGATTTTTTTTTTTTTTCCTTTTTTTCTTTTTTTCCTTTTTTTTTTCTTTTAAAATTTTCCATTTTAAGTTGGTTATTTCTGTTTTATATTTAAAAGCAAATAATAATGATATGGTAGGAGATACACACCAAACAGGATGTGTAAATTATTATATAATAAGTATTGTGCAATAGCAAGAAATATTCAATTGCACAGTATTGCACAATAGCAAGAAATATTCAATTGCACAGTATTGCGCAATAGCAAGAAATCTTCAATTGCACAGTATTGTGCAATAGCAAGAAATATCCAATAGCACAATATTGCGCAATAGCAAGAAATTGTCAATTGTACAGTATTGCGCAATATCAAGAAATATTCAATTGCACAGTATTGTGCAAAAGAAGATACTTCGTATAAATTGCTTATTTCTTGACCAATTTCAATGGGGTTTTATTCTTGAATTCTTGGGGTTCTTTAATATGCTGATTCTAACCGTGTATTAAGTTTTTGGATTTTGGGCCCCGTTTTTAAATTGGTCCACATTGAGGTCCAAAGGGTCCAAAATTAATTTTTTTTTGATTTCATCAAAAATTGAATTATTGGGGTTCTTTGATATGCCGAATCTAACCGTGTATTTAGATTCTTAATTTTTGGTTCCGTTTTCAAATTGGTGTACATTAAGGTCCAAAGGGTCCAAAATTAAACTTAGGTTGATTTTAACAAAAATTGAATTCTTAGGGTTCTTTGATATGCTGAATCTAAACATGTATTTAGATTTTTGATTATGGGCCCAGTTTTCAAGTTGGTCCAAATCGGGGTCCAAAATTAAACTTTGTTTGATTTCAACAAAAATTGAATATATGGGGTTCTTTGATATGCTGAATCTAACCATGTATTTAGATTTTTGATTTTTGGGCCCCATTATCAACTTTGTCCACATTGAGGTCAAAAGGGTCCAAAATTAAACTTTGTTTGATTTCATCAAAAATTGAATTCTTGGGGTTCTTTGATATGCTGAATCTAACCATGTATTTAGATTTTGGATATTGGACCATAATAGGTGAATGTCTAATTTAAAATTTTTAAGTTCTTAGACCACATTCATTCTGTGTCAGAAACCTATGCTGTGTCAAATATTTGATCACAATCCAAATTCAGAGCTGTATCAAGCTTGAATGTTGTGTCCATACTTGCCCCAACTGTTCAGGGTTCGACCTCTGCGGTCGTATCAAGCTGCGCCCTGCAGAGCATTTTATTAGCTCACTGGGGCCCTTCGGGGCCGCATGTGAGCTTATGCCATCACTTTGCGTCTGTCGTCGTAAACTATTTCAAGAATCTTCTCCTCTGAAACTACTGGGCCAAATACCTTCAAACTATAAAAGAATGTTCCTTAGGGTATCTAGTTTATAAATTGTATCCAAAGTTATGATCCATCAACAAACATGGCCGCCATGGCTAGAAATAGAACATGAGGGTCAAATGCAGTTTTTGGCTTATATCTCAAACACTAAAGCATTTAGAGCAAGTTTGACATGGGGGTAAAAATGTTTAATAGGTCATGATCAATATCTATCAGCCCGGAAATTTTTATACAAATCAGACAACCTATTGTTGGGTTGTGCCACTAAATTGGTAATTTTAAGGAAATTTTACAGTTTTTGGTTAATATCTTGAATACTATTGAAGATAAAGATAAATTTTAAACAGCAAAAATGTTCATCAAAGTAAGATCTTCAAAAAAGTGAAGATGACTAAAATTGTCAATTGACCCCTTAAGGAGTTATTGCCCTTTAAAGACAATTTTATACTATTTGTTCATCATATTTGCTAACATTTAAAAAATTTCTCCTTTGAAACTACTGGGCCTAATACTTTTAAATTTTAACTGTTCCTTAGTGTAACTGGTTTATAAATTGTATCCGAAGTTTTGATCCATTAACAAACATGGCCACCATGGCTAAAAATAGAACATAGGGGTCAAATGCAGTTTTTGGCTTTTATCTCAAAAACTATAGCAGTTCGAGCAAAAGTGACATTAGTTAAAGTGATGAATAAGTCAAAATCTATCTGCTATGAAATTTTCAGACCAATTTGACCACCCATTGTTGGGTTACTGTTGGAAATAGTTTATTTTTATTAAATTTTACTGTTTTTGGTTATTTTCTTTAATATTATAATAGATAGAAAGAAAGTATAAATGGCAAAAATGTTCAGCTAAGTAAGATCTACAAATAAGTCAAATGATCAAAATAGTCAATTGACTCCTTAGGATTTATTACTCTTGAAACATTTATTTTTTACATTTTTTCATGCAAGTTAATTACTTTTTCAAAAATCTTCTTCTCTGAAACTACAGAGCCAAATACTTCCAAACATTAACTAATGTTCCTTAGGGTATCTTGTTTATAAATTGTATCTGTTGTTTTGATCCATGAACAAAAATGGCCGCCATGGCTAAAAATAGAACATAAGGGACAAAAGCAGTTTTTGGCTTATATCTCAAAAACTAAAGCAGTTAGAGCAAAAGTGAAGGGGAGTTAAAGTGATAAATGGGTCATGATCTATCTGTTAAGAAATTTTCAGACAAATTTGACAACCCATTGTTGGGTTACTGTTGGAAATAGTTTATTATTATTGAATTTAACTGTTTTTGTTTATTTTGTTTAATATTATAATAGACAGAGAGAAAGTATAAATGGCAATAAATGTTCAGCTAAGTAAGATCTACAAATAAGTTAACATGATCAAAATAGTCAATTGACCCCTTGAGGAGTTGGCTTTCATCTCAAAAACTATAGCAGTAAGAGCAAAACTGACATAGGTGAAAGTGTTAAACAGGTTTAGATCTACCTGTCAAGTAATCTTCAGACCAATAGGACAACTTATTGTTGGGTTACTGTCCAGAAATAATTAGTTTTTAGGAGATTTTACAGTTTTGGGTTATGTATTATCTTTAATATTATTATAGAAAGAGAGAAAGTGTAAATGACAAAATTGTTCTGCAAAGTAAGATCTACAAATAAATAAGTCAAATGCCTGCAACTGAAATTAAAGGTGAGTGATATCAGGCTCTCATGAGCCTCTTGTTTTAAAAGAGTTGTGCCCCTTGGAAATATTAAATTTAGAGAAAATGGCCTTGTTAGCGCAACAAAAAAAAAAGGGTCTTATTTAATTATTGCCCTTGTACCTTGCATAGATCAAATATGTGCAACACAATGGGGGACATTGGAACTCTGTTCTTTTATTACATTTTATTTTATTTAGATTTAGAACTTTTCTATTCAGATCCTATTTCTTTACCTTGAAGAAGCTTAAGCTTTGTAAAATATGCATTTTTAATCCAAAAATTATTCAGTTTTTCCAATTTATATTGAAAATTAATATTGGGAGTAATATATGGGCCTAATATGGTTAATTTGAAAATATAACAACAAAATTGAAAAACTATTTCATAAAATCACCAATTTTGTGTTGCAGGGGAAATAACTTCAGAAGAATGTCTGATTTAGGACTAAAGTCTTGTACATATGTAATAACATTTTATTAAACCTATCATTCAGAAGGAAAATTGATAGATTCAATTGGGATATAAGTTTGCTGGGTTGTAAATAAATACATATTTTTTCAGGATGTCCAAATGGTCATCTGTATGTTATTGGTGATGTAAGTATATATACTTATCAATCTTCGGGATATATAGATTCTACCATGCCATCCATTGATCACAATATTTATTAAGATAGTTAAATTTTCAAACTTTATAATGCAAGGTTTACCAAGAATTTTAGAATAAGGAAATTTAACTATCTATTGTGGATAAATATTTTAATCAAAGTGGTAGAATCTGTTTCTTTAATTATATATATATAATGATTTAATAGAAATTACAGAACCAATGTTCAGATTAAATATGGCCGAAAATTGTACAAGACAAATTTAATCAACTTGTGGTTTCACAAAATTAATCAAACGGATCAGTACCGGTTTAAATGCATAAGTATGAAGTCTTTTTACTAGTCAGTTTTGTATAGATCATTTTTATTTTATAATTGCTGGTTAACAGCACAATATTTTGTAAGTTTATTGGAAGATCCATCTTCTACAAGTCAGTTAACTGCTACTGCACAGCACATCTTAAGTCTACTATATTTCCCTTGTATTTTATTTTATTTTCTAGTTGTTTTTTTGGTTTTTATTATACCCCCGCTTTAAAAAAGTGGGGGTATACTGTTTTACCTATGTCTGTATGTCCATCCATCAGTCCGTCCGTTTGTCCCATGAATATTTTTCGTCACATCTTTCTCAGGAACTACATTACAAGGATTTCTGAAATTTGGTTTCAGGGTTTATATGAGTCAGCTATACTGTGTGATTCGTTTTCAGATTCATCGCTCAACAACTTCCTGTTTATCTTATACTTTTAGCGGGCGGGGGTATCATTAGTGAGCAATAACTCACAGATTCACTTGTTTTATTAACTTTAGAAAGGCGATGAAGGATTTGCTGTTCATTATTTTGTCATTAAAATTGATGACTTCTCCTTGTATAACAATTTGATAAGAAGTTTTTATTTGTAGTGTGGAAGGCCAACAGTTATAGCCAGATGTAAAGCACAGAACTGTGGACTTGAAATTGGAGGACAAGCACATGTGCTCATAGCTGGAAATATCAAGGATCAAGGGTATTTTAAATTGATTGAACATATTTCTTTCTTCCTAAGAAAAAATCATCAATATAAAATATGTGTTTATGAGATAATAAACAAAAGTAAAATTGTTAATTGAACAATTAGAAATAAATGTAACAGATTTGAGATAGCCCTTGCATGTAACCAAAAAGTATAAATTTCATGGTCCCACATTTGACGTTACACTTGATGACAGGAAAACGACAACCGTCTTGCTTTCGTTATCTATAGATTCTATATTTTGCATTATAAAGTTTTGAAAAAACCTTTTCTGGCCTACATCAGTTGGAAAACACAAAATAACGTGAATTAACCATGAGTAAATGGTCAGTTTTATTTTGTCTTTGTTTCTGGTAATTGGCAGATTACGTGGATTTGGTATTAATTTCGGTTAAATGTGTTTCTTTTGTTAAATTCCCTGTTATAGAATCTAATCATGTGGATAATCCTTTCTAAAGGGTATACAAAAATGTGTTAATTTTTATTTAATCAACCTCAAAAATGAATATTTAACCAATTACATAACTATATTTTCCATTTGGTGCATGACAAATTAAATTGTCCACAATACTGTAGATTCTAGATTACACGGTCATGACTTCTCTCTGTGTCCACACATATACTGAAGTAAATATATTTTGTGCAGAGTTGACACTACAGATACTGGACACATATTAGGAAGGGCCAACTATAGAAATGTAGTCCCATTTCCTGAAAGAAGTCTCAAACCTGCAAATTGTGCAATTATGAAGTTACTGTTGCACATGGCAATGTATATTGGTGCAAATAACAATGCACAGGTAAGTTAAAATAAACAAATAATGATGAAAAAGTAAAATCAAATTCATTTAATATTTTTCAGAGCCCCTTGAAAAACAAGCAAGATGTAAAATCTCTAGTCCTTCTTTGAATGAAAATCTTAAATTTTTTGTCATACACTTTTCACCATTATTTTATACACCTGTCGAACACAATTTATGGTATACCAATGTCCGGCCATCAACACTTTGTACAATACCTCAATTTTGCTTTCACCAATTCTCATGTTGATTATATGAGGATTGACAAAAGAAAGCTCCCATTTGATTTTAATAATTTTTGGCCTTATCGTTCCAGAGTTTAGGTTTTTGATAAGTTAGAGTGTTATAAGGTTTGATGAATGTAGACTCACTTTTGATTTTGGAAATTTTCTTATTTGTCATTCCAGAGTTGTGGGACTTTTTAAAAGTCGGATTTGTTGCAATATTTATATGCCTAAGGTATTCTCCTGCATGTTTTTCTACAGGGCCATTTTATTTGCTTCTGATTAAATGCCTTCTAAATATTCCATTTTATTCTTGCAACAATTTCAATATTCACAAAAAAAGTGTATCAAACGCTTTTATCAGCTGTTTATTTATGACTATATATTTAACGTAGTGAAATTTTTTAGTAAAAATTTGCTGCTACTACATGTACATTAAAGAATACTCAAACTAAAAAAAATATTATGAATTCTTTTTACAGGCCATCTGCAGATCCATCAAGCCAGATATAGAGCAGAATGATGTACCTTCATATCTACTAAGTCATATACAGAAAGATCTGAGATCAATATCTACAGTTCTTGGGAGGAGTGTAGAAAATGTGTTGGTTCTGATACATTTTTTATTAGCAGAAATTATGAACAATCACACCCAAGCTAGAATTGGTAATATTCTACATTAATGGAATTGATAAGTTATAGAGTTGCAGAAGGGTAGTAGAATTATTTAAGGATGTGTGGAAATCAAGAGTTCTCAGGGATTACTGGACTGAATTTGCCACTATGTTTATAATGTAGGACAGAAAGTCACAGGACAAATAGTTAAAGGCAAAAAGTCACAGGACAGGGGAGAGTTGGGCACCCACAAGCGGGCGCATTACATTTGTGCCAATTTTTACAAAATCCAATCTTTCATTTGCACCACAAGGTTATATTTCATTTGCGCCAAAAATAAGAACTACATTTGCGCCATTTTACAGGTAACATATAACTGAAAAGTTTAAATATTCATTACTATATCGTGAATAAGAATAATTTTTTAGAGTATTCCCCCCACCCCCTGGGTTACAAAGTGAGTTCATATACTCATTTCTAATATATAAAAAAAATTAGAGTCCCTTAGATTTAAAATTATATGACTGATTTTCATACATGTGATGGTCTGTAAAACTCAGATCAGGAGATTGGGAAATTTTTGTCAGGAGTTTAGACCTCAGATCAGGAGGTTTTTTTATCGACATAAAGTTTGTCGTAAAAGTAACCGTCTGATGTAAAAATTGTCTTTTAAAGTGTTTTTTTCTTCAATCTTCCATCTGAATGTAATTTGTTTCAAGCTATTTGCTTATTGCTTTGTTTTTGTTTGTTGATTGTTGACTGCCCGTAAATAAAGTACATTTTTTGTACTATGTTTGCCTTTTCTTTGAGTACTAAGAGAAAATTAAAGTATATTGTTTTATTCATGCCACTCATCTTTTTTTATTAGTATTCAATGTCATTTGCAAATAAATAAAAGAAAGAAATATGCTATACATTTATAACATGATAAATTGATGATAGTTTTTAAGCATTAAAAAGTAATTTTGCTCAAACACTGTAAAATATATTAGCTATTAAAAGAAGTCTATTTTACATTGACAAATGTTATTTGATAACTGATGCACTAGTCTTGGAACTCTGGGTCATGTAATAAGTACAAGCAGACTTGGCTGCCTTTAATACAATTGACTCTATATTAAAGTAATTCTGATCCTGGTAACAGTTTGTGTAATTGTTAAATCTCATCACTGAGAAGGCTGTAAATTGTATTTGAGTCAATGAATCTGCTGTGAGTTTGGATTTTCTTGAGAATGCTGAGGGTCCTTTAATGTCTGCATTGGAGTGTGAAATAGCTAGTTTATCTTTGCTGATCGAGTTGAAAGTTTATTTAATGTTTTTTCGGCATCAAAACCTTCTGATCGATGTTTTGTCTTTTGAAAACAACATTCCACTTTTCTGTCATTGCCGGTATTTACTTTTAATCATCCTTGTCGTGTGCCATAAACAGAAGACAGATCGAGTAATTGACACCCTATCACCTGTTTATTGTTTAATCAACCTATTATCAATTGTTAATTAGCCATCGACCAGGTCAAATCTACACATGTTGCGTAATCAAGTAATGTCAGTTACACAGGATATGTTTGATACACTCGGGTTTTTACGTCTTCAATGATAAACATTTGTAAACATCGGAGTAAAAAATGGCGCTTGCAAATTTTCATTCATGAATTTTTTTATACACAGGATTTTTTCTCTTCAACGGGAGGACGGGAGGAGACCCTTGAAAACGGGATTATTGTACTCCCGTCAGGAGGTTCACTTGTATGGATTTTTTATGAATATGTTTTTTTTATGCAATCAAAAGTTATTATTAAAAGTCTCTTTTGAATAAAACTATTTTTAATTCTATTTACTTGTATTTACCTGTATTATTGGCGCAAAAGCAAAGCACCACCACAAGCATGTTCAACCCTGCCACATTCTGTATGTGCCTATCCCAAGTCATGTGCCTGTAGTTCAGTGATAGTTGTTTGTTGTTATAATCATATTTGTTTTTCTTTCATTGTTTTGTACTTAAATCAGGCTGTTAGTTTTCTCATTTAAATTGTTTACATTTGTCATTTCGAGGCCTTTTATAGCTTGCTACAGTGACCTACTGTTGCTAACTTCTTTATGCCTTTGGTCTGGTGGAAAGTTGTCTCAATGGCAATCATACCATATCTTCTTATTTTTATACGGGACCAAAAAAATAGACTTATTTTTTATAAATCATTTTGAATTTTTCTTGATTGATTATACATTAAATAAATTTGTCAACAACAAAATTTATTGCAAAGAATTTAATATTTGATCAAATTATTGTTAAGAAATCAAGCTGTCAAAAGTCATTATAGTGCTGGCTTCATGGTGTCTAGAAATATATTCTTTGTATGATTAAAGTTTGATAATTATTCATTTGATAATGCGAATGAGCAATTTCCTACACTGTACAATGATTTTTTTTTTAATAAAAAGATATTATTTCAAGAACTTTTTTCTTTCATATTTAAACAATAGTAAATTAATTAACATTGACTTTTTGTCCCTCCTGTCTTGCTACTATCTGTTTACCTTTGTTTCCAAGCATTCACACAATCTCAGTAAATGTGGTTCTATTTCGAGAGCTGTTTTCTTGTGAAATTAGAAACTAAAAAGGTTCAATTGAATGATACATATTTCAGAGCATCACAAGAGTTAGTATATATAGCTCTTTTACACAAATATAGAATTAACAAATTTGCAGGAATTTGGTAAAAACATGAAGCATTTTACTGTTGATATTTCTAAATTTTTTGATGCACATTATGCATGTATTGACCTAGAAGTGAGATAACAACTCCTACACAACAATTGCTTATGAAACTATTGAGGATATTGTTTTTAAATGAATCTAGAAAACTTTGAAATGTTATTTTTAGGTGAGAGAGCAGAAGATGGCATTTGTTTACTGAAGGATAAACGATCAAGAGAAACCTGGGAAGACAACTTTAATAAAAGATATATTGCACCTATTCTTGAGGTGAGAGCTTATTTTCTAGTTGTATCAACTCTCTTTATTAGGGCCCCGCCGAATGGCAGGTCACGCTATATTGATCAGTCTGTCCGTCTGTCCATCCCTCCGTAACAAATTGTGTCTGCTCTATATATCTAGAGAACCTTTACGATTTCATACTTTATACTTGACATGTATGTTAACCAACACCAGAGGGTGTGTCATAATGTTTGTACAACTTCCTAGGTCAAAGGTCAAGGTCAAAAACTTTGGTTTTCAGTTGACAACCCCATGTCTTATGGTAAAGATCGTGTCTGCTCTATATCTTGAGAACCTTTATGATTTCAAAGTTTATACTTGACATGTATATTAACCAACAACAGAGGGTGTGTCATAATGTAAGTACAACTTCCTAGGTCAAAGGTCAAGGTCAAAAACTTTGGTTATTAGTTGACAACCCAATGTCCTATGGTAAAGATCGTGTTCACTCTATATCTAGAGAACCGTTATGATTTCAAAGTTTATACTTGACATGTATTATTAACCAACACCAGAGGGTGTGTCATTATGTATGTACAACTTCCTAGGTCAAAGGCCAATGTCAAAAACTTTGGTTTCAGATGACAACCCCATGTCCTATAGTAAAGATATAAATTTTTTTACCACACGTTATTCACAGTGGGGCCCACAGAGATGGCTCCCATCTCAATTATGTCTTAGTTTATGGTCAATTACTCATCAACAATAAACCTATAAACAGCATCCCAGTATTGTTAATTTATAATCTTTTAAGCAGTGTGGTCATACCAGGTGAAAGTCTATTCATTTCAACTGAGTCAACTTTACAGGATCATTCATGAAGGATTGAGCCTTGAAAAATTCTGTTTTTATATCATTGGGGTTTTTGAGGAGAGATAATATATTTATGTTATCCTCCTTAAAACTAGTATAGTAACTTCAAAAGAGCATTGTTCCTACAAGATAGTTCATACATCGCCATCAAGTGTAAGAAATATAAGTATTTTTTTCAATCGGAAGGTGATGAAGATGTTAAAACAAATCACATAGTAAAGCAAGCTAGGCATCAGATTTCGAGAAGCTCTCATTTGTAATTCCTGAGACAAATGCGATAAAACTTTCATGGGACATACAGACAGAGATTAACAAATTTACTCCCCCCTCCTTTAATTGTAGCTGGGGTATAATGAAAAAAAAACAGGTTATGTGGTGTCAGTACAAAAGGCAAGTTAATGGCGATTTGGATACAAACAAGAGCCTCATAAAGAGCCTGAAACTTATTTAGTGGCATTTTTGTAATTCTTGTATTGATGATCATTTTTACTGTGTACAGTTTATGACTATCTATTAATTGAAGTTTTTGAGATAAAAACACAAAACAAAACAGGAAGATGACGAACAAAGTATATTGCTTAGTAAAGCTGCTAAAATGAAGATTTTATAATACCTACATTTCAGGAGTCTCTGATTTGTAGATATTAGAAAAATGTGAATGAAAATTTCATATCATCTTCCTAATTACCATATATATAGTGGAGTATCATTAGTGATCAATTGCTTGACATAGCTCTTGTTTTAATATTTTTCAGAAAAGTGAAGAAATATTGATCACTGTTAATAACAAAATCGTCAACGATAAAAGATTAGGTAAGTTTTTTCTGGCAGATTTAATATTGAATCATTTTATTTGTTGATTTGTCGAGACGCACTCATGCAAATTTCAAATGCACAAATTCATTGCATTGAATTTCAATTCATTATTATAACTTAAAAGGGATAGTATAAATGCAGGATTGAATCTGAGTTTTTTACTATGCATTTTTTTTTTTACTTAATCTTTGAAATCAAAAATCAATATTCAATATGCTATTTTGGATTCTTTCACATCTATCCTACAACAATCTTTTTTGCACTGCAGCATCAGGCATTTCTCTTGTTAATTTAAAATTTCAGAAATGTCTAGGATATCCAGTAATGGCGAACACATAGTGATAAGGTATGCTCAATACACTTTATTAATATAAAATTTATTCAGTTTTAATTTGATCTGCATCTTTAACATATACTAAACTTTATATTTAATAGGATCTGATCCTTTGCTACAACTGTTATATGAAACTGATAAACCAGCAGAAGTTTTAGGATCTGATTATTTATCAGAAAATCCTTCCGTATGGCAGTTCAGAGATCGTATATCAGTTGATCATTTAATGCAGACATTTACAAAGTCTCAACAAAACTGTCCAGTCCTACAGCAGTTCTTAGATGAGGCAAGTATTTAATTCCTCTCTGCCTTAAGTTTCTGCAAATTAAAAAATTATTGCCTTCATTTATCATTGCGATTTTGAAGAATGAACAAAAATGCGAGATTAGTTTTTGCGATTTCAGTAAAATCTGCATACAGATTTATGTATCAGATATCATAATGCGAGTTCTTATTATTGCTATACTCACCCAGTTGCAATATTCTCTAGAAAGAAAAACCTCGCAATAATTTATGAATTTACAGTTATCAAAAATTAATTATACCCCCACTTTAAAAAAGTGGGGGTATACTGTTTAACCTCTGTCTGTCCGTCCGTTCATCCATCAGTATCAGTCCGTTCGTCCATCAGTCCATCAGTCTGTCCATCCATCCCATGAATATTTTTCCTTGCATTTTTCTCAGGAACTACATTACAAGGATTTCTGAAATTTGGTTTCAGGGTTTATATGAGTCAGCTATACCGTGTGATGCGTTTTCAGATTCATCACTCAACAACTTCCTGTTTACCTTATACTTTTAGCGGGCGGGGGTATCATTAGTGAGCAGTAGCTCACAGATTCACTAGTTTCTTTGTTTTGTTTATGACTGATGTAAACATGAAAATAGTTTCAAATACAGAAATTGGATAAAAAAAATCCAGAAAGAAGGGACAAATCAAACTTTAGTTACATACTCATCATTTATTTTCATTGAAACCAATTTTTGAGGAATAAAAGGAAAATTGTAACTCTGCATTGAAGCCTATATGAAATTTGTGTTTTGTTGATGTGAGTTCAGTTTTTGATTAAATTCATGGAAAATTAGTATCCCACGTTTGATATTGAATTTTCAGTATTTTAAGGCAGAACAAAATAATTTTTTTGGTTTAAAAGTCCAATTATTATTAGGTAAAAAAGTATTTTCAAAAACTAAGATCAGCCTTGTTAAGCACAGACAGTATATGGAATCTACAATTTTCAAGATGTTGTTTGTATCATGTCGTCGTAATTTCATCAGAAAGGTGAGCCTTTAAAAAAAATCAAAATTGGAAACATGCCTGCATGCCATTCCAATCAAGTGCCCATTATATTTATATATGTACAGTAACTTATTTCTTTTTTCAGGAACACTTCCTAAGAGCTTTAAGATTTGTACCTGGTATAATTAGACTACAGAAAATGTTGATACAGAAATACAGCAGGCGACTAGATAGAACAGAGGCATTAGGACTTACAATGGATAAAGTTCTCATGGAGTTTCAAGGTATAAAATGCTTTTAGTGGATTTTTTTATTTTGAAGAGGAGATGACTGGATAGGACTTATTTTTTTTTAGAAATGGCGGTTACAGGGACATTACAATTAACATTATTAAGGAATATGAAATAGGACATATTTTCAATAATTCAGAACTGGGGAAAAATGTATAGTTGATAAATAACCAGACATAAGCTTGAAAATTTACAATAAATAAAGCAAACATAGAACATCTGAAAGGTGTTATTTAAAAGATTTATAATACTTTATGATATTCGCATTTAAGGAGCCAAAAGATATGACCTTATAATTACTTGTCCTTTCTTTGGTTCTACACAGATTTTTACACATTTGCAAAGTAAAGTTAATAGTTCTTGATATAACTATTTTTGTCTTAGACTACACCTATTTGACAACCATTTTGATTATGATCTGCATACCTTAAAACATTTGTAATGGTACTAAGTATGAGTTAAACTTTTCCACATCATTTCATGATTTCATTTTAGTTTGTATTGCCAAGCGTTTAGTTTTTGTTGCAAAAAAAAAGTTGATTAAAAGACATCTAGAGGTCAAAATATCTTTAACTTTTGACAACATGGGGGAAATTCGCCTAATTGCGGACACTTTTTCAAATCCGGAAGTTTGGATACTGTCGAGGCCAATTGCGGACATACTGGTGGTTGCATTTGACAGGAGAGGATAGAGGGGTATCAAATGGACTATTTCCCGCGTTTTCAGGTCTCCTCTCTTGATTGGTAGATTGCAAACTCTTCAAACCCGCGGAAATGCCGAATCGCGTAAATGCGGACAGGGGGAGTTAAAATACGGACACCTTGTTGTCAAATTGCGGACACTTATTTTTAAACAGCACTTGCTATTCAAAACGCAGGTATTATGCATATATAACATTAGCTCTCAGGAATACCCTTTCAGTGTATCTTAAAGCATGTTTGAGAATGGTTTTCTAGCATGAACTGGTAATACATGTGGAAAGGTAAGAAAAATAAGATTAAAAAAGTTCATTAAATATCTTATACCACACTTTTATTATATGATATAAGATGCAGAAACTTTTTTGTACTGACAACTTCCATCGTTATATTGTCTTCCAAGATGCATGCATGCATATATAGGAGATATAGTTGTGATAACTTTCAATTTCAAATAGTATGGCATTCATTGCAATGTGTTTTAATGTCCTAATCACTTAAAAATCCGTAGCCCTCACTCAAGAGCATAAGATTTTTTTTTGCACTTTCCGATACTTATATATAAGATAATTTTATTTATTCTAGGGTTTCTATGTACTCTTTGACAAACATGATTTTTTTGCGGCCCATCCAACACCATGAACATCTGAAAACAGTTTATGGAATGGGTAAAAAGGCTTAATTTTTTAAGAATTGGGAAATCAAAAATGGGAAAACGCAAGGTGTGAGGGAACATGCAAATTTTGTAAATTGGAATGTTCAAAAATGGGAAAACGCAAAGTGTGACGGAACATGCAAATTTTGTAAATTGGAATGTTAAAAAAAAAATAAGAATATGGAAAAATGGACACCAAAAATTTTAGGGAATTATGGAAAAGTCAGTATTATGTTTAGTTTTATATGTATTGTCTATCATTTGTTGTTACTAATGTATTGGTCTTTTGTTGGGCAATGTATGACAAATATATGTTGAAAAACCTAGCCTGTAATTATAAATTATGTAATTCATTGACCGCTGCCGACATGTGTAACTTCAAAGCATATTTTAGCGGCGATCGACAAGCATCGCACAAGTTGGCACTCCGAAGCGTGTAGGGAGCAAGAAGGTGAACTTTGGTTTATTTTTATCAATAGTACCGCTTAAGTCGACGCTAGGGGCCGTCTTGACCTTGTAGGATATGAGTGATTCGTTCATTGTTAAAGACCCTACATCAACTGTCAAGATGAAGAACAGGAATAAAAGCCCTGTTCAGTGATATTTTTTTTATTTTTTTCTATGCATTGTGTGCGATTTTGTCCCATGTACATTTACTCCATATCCTTTTATTTTCTCTTATGAATACTGACCCCTGTCACTCCTCAATGAATGGTCTTGCTGGCCTAAGTCATGCAATATCTCGAAATGAAAAGTTAAAAAAAAATGAAAGGGAGCTTCCCCTAATGTTACTAAATGTTGTGCTAAAATTTCTTTTAAAATCTGTCGGAGTGAATCTAAGTTATCCTACGACATAGAAAGTGTAGACGGACGGATGAATAGACGGGCAGAGAGATTACTATAATAGGGCACGCCAAAAGTCGACAGCTCGGCCATAATAAAGACGTAGTGCTGGAGATTGTGGTCACGCATGATGATACGCTATTGGCGTTCGTTGCATTTTGTCACATATAAGTATACTTTTTTCTATATAATGCCCGTTCTCTGACCAATAATGGCATTGGATTTTATCCGACTGGCGAAAGGATACCAGCGTGTGCAGAACATGCCTCGTGTTGAAGACCGTACTTTGACCTATAATGGTTTACTTTTATAAATTTTGACTTAGATGGAGAGTTGTCTCATTGCAATCTAATTAAAATATAGAACTCGGATTTCGTTATACTGCATACGAGATCTAACAACTACCCATATAAGGTTTCACTTCTGAAGGATTTTGCATGTGACTTTTTCAACCAATCAGAATTCTAGTTATCGAATCTGAACAGCGCACGCGGAACATATACTTGAACGAGGTTCATTGAAAGGTCCCGAGGGTATCCAAAAATAAAAACAATGGGACTTAAAATTCATCGCTTCGATTGTTAATCGTTTGGAAATAGTTTTTAAATCTCTTTCATCCGTCATATTGTAACTATAGCCATGAATATTTGAAATATGTGACGTTTGTCATAGTTTTCAGATGTGCCTCATATGCTTTTTGACTTGAGGTCGGATCGTAATCGTGGAAATTAAAGAGTACAGGAAACACTTTTAAACTGTACACTATAGCAGTATGCAGTATAACGAAATCCGAGTTCTATATTTTAATTAGATTGGTCTCATTGGCACTCATACCACATCTTCTTATATCTATATACCTAGTTCTGTGCCTTAGATGAAATGTCTAAACCACAACAGGTTAACGATAAGTGCAAAGGATGATTAATTACTATAACATTCATTCGTCAATGCAGTTAAAGAAGAAAAAAACGTGAGGCATACGTCGTTCACATGAGAAAATTATCGAACTAAATATGGAAGATGCAGGTGATACAGTTTCACCCCAGGAGAATGATGAGGACGAGGAAGAGCTTATTAAAAACATTTTAGTTATTAAATAGTTTACATTTGAATTTTTATATGATTACAAAGATTTTAGTTTATGATTATTTGATAACTAAAGAAAATAAGTCTTTGATTACCAAAGCAAATATTTAATGATTATGTGATTATGTTGGCAAATATTTGGTGATTATGCTATTACTGGTACCTCCCCACGAGGGGCCTTGTTTGTTTTTCGATTTGTCACAGACGGATGGACAAACAGACAGACAGACGACTGGATGCACATGGTCGTTGCTGTTCGACGCTCACAAAAGTCTAAATAGGTCTTTAAAACCAACGTATTGGTTACATTATTTCTATCATGTTTTGAAAAGTTTTATAAAAACATTTCTTTCAAAATAATATTCGTGATATCAATAAGTTCATCTGCCTCTTCCGCAGTAATCATGTCCAACTCTTTACCTCTTCTACTTGATTTTCTAGCAATAAACACAATGCTGCTGAATTCATTTTTCTTATCACTTTCAATAATTTTGCATAGTAGTGTTTATACATATTCATGTTTTGATAAACGTATTAATTTCATAAATAAAAAGCCAATAACATCATTGTCAAATAGCCACTCGTCTACGAGACATTGTTGCAATTTCATTCGGGTGATTGTTTTCTGTAGAGGGGTGTATCTGCACGGAAGAACGCGAAACAAAATTGCCATTTCACTATGAACAAACAATTAAAAATTTCTTGCACGTTGATCTTTTTACCGATTTCATGAAACACGGTGAATAACGAACCTTTTTCACGGCTGCACGTGAAATCAAAATGGCAAAACACGTTGCACGAAAATAACCCATTACCACCCTCTGTAAAGAACGAGAAATAGATTGGCTTGCCATCCCGGGGATGACGTTTTCGGTTTTTGACCTATTGAAGATGTGTCAAGTTGCCAACTGGGGTGGAAATCAGACTTGTAAACGCATTATGTTCGTAATATGCAAAACAAATAAACCAAAATCATCACTTTATTGATATAAATGTATCGGATTGAAACTAATAATGCTAGATTATAAGAGAGTTTTGTTTATTTCCGTCATCATGGTATTGACATATGCACCACTGCACGTGTTAGTTGTTCAAAATATTTTGTGTCCGCATTTCGGCTATCATATTATATTTCGGTGGTGAAAATGCGGACATTTGCTTATTCCTATTTTGTAATCAAAATTTAGACAAATCAGTAAAAATAATTAAAAGAAATGTTTCCTTGCATAAAATACGCAATGCCTATTGCTTTTCAACACATAAATTGCCATTCTTACATGAACAACTGTGTATTGAATGTGACACGCTGTCTTTGGACCTTTTTCAAAATTTCCCGGTTTTTCAAACTTGTTGACATAAGCTATTTATAGCATGCAATTTCAATCACATGACACAAATGTAAATCGAAAGCAATAGACATGATAACCTTATTGCAACAAAATAGAGATTCAATAGTAAACAAAACACCTTATTTCTTATATCTATTTTATTTCAATTTTTCATAATTTTATTGAAAAGTGAGATATTCGTTTTCCGTCCGCATATCGGCGCTGTCCGCAATTAGGCGATTTTCCCCTACTATATATTTATACACTTTAGCGCTAAGCTGCTTTAAAGTATAGCTTTGTTACATGTAGAAAAAATATGCATTTCCTGCATCACTTTGAGTCAATGTAAAAACTTTTATTTTTCTATCTTTCTCTCTTTATATTATCATAATTATATAGATACCAGATCATCTGAAATTATGTCTTGTTGGAATGATTTCAAACAAGCTTGGGAGAATGTCCAACAGTCTTTGGAAGGATATGGTATGTACACATTAAAATGTATAATACTTATTTTAAACTATTTAGTATAAAAAATGGTATAAAGTGTACTTTTCGATGAGACAGTAACCCAACAACATTAAAAGAAAAGATATCTACAGATCAGATACACTTGAGGTCAAATGCTTGGTAACCAACTAGATGTGCACAAAAAACATAAGTGCATTAAAATTAGGTTTAAACGGAACAGAAGTATACATGCCTGAAGGAGAGGTTAGAGGTTAATGATATATAATCAAACTAAAATGTAGTAAATAAATTGTTTTTGGAAAAAAAGATCTCATACATGCCAACTTTTCAAAATCTCCATGGGTGATTTTAAGAGCAAGAGGACGCTCCTCTATATATTGTCATAAATGATTTTAATCTGCTTCTATATTGTTTGTATGAGTATGTATGTGCTTAAATACCATTTTAACTAATTTGAATGCCTGTTTTGAGGTGTTTAGTTTATACAATAAAGAATTCCAAAATTCCAAAATTCAGGTCAATATCTCTCAAGGGGGAAATCCTCCTTAAATCATGAAGGTTGGCAGATCTGGTGACTTTTTTTAAATGAGTAATTTAAGATGCTTCCATAATGAACTTTCATTTGTTTTGGCCTATTCAGAATAGTTACATTAACGTTATATGGTCAGATAAGTAAATGGATTTATAACTGAATTTTGTTCATCTTCAGGATTTCCTGTAAACGGTAACTTTGTTTACCTGTCTAAAGAGAATTGTCGTAGAAGAATGGAGGAGAGAACACAGATAGCTTATGTTTTACCATCTGAGAGAGACACTGGACTATGTTCATATGCCCTGCTGTTCTTTTTACTGGAGAAGCAGAACTTGTTCTTACAGAAATACTGTCAACATAGTAAAACTAAGTACGACAAATTAAAATTATTATTGTACAGATTTTTATTCAGATACTTGAGGTGAATAATTGGGGGATGGGGTTTCCATCACTGTTCATAAAAAAATCTATTCAGAGAATAAATCCTCAACACTCTGAGGAACTAATTAAGAACTTTAACACCCAGATGCAAATTGAATAACTGCGAAAATTCAATAAGCAGTTGTTTGCAACTTGGTATTTGAAGTTCATAAAACTTTTCACATAAAACAAAATAAACAAGTATTTATTTTTTAGCTCACCTGGCCCATTGGGTCCAAGTGAGCTTTTCTCATGACTTGGCGTCTGTCGGCGTCGTCTGTCGTCCACCGTCTTCTCCTCTGAAACTACTGGGTCAAATATAACCAAACTTCGCCACAATCATCATTGGGGTATCTAGTTTAAAAAATGTGTCTGCCAACCAAGATGGCTGACATGGCTAAAAATAGAACATAGGGGTAAAATGCAAGTTTTGTCTCTTATTTTGAAAACCGATATGAATAGAGAAAGTCTGACAGGAGCAAAAATGTTCAAAATGTTGAGCTTTACCAATTGTCCTATTAGTCAAAACTGTCAAACAACTTCTTATAAGAGTTATTGCCCTTAAATGACAAATTTTACCATTTTTTTTCATTTTTGCCTATTATCTTTGAAAACTATTATAGATAAAGAGAAACTTTAAATTGCAAGAATGATCAGCAAGACAAATAAATGAGGATTTTTTTTTACCCTGTTTTGTGTTTTGAGCAAAAACTAAAGAAGATAGAGAGAAACTAAACAGACTAAATGATCAGCAATACAAGATCAACTAAACAGATTTTTGTTATGAATTCTATTCTCGCCTACAATGTTCGAGAGTGTCCTTTGTTGAATATGGACATAGACCAAGGTGAGCGACACAGGCTCTTTAGAGCCTCTAGTTTTATTTGAGAAAATAAATATTCAATGGAATGGAGATTAAATACAATTATTATCAAAAACATACAATAAATTTTACAGAAAATTATTTGCTGAAAATTCATGACAAAAAATCCAAAATTTATGATAACACTGTACAGGAAAAGCACTCAACTCTATAATACCTACTCTATTTAATAAAATCTGAAATGTATAATGATTCTGCATTGAAAGAAATTCTTTAATGTTTCAGATATGACAGTCTCCCAAAGGTCAGTGTAAAAGACCTATCAGCAGCACACTTGATCAGTTATCACCCAGACAGAGATTTACTTCCCATGGTGTTAGCTAATTGTAACTACTCCTTTGAAGTAGTTCAGGGAACCAAAGTGGAATATAACTTTACTAATCTGGAGAGACAGTTAATGGACAGATTTCTATTTACAAAGTCTGTTATCCTGCTGAAGGAGGTATGTGTTTATTTTGATGGATTCATTGGAAGTGCCAGGAGTAATTGTGGCAGAGTCGTTTTAAAAAAAAAATTGCATGAAATGACCTGATGTTCTTAAGCAGACTTATTTTTTGTCCGAAAGTCGCGGAAAGCATGAGATAGGGGTTGCTTTTCTTGCGACGACGGCGTCAACAATTGTTATGTTTTCTGCTTGAGTTAGTTCGATAGGAACTACTTGTGATAGATCATTGTTATTTTTTATGAAGATGCATTACTAACAGTACATATCAGTTTGCCGACAATTTTGATGCCCTTCCCCCTAGGCCATGGTTCATTGACTTTGAATTAATTAGCGATTTAAAATGTTAAGTTTTCTGCTAAGGTTAGATTAAAGCCCATACCGCATAATTAACTATAAAAGGCCTAAAATGACAAATGTGAAAAAATTCAAACAAGAAAACTAACAGCCTGATTTATGTACAAAACAATGAAAGAAAAACAAATATGATATACAGCAACAAACACCAGTTACTCAATTACAAGCTCCTGACTTGGGACAGGCACATACAGAATAAGGCTGTTAAACAATTGTCTTATTAGTGAATAATACTGTAAATTCAGAAATTATTGGAAGGTTTTTATAAAGGCAAATAATGCGAATGATTGATTATCATAATAATTAGAACTCACATTCTGATATCCAATACATATATCTATATGCAGCTTTCCCAAAATCACAATTAATTAATCTAGCATTTTTGTCCTTTTTTAAAAAATTGCAATAATAAGTGCTAGCAATAATTTCTGAATTTACAGTACATATTTTATTGTCTCTCCCCCCTCCCCCACCTAACCACCACAACCCCCCGTCCCCCACCCACCCCACCTCCTGTGACAGGTTGTGGGGGGCATAGAAATACTGGGCATGCAACCGTATGTCCATCCTTGCATCTGTCTGTCTGGTCTTGATAGCCCTCTTGCATGTACAATTCTTGCCAGATTTTTATAAAACTTTATATCATAGGTTTATATCAGCAATGTCTTGGACAAGTTCGAAAATCAGTATCAATCAAATATTTTCAATAGAGTTATGCCCTTGGAAATATTAGTTATGTGGAAAATTGCATTGTTAGCACTCTCATGTGTCCAACTCTTTAGTTTTATCAAATTTATATCAAAGGTTGATATCAGCAATGTCTAGACAAATTTGAAAATCTGTGCAGATCAACTTTTTTCAAAAGAGTTATGCCCCTTGGAACCATTAATTATATGGAAAATTGCATTGTAAGAGCTCTCATGTGTACAGTTCTTACCAGTGTTTTTTATGAAACTTATATCATAGGTTTATATTAGCAAAGTCTCGGACAAGTTTGAAAATCAGTGCAATTCAACTAATTTTTTATACGACCGCATTTACGACTGGCGTCGTCCGAAGACACATTGGTTTTCGCACTCTAACTTTAGTTTAAGTGAATGGATCTCTATGAAATTTTAACACAAGGTTCAATACCACAAAAGGAAGGTTGATTTTGGGGGTTATGGTACCAACAGTAAAGGAATTAGGGGCCAAAAGGGGCCAAAAATAAGCATTTTTGTAACTTCCAGACATAACTTGTGTGTTAGTGTATGGATCTCTCTGACATTGTACCACAAGGTTCCATATCACAAAAGGAATGCTGGGATTGATTTTGGGGGTAATTGCCTCAAAATTTTAGGAATTATGGGCCAAAAAAGGGGCAAAAACAAGCATTTTTCTAGTTACATGACAATAACTTGTGTGTAAGTGTATGGATCTTTCTGAAATTGTACTACAAGGTTCCATATCACAAAGGGAAAGCTGGAATTTAGTTTGGGGGTAATTGCCGAAACGTTTAGGAATAGGGGGCCAAAAAGGGGCCAAAAACAAGCATTTTTCTAGTTACATGACAATAACTTGTGTGTAAGTGTATGGATCTTTCTGAAATTGTACTACAAGGTTCCATATCACAAGGGTAAAGCTGGGTTTGAGTTTGGGGGTAATTGCCCTAAATGTTTAGGAATTTGGGGCCAAAAAACACATTTTTTTCTAGTTTCCAGACAATAACTTGTGTTCAAGTGTATGGATCTCTCTGAAATTGTACTGCAAGGTACCATACCACAAAGGGAAGGCTGGGATTGAGTTTGGGGGTGATGAATCATAAGGGGGTTCAAAAAATTTGGGGGGGTTTTTTTTCCTTTTTTTTCTTTTTTTCCTTTTTTTTTCTTTTAAAATTTTCCATTTTAAGTTGGTTATTTCTGATTTATATTTAAAAGCAAATAATAATGATATGGTAGGAGATTCACACCAAACAGGATGTGTAAATTTTTATATAATAAGTATTGTGCAATAGCAAGAAATTTTCAATTGCACAGTATTGCACAATAGCAAGAAATCTTCAATTGCACAGTATTGCGCAATAGCAAGAAATCTTCAATTGCACAGTATTTCGCAATAGCAAGAAATATCCAATAGCACAATATTGCGCAATAGCAAGAAATTGTCAATTGTACAGTATTGCGCAATAGCAAGAAATATTCAATTGCACAGTATTGTGCAAAAGAAGATACTTCCTGTAAATTGCTTATTTCTTGACCAATTTCAATGGGGTTTTATTCTTGAATTCTTGGGGTTCTTTAATATGCTGAATCTAACCGTGTATTAAGTTTTTGGATTTTGGGCCCCGTTTTTAAATTGGTCCACATTGAGGTCCAAAGGGTCCAAAATTAAACTTTTTTTGATTTCATCAAAAATTTAATTATTGGGGTTCTTTGATATGCCGAATCTAACCGTGTATTTAGATTCTTAATTTTTGGTTCCGTTTTCAAATTGGTCTACATTAAGGTCCAAAGGGTCCAAAATTAAACTTAGTTTGATTTTAACAAAAATTGAATTCTTAGGGTTCTTTGATATGCTGAATCTAAACATGTATTTAGATTTTTGATTATGGGCCCAGTTTTCAAGTTGGTCCAAATCGGGGTCCAAAATTAAACTTTGTTTGATTTCATCAAAAAATTGAATATATGGGGTTCTTTGATATGCTGAATCTAACCATGTATTTAGATTTTTGATTTTTGGGCCCCGTTATCAACCTGTCCACATTGAGGTCAAAAGGGTCCAAAATTAAACTTTGTTTGATTTCATCAAAAATTGAATTCTTGGGGTTCTTTGATATGCTGAATCTAACCATGTATTTAGATTTTTGATATTGGACCATAATAGGTGAATGTCCAATTTAAAATTTTTAAGTTCTTAGACCACATTCATTCTGTGTCAGAAACCTGTGCTGTGTCAAATATTTAATCACAATCCAAATGCAAAGCTGTATCAAGCTTGAATGTTGTGTCCATACTTGCCCCAACTGTTCAGGGTTCGACCTCTGCGGTCGTATCAAGCTGCGCCCTGTGGAGCATTTTATTTTAAAGAGTTATGCCCCTTGGATATATTAATGATATGGAAACAGATAAGATATTTGCAATGCAGGAGATACTGAAACTCTTTTCTTTTTACAGATTAGTACAGTAGTGTACAGATCAGAAACTACCAATGCTGTAGTATTTATACATCTCAGAGACAGAATTAAACAGGTAAGAAAGACTCAGAGACTTTAGCTGGCTTGAACAAAATCAATAAATTGATGAGAGAGTTGACTACATTTATCCTGGACGCTGTGTTCATTTATTGATGGAAAAGCTTCAAACTAAAGTCCATAATATAAATCTGAATATATGCAATGGTTCATTTCTAAGTTGAGGCATTTTCACACTTGTGGTTTAATTTTGAGTCACTTGTTTATAGTTTGTGCTTGTAGCAAACGTTTTGGTGTTAGCTGTTTTAAAATAATAATATATACAGAATGCACTATATTCTGAAAGGGAGAATGAATGCAAGTACAAAAATCATGGCATTAACAGCAATATATGTACAGATATTAACCAGCAAACAGTTAGAATACTATTATCTGTAACCATCAACAGAAGTATACATGTAAATTTGTGTACTTAGCAACATTTTTGATATAAATAATAAAAGAGGGGCGAAAGATACCAGAGGGACAGTCAAACTCATACATTCAAAAAATAAACTGACAACGCCATGGCTAAAAAATAAAAAGACAAACAGACAATAATAGTACACAAGACACAACATAAAAAACTAAAGACTAAGCAACACGAACCCCACCAAAAACTGGGGGTGATCCCAGGTGCTCCGGAAGGGTAAGCAGATCCTGCTTCACATGTGGCACCCGTCGTGTTGCTTATGTTATTACAAATCCGGTAAATAGTCTAATTCGGTAGGTCACATTTGTGAAAAGGGACGGGTATTGTAGTTACGACATAAGGAACATATCCGATATCATCTGTGAAACGGTTATTCCATAACGGTCAACCAACTTGTGATGGCGTCCGTAAAATTTACGAAGGGATGATTTCAACTTCACCATTTAATCACTTTTGCTGTATTTTTTTTTATATACATAGGAAAGAATCAGTGCCTCTGTACTTAGCCTGATTCAGATTGACCTTAACCAGAAGACTTTTCCAGAATTATGTGATAGTATAGACAAACTAGACATAGCTATCAGTTTTATGAAGTCAGTTGGTTGTGACCCAGAGAGTCTTTTGAGTGACTTCATGATCAACATATTGAAGATTGATGACTCTTTGGTTAGCCAGAAGGTAACAGATAAAAAGTTAATTTATGCCTTTGTTCGAAAAATTATATTTTTATATCCCGCATTGAAGTAGAGGGGGCTCTACTTCAATGCGGGATATAAAAATAAAACACTATATAGTTTTTGCCCTGTCCATTTGTCAGTAATTTTCATTTCCAGAAGCTAACACAACTATTTTCTATCAGATAGCAACCTTACTTGGATATAAAAAAAATGGTCACATATAATGAAAGGAAGATCACTTTTGATTTTTCACATGACAAAGGGTAGGGTCATAGTTACTACAAATAGACTGAAAATTGTGCATAAATGTTGTTTCCTGATGCTAGATCAAATACTACATTCGGGATTGCAACCTTGCATGAAAATATGGTCACATATAATAAAGAAGAAAATCCCTATTGATTTTAAAGGTCTACCGTCAAGGTCATAGTTACTAAAGTAGATTATGAGATTATGTAAATATAAAAAGAAGATGTGGTATGATTGCCAATGAGAATATTACTGTTTAATGTTATAAAAGAAATTAGTCATACCCTAAGTAAACAGAAAACTAGGTTTTTTAATTGGTCTTGTATAACTTTGACTCCAATGGCTGATGTGTAGTGCTTTTTCTACAATGTTTAAAAATTTCACTGAAAAGTTTTTTAGGAAAATTGCCTTTTGACCACTTGAGATTTGTGTACTTCCTGAGATTGAAAATAAAGTTATTCATATGAACCAATCTTCACATATTAAGTTATCTTCCAAATCAAATTTTCAATTTTATTCCTGAATTAAAGGTATGTAATGGAATGTATTAATTAAGTTAATTTGCATTACAGTCAGCAAAAATAATGGTATATAAAAATAAAATTAAGATATCAAAGAATGCTCTCAGTAACATACATGTACAGTAAGCCAGTAAGCTTAGCACTTTTATCGCTATTATTTAGAAATGCCTAGCTACACTTAAAATACCATATCTAAGAATACTAGCATGTTATGCACAATTCTAATGCAATTTTTATGTAACCACTTTTTTCATTGGCTAAAAGTTGCCGTCAAATCCACAGTTGTAACTAAGGAGGGACCTGCCATTTTGAATTGATTGAATCAACAAATGTTCAGTTTCTACAATATAATCGCAAATTAAATGACACCAACCACAAAATCGCCGTTTTAATGCGATTTCATCCAAATTTGAATCGTAGAGGTAACGTAATAACCTCCAGTTTGTAAGTTTTCATTTGTATGACGTCACGTTTAGCCATAACGTCTTTGTGCAAAAATCATTCATAAAGTTTCGTGGATTTTTTTTTTATTTCAAATTTATACATTTTTTCAAGCTCTTGCGTATTATTTCTTTTTGTAAAGCATTAGAATTGGAATAACAGTACTGTAGTTGAAGAGTTGCCACCGTCAATTTTGATTTGACGGTTGCAAATTGACGTTTTACTGTCTCCGCTACGCGTCGCCAGTAAAACTGCATTTGCGACCGTCAAATCGCCAATTGACGGTGGCAACTCTTCAACTACAGTACTGTTATTCCTTAATTAAAAGAACATATTGGTCTCTCGGGAGACGGGTCAATTGAGAAAAGAGTAACTGTAGTTTGACTTGTTTTCAGGCACAACAGTCCTGTAAATGTAAACATATACAATGTTTGTGGATGACATTGGCACTGGAGAAAACAAAACGTCTAGAAAACAATAACAAGGTTTGTATTAAATTTTATTATATACTTAGTAGTAAATACAGATAAATTGTATGTGTAATACGATAAATGACAATCATGCTGGATTAGCCCTCCGTGATGATATTGATATCAGTTACAGTTACAAAAGCTTTATCACACCCCTAATTTGTATGAAGTCACTTCATCGATATCAGTCTGGTTTGCAATATCAGCAAAATAATAAATTCAAAAATGAAATACCTTGCTACTGTCATCCATTCTTAGAAGCCATTGTCTGCGAACCAGATCATCTATTTGTTATCTATTGGAACTGTGGTATATCTTAACCTGAAGTCACCTGAAGTAGCTGAAACTTTATTGACCAGTTGCAAGAAAATAACTTAACACTTGTGCAAATTTCAATATCAATTTGATGTAGGAAATTCTCAAAGGTTACTAGCCCACAAATAGAACTACCGTTCTAATACAAATTTGCCAGTGCTTCACACATATGTATTTTCATTGCAATATATGACATTGTGATGGGACATTAAAAAGATGCAGAATTTAGTGCATATGTTATTTCTGGTTTTTTCATATCAATGAAAGCTTTAACTCATTATTTATTACTCATAAATTTTATTCATCTCATTTGCAGGAGTCATTTGATAATATTTCCTCAGCTTTCAAACAAAAACCCTCTGAAGAACAAAATGATGCTTTATATGAAATCTTGGACATCTTACAAGTAGAACAGCTAGAAAATTTGTCACAGATGATCTTTGACTGCATTCTGCTAACTATTGATATGCCTCAGAAAGATGAGGAGTCTGTGGACATGTCCAAGGTTGGGTATGTATTTATATTTGAAATGGAATACAAGCTAGGAGATTGGGTATTATTAGTTACATTATGAGTGTGCTAGTGACCTCCTCTCACCCCATATGGAATTTGCTGACCCCATACATATCGTATTAGGTCACTAGCACACTGTGTAAAGAATTTATCTACTGACTATCTTTAATAATATGTGATATTAACTAGTGGCAAATCAAAGTGATCAAGTCATCAATATTAAGAATCTACTTCCATTGTTCTATACAAAAACAATTGCCAACAATAACAACTTGTTAGCTTTAAATGTGTTTTATGAATTTATTTCAATCGTTCATCATCCATTTCTTCGTCTGTTAAAACCTTTCAGATTATTCCTCAACACCGTGTTGTTTTTACAAAGCAATGTAACACCACTACTAATCGTGTATTGAAATAAACCATGCCTACTAACCCCATATGAAATATACACGGTCTCCACGTGGTTGCTTTTAACCAATCATATTCCTAGAAATGTATAGATCAGATGATATAAGTTTTACAGTGTGCTAGTGACCTAATACCATATATACAGGTTTATATAGTATTAGGTCTCTGTCACACTGTGTAACGAATTTATCTTACCGACTATCTTAAATGTAGAATTAAGACTAATGGCCTATTAAAGTCATCTAGTCTTCAATATTAGGAAAGTATTTTCATTGGTCTATACAAAAACAAATGCCAACAATAACAACTTGTTAGATTCAAATGTGTTTTCTGCATGTATTTTCAATCCTTTATCATCAATTTCTTCATCTGTAGTCTATGTGAAACATTTCAGATTTTTCTTCAACTTTATAAAGGTAAGTAACACTGCTACCAACTGTGTATTAAAATAAAACACTGACCAAATATAAAATATTCATGGTCTCCATGTGTCGCTTTTAATCAATGATATTCCTAGAAGTGTATATCAGGTAAGATAAATATTTATATATGAATTTAATGTGCAGGTATAAAAGGAGATGGGGTGTATATCAATTAAATGGCTACCTCGCAAAAAAGACATTTAGAGGTCAGCAACCATTGTGAGTAAAGTTAGCTGAAAAATGTCCTGAAAGTAAGGAAATCAATGAATAACTTAAAGAGACAATCAGATGTTTTAAGGCTTTTTTTAAAGAAAGGGAGAGAGCACAAATTTATATACCCCTGCCCCAAAGGAAGGGATATACTGGTTTATTTCTTTCAATCCCTGTGTCCTTCTGTTGTCACATTTTCTCAGGAACTACGAATCAGAGCATCCTGAAAATTTGTACCATTGCTTATCAACTTCTTTTTAACTAAATACTTATAGGGGAGGGGGAGGTAATTTGTAAGCAGTTGGCAGTTCAACTTGTTTATCTTGTTTTCTAAAAACAAAACAACAAAAAATGCATATGGTAGTTGGCTATTGAAACTTTTTAAATGCAAGTTACACTGTTTTTAGAACTACGAACAAGATAATAAAAAACATTTTTTTAACGTATCACTTAAAGGATGTATTTTTTTTTGTACATTAGAGAATGGTTGATATCAATAAGTACAAAAGCTGATTTGTTTTGAAATACATAATGAAATTCCATTTACAGGATCATTGGAGTCTTGGTAAGCAATGCTGTGAAAGTTATGTAATTAAGGCCAGTTTCTATTTTCAGATTGAAAGAAGCAGTTGAATCTTATCTGTATGATCCCCCGTATGTAAATGAAGCTCTGACACCCGACTGGATTCAAAGATTTGTTACTGCTCTACCTATTGATGGAGATTCTCGTCTACTTTGCTGTCATGGGGTAGAAACATGGATGATAATTAATGAAATATTTTCTGACAAAAAGGAACAGATGTTATAGATAATAGATGTGCATCTATAAAAAAGACCTACAAGTTTGTGTGATTTCACAATATTGACTTTTTTGTTTATGGTTGAAAATTTCAAAGAGTAATTTATTTATTCTTAGTTTGCAAATTGAATACAATGAGCATTGAAATTGTTCAGGAAAGAAAATGATTTGTTTTTAAATGAAAAATGTGATTACAATAGGGGTCTTACTAATATACTGTGAGATTGTTCATTGTATACAAAAAAATATTGTTAAATACCCTAATTTAATCCTAGAGTAAATGCCCTTTAATAGATGATTTTTATGCCCTCACTACTAAGCGTTGGGGGCATTAAGTGTTACCCTTGTCCGTCCGTCCCGACCGCAATGCTTATTACCACAAAACACAGATCAAGATCGAAATTGGGTGGCATCACTTTTACCGTTCATGAGTTATGCCCCTTTATAAACATAAAAATTGCTGAATTTTTTGTTTCCTTTCTCTAACTTTAGTTTGCCTCAACCAAATGTTATAAAACATATACACAATGCTTATTACCACAAAACACAGATTAAGTTTGAAATTGGGTGGAGTCACTTTTACCATTCTTGAGTTATGCCTTTTAAACTACGAAAGTACCATTAGAATTGGTAGCAATATGGTTGGTTGTTTGTTTGATAAGGTATACAGTGATTATTTGTCTTGTAGTGTGATTTATTACCTTTTTATTAGTTGCGGTTGTAGGGCTAGAATTAAAAGAATATTTAACCAATCAGTTTTATTATAGCCTTCATACTTAAATGCTTGTTGTTAAGGTTGTCTATGAAATCAGTGTTACATTTGTTTGCATTTTGAGAAAAAGAAATCTAGAAATAGTAATATAAAAATTAAGCAGAAAATATATTTTGAAATTTTTTATTAGGCACCAGTTCACATTTATCAATGAAAGGTATTTATAGTTTAATTTTTGATATAAATACTTTTCTACATGCAAACATTGTGTTATGGTTTATATATTTATATTATATGCAGCACATTCTGCATTGACACCAAGTTCATTTCCTTTTTTGGAATAAAGATGTATGTTATGCATATTTTGATAAACCTATTGTATTGTATGTAATAAGTGATGATTTATTTTTAATCAAATTGTTTGTTAAGTAAAGTAGATGGTATGCTTTTCATGCCATCTTATTTGGGAAAAACAAAGGAGTAAGCCCGGTAAGACCTTTTTGGCCCTATATACACAATTACTGCAATCTTCACAATTTTAGCATGTGTGCTAATTTTTAGAAAGTTTTTGTCTAAAATCGAATTGGCCCCTCTTGTGTTCTGTCCTAATATTTAAATATATATGTTGTATTGGATGATAATACATAATATATATAAAGGTTGAGACTGAACATGAATGGGGCCACTTACATTTTAGACAATAACCATCTGAAAAGTGACGTTGTATGTCATATTTGATAGATTTTTCATATTTTAGCTTGAATTTGAGCATCTTTAATGACCAAATCAGTTCAAATCTTTAACATCGACCGAAGTAGACACTTAAGTGTAAAAGAAAAGGTCAAAAACATTTCATCAGATGTACTTCAAATTTCAGGTCAAAATTAGACCTTACCGGACCTTCTCCTTTATAGTGTTAAAAGATTGTTTATACTAGAGTCTTTCAAGACAGCTGAATTGAAGATCATGTAACTTTGTCAGGTAATGTTGATCTATTTTGTGTATGCGTTCATGCATGTTACTTGTTTGAAGCATGTTACGTAAGTGATAAACTCAGATCTACAATGCATCATGCATACTTTTTTATTTTTGTGATTTTGAAAGCATCAATCATTGGTTTGTGATACACATTATTCATCAGTATTATTTGTTATTTGATTGCAGTTAATTACAGGATGTATATTTATCTTTTTGTTTGATGTATATTGTTGTTTTTTTGTTTTTTTTGTTGTTTATTTAGTTTTTTTTTTATTCATCAGTTATTATTAATTATGAAATCCTTATTCTTGTTTTATCAATAAGTTTTAATACCAGTTCATACATTTTTGTATATCTTCTTTTATTAAAATGTGTCCCTATGATGAACCTCATTTCATAATTACATTTTTTTTTATGAAAAGTCAAACTTGCCAAAAATTATGAGATAGATTGTTTGCCTTTTGTTTTTATCAACACCCATTTAATAAGAGTGATACATAGACTTTCTTTCATGAAAATAAAAAAAATTTATGCATTCGAGGGAGATGACTCATTAGATTTGCCTTTTTAAGCTCATCAAATGGTATAAAGTTTTCATAAAATTTTACCCCTATTTATTCAACAAGATTTTCTCATATTGAAAAAAAATTTAAGAGCTTCATGAAAATTGAATCCATATTTTTCTAATAGTTCAACGGTAATTTTATGTTTATTCTTTTTCACAAAATTTTTAATTGATCTAATGTATTTCCTTGTTATGATTTGTAAGGTAAAATTAGTCTTTCAAAATGCATGCTTTAGATGTTTTATTAAATAATGTTTTAAAAAAGTATCAGATTTTTCTCTTCTCAGCTCTTCTCTCTCCTTTCTCCAGCCCAAGTGAGAGGTAATTGCCATTATTTTGTACATTCCTGGACAAAGTAACTCAGACACACATGATATGAGAGTTCTGGTCCTATCAACTTTCTTAATTTATTGAATAGGCAAGTTTGATAGGATAGTTGAAGGTCAAAGGTAATAGGTAGGCAATTTTATTATTGCTTCTCATTTCCATCAACATGTTTGACCCTATACTCTAAGTCATGCTCAATTGCCTTTAAAACTTTTACATAGTTGGCATGTTTTAAAATGTATGTGATTAGTTAAAGGGAACTAATAATGGTAAGTCAATGATATTTGAAAGACAGTTGTATTAGCATTGGCACACTTCATTCCATGGAGTTCATTCGGTCATGTTACATTCATCATGTGCCATTTACAATGAAACTTTTGCTTAGTTTACATGTTAAGTTTGTGATAAGCAGACTTTCAGGGTAATAACTTGTTGTTAGTCAGTGATATTTGGTAGGCAGTTATATAAGCACCTCATGTCTATAAAGATTACTTGGCCCTACCCTTTATTAAGTTTCGTTGACCATAACCTTAGACCAGTTTACCTCTTAAAGTGTTGTAATTTAAATTAAAAAATTTACACATACTAACAATTAGATACAGATGAGACAAATCTTTGACAAATTATATTTTATATCCAGTAAAACGTTTTGTTCTGGGTACATTTGATGTTGATTGGATGAAGCTGCATAGACTTCAACTTGACAACATGATACAACACAACAGCTTAGTGAATTATTATGTAGGAGTATACATCTCAATGACAGGAATTCATTCCACTGTTTCCTAAAAACAGTATCGATTGACTACTTAATAATGATGTGTGGAATACTTAGACGACAACACAAACTATAATGAAAACAAACCCTTAGTAACATGCCTCTGAAACAGTGAAGCATATTGTACTGTATCCTAATGTCACCAGAAAAACTTTATGATGAATGTGCCATAATAAAATAAATTGATTTACATACATGTCAGACGAAGGTGCCTCCATAAAAATTTAGATATAATGTTACAAATGGTCAAATTCTAGTAACGGCAATCTGGTCTTGCCTCTGTACTTGCTTGCATCTTTATGAAAGAAAATGTTTTAAATCACAACCTGTTATTCTGAATTATATATTTAGATTAAGCTACTACAGTCCTAGCTAGTTTTAGATACAATGTAAAATCTCTTATAAACTTATATTTTTATGTCTCTGAAAAGACACATCAGGATGCTAGGGTAAATCTTTTAGTTCTGGTTCTTAAATTGCAATTTGTTGGATCTTTGCCATAACATTCTCCTCGAACTTCTCATTTATAAACTAACATAGTTTAAGTATACTTTTTTTATTTGTACCTGATGTTCGACCAAACCGGTTGAATCATTCTGTGTTGAGTATGTGTATTGTTTTCTGGATAGACATTCGGCAGAGCCTTCACGATTCATAAACTTGAAATTGTATCCATGAAGTAACAAACTCTATCTTCCAAGACGACATTGACATTCTTTAATTTTCAGCAGGTACTTCACAGATACATTTTCAGTTTCACAGTGAATTCTTAGTTTGGCAAATACTGTTTGAAGTGCTTTATACCACCAACAAGAGCTAATGCTTCATTTTTCAGTATAAATCTAACTTAGTTCATGGCCACGCAAAGATATTTGTCCATATACACTAGGGTTATATACTCCATTCTGAATATGTCACAGCACGTTTCCCGTTGAACATTCAGATGGATCCGTTGATAGTATGAACGGTTTGTTGAATTCTGGAAAAACAAGCATTAAAGCTGAAATAAGTGCATTTTTCAGAATATCAAATGCCCTTTGACATATCAGTGTCCAGCTTAAGTTTGTGTTTTTCTTCAGTATACTAGTAGATGTTTACGGTGAAGCAATACCCTCATAGTCATTTACAATTCATTTTTCTGTAATAGTTTGCCATCCCTAAAATTTTTTTTACTTGTGTTGCATTCTTCGGGGAAAAATTGTTCATTTTCTGTACTTTCTGGGTTCACTTTAATTCCATTTTTCGAAATAACATGTCCAAATGCGTAAATTGGTATCATTGAATGTAAATGTTCCTCAGAATTCTTCAAAAAAAAATTGAACATCAGCAATGTGGACACGTAATTTTGACAATTTAGATTTTTCAGCACTTTGTCAGTAAATGCTGGAATGTCATTGGTGAATTCATCTTGGCAAATGCTAGTCTATTGATTTGTATACTCTCTTGTGTGAAATGAATGCATTCTTTTGTTTTGTGGCAGGGTCTAATGGTACTTACCAGAATTTATGATATAATACAGGACAGGCTCGGCATGAGCTAAAGTATTTGGTATATCAGACATTGTACGGAATTGCAATATAAAGTGGCTCATTTATATTGCTTAGCACACGAAAATCCATATAAAAATGAAATTCACCATTTTGTTTCTGTACAGGAACTATTAAGCTGTGGGATAGTGATGACTCTTCGATGATACATTGTCTCTCCATCTCATCTAGTTGTCATTCGATCTCCACACGCATCTGAATAGATTGACGATAAGGTTATAAACTAACCACATTATTTGGTATCATGAATGGTGCAATTCTGTTTTAACAAGTCCTTTGCAAATACATCTCTGTTCGGGCTTAAAAATCTAAACAGTTTCTGTAGCTGTTTCAAATTAAGGTCTATCTTCTACATTTATCCATAAGTCTGCTTATACATTTTCACTGTCGATGAATGAATTTTTTTTACTTTCCAAAATACTGTACAAAAATCCTTGATCTATAAAGGAATAATTTTTTTTTAAATCAAACTTACTGTGCAACTGCAATTTGTATTTTTTTAGTCCAGCCGTACAGTTTGACAGGTGGTATTGGGAAATCTTTTAATTCTATGTTATTGTCATGAATATTTTAAACTGTTTTTCAAACAGCTATAGAAAAGCGTGATTGAAGTTTATGGCACGTACAGTTCTTAAGTTACTGTTGTCCTTTTATAAAATTTTTGAATTTTAATCGGTACGATTCTTTCTGAACGAAGTTTCAAAATAACTGAATTCACGGTTTCTGCCAAAGCTATAACTGCATTATTGTTCTGGAAGGTTGCTATAGTAACATGAACAATACTATCATGATGATCAATGATCATCGTAGTCGGTATTGATTGAAAGTCATGTTTTCAAAATTCTTTTCCCTTTATATATAATTAGTGTCTCTTAATCAATCCAATTCTATAATAGCTCTTGCATGCAGTGTTTAAAAAATTCGGAATGTCTGGTTAACTTTAACCAATTATTGCATGCACATCTCCACAGACACCTATTGCACTATTGATCGTTGATTTCTGAATTTCCGTATCGGTGTTTCGAGGGCACAACTGATGTTGGCTAATACAGCTAAAAGAAGCTCACTGTCAACCTAAAGTTCTCGTAAGTTTCTATGAATAGTCGTTGTAAACTGGAAATTGGCTGTTTCTGTTATTACGCTGGAAAGCATGGCAGAACTCTTTTCGGCAGCACCATTTTCAGTATCTAGTTTATGTTAATTCATATACTTTAAGTTCATCATCATATCAAGTTCGCGTTGATGAATTGTCAACTTATCTCTGCTGTAACATATTTCTTTTTTAACCGGATTGACGAAGGATATATCGGTAATTGATTTTGGGATGTACGGCGGGCGGGCGGACGGGCGGCTGCCAAACAGTGTCTCTTCAATAACATGAAAACGCTGTGATGATTTTTTTTTCAAATTTAGATATGTTGTTTCTTGTGACTAAATGAAGGTCAAGTTCAATTTTCAGGATTTTAGTATTTCTCCTTTTTGAGTTATCGCCATTTTTAATATCCAAAAGTGGTATTTTTAAATATTTTTCTCTTGTTATCACATTATGTCTAAGCATTGTCTTATCTCCCATTATAATTGGATTTGAAAATTTTCTATTTCCTAAGTTCTGATGATTATAAGCTATATTATTAGACATTTTGAAGTTAATTACATTACTAATTATTATATATGTATTGTAAGAGTACTATGTTAAACCATAGTTCTGTTGAAAGGGAAATAACCCTTCAGATTTGCAAGTATGATTTTCATTATTAATTAGAACCGGGAAATATCGCAGCATATGATAATAATTGGAGTGACAGATTTATTTGAAAATTTTCTGTTTCCTGATAAGATCTGTAGGACTGTATATATAAAGTTTGAAATTTACTAGTAGGACTTTATAAATGAAGTTTGAAATTTACTGGTCATTATAAGACACATTGAAGATAATTACAGATAAGTTTTATAGGTTTTTTTAGAGATAGACATTTTGAAGTTAATTACATTACTAATAATTATATATGTAATGTTAGAGTACTATGTTAAACCATAGTTCTGTTAAAAGGGAAATAACCCTTCAGATTTGCAAGTATGATTTTCATTATTAATTTTTCTTTTCTTTGGTAAATTGTTTGAAGAATTTTATGGTGTGTTAGTTATTCTGTAAAAACGAATTTTCTG